GGGGGGGGGCAGGAGGTATCAAGGCACCTAAAAGGCTGGTGTCGAGGGGGGCGTACTGTCTGGCGGCAGGGTCTCCGGGGATACAATGGGTTTTGTTGTCGGTTAGGGAAGGTCTACTAAAAGCCTTGGAATGGCACATGGGATAGTAATACTTGGCGTTGTTTTGCAGCCCGTGGTGGTGCGTAATAGACCTATCGATTGCTTTTGACATGATCTTGCCCAACTTCTGAGAATGATACCAATAGAAAGCAAAAGACGACACGATACATCAATGTTCGTTCATGAGATCCCTTCTAGCGATCTGTATGTCCTGGGATAGAGTATTTGGTTGATACTGTGTCTGTTTTGATTCGTTGATTTCTGAACAGAGTATCTTCGGAGATAAGTAAAGGGGGGACTGGGGGCACTCTGCACGATAAGAACGATAAGAGTGCCACATATATTTTTGCGCGGTGTGTATTCCCAGTTCAAACGCTGGCAGGAGTAAACTCTAGCAGGCGGATAATCGTGGTCAATCAAATACCAAGCCGTTTCCCCCCCCAAAAGCCCAAAACAAGGCGCAGTTGATAAAGTCTCCATGGATCGAGAGACCTCGGAAAGATGTGCCAGCACGAGGCGACGAAAGGGAGGCAAGCTTTGGGGGCCAAGCTGATCCCGCGTATCTGCTTTATGGTTCTTATCTCTAGATCTGGTTGCACAGAACATGGTCGCGCAGAACATCCAGGATACATCACAATCACATTCCCATGGTTCTGGTACACGATGTATCTAAGTGTCTGTAGGACAAGGTGAAACCTATCGTATGTACGTACATAGGTTCTAGCTCCAAGCATTCGTGAGGACAGTGTCAGGAAAAGCTTCAATTCTTACATGGTAGGTTGATAAACACAGTACCTATATGTGCCTTACCTAAATACCTACCTAGGTACGTCTGCAGGTACTGCTTATATTCACGTGATACAAGCGAATCAACCTGAGGCAAAGCAAGGGGAACATGGCTTTATCGTCGAACCAACGGCGGAACTTTCTGATATTGCCAACAGGATCAGGATCTCTAGGATCTGGAATCCGGAATGGATCTTCTGCTTCCCTTGAAAGTCGAGCATCTCTTCCACGTTCGACTCTCCGTCCTACCCGCCATTGCGTCTCCATCTACCAATCAACCCCCGACAGTTATCATGGCGTGAAGGACAAGGGGTGTAGTGCAATAATGGTATCATGTTGCAGCAGACGGAGAGGCCGTGGATGCAGATGCAGAACATGGGAAGTATCCCAGCTCTGTCGATCAGAGCTCTTCCATTATTCGTGCGATGGCCGCAGCACGCATTTACGCTCGTCCATTGCGCATCCCTGGTTGTGCTCTAGTGGGCGGGCAGATAAGTGTCTCTGGGGATTGATATGTGTGTGTTACCCCGGGGCTCGTTTTGATCGGCATCGTCGATGTTTTGATCGTCGATGTTTTGATCGTCGATGTTTTTCTCATTCCGTTTACTTGCCATCTTCGACGACTTCCTCTTTTCTCTCTCCTCTCTCTCTCCCCTCTCCTCGCCCATTCCACTGTTCCACCATGCCTGTCTCGCCAATTTCGGACCTGGAGAGGAGTGAAGGCGCGTCCGATGAGAAGAATGCAAGTTATACCGGCCATGCGCCTGTGTATGTGGGTGAGAATGGCGAGGCAGACGCTGTCGAGTTTGTCGAAGTCAAGGACTTGAGGTGAATTGCTAGAATGCTCCTGGAACAATTGCTCGGTCTATTAACTCCTGCTGCTCCTAAGACGTGGCTTGCACCAGAGGCATATACAGTAAGTAATATCTCTTGTTGTCTCCATTCATCTCAGAATTGCATCTTTTCCGCTGCATGGCCCAATCCAACGGAAACCGGAGAGGCTAACCAATTGCCTAGGATGATTGCCTTGGCCGGTACTATTGGTACTGTAAGTTATCAATAAATCCTGTTACAATCCACGTACTTACGGTATCAGGGTCTGTTTCTGGGCTCCGGGAAAGCTATTGCTAGAGCAGGACCATTGGGCGCATTGTATGCCCCCCCCTGCTATTATTCTCTTGACTCAAGCTTTTAGTTGACATGCCAAAAGCTTAGGGTACACGTTCGTGGGAATTCTGGTCTCGGGGGTGGTCTTGTCCATCGCAGAACTAAGGTAGGATTCACCAAATGTCTCCAAATAAACCACCCATTCACGAAGATAGTACACTTGTTCCTTTGAGCGGAGGCATCATTCGCCATGCAGAGTACTTCGTTGACCCGGCACTTTCGTTTGCCAATGGCTGGAACCAAGTGTATGGCACCATGGTATCCCTCCCCGCCGAAATCGTCGCGGCTGCAGTCATAGTGGATTTCTGGTCCCAGATCAACAATGCTGTATGGATTTCCGTCTTTGGAGTCTTGTTGGTAGCGAGTAATCTGTTCTTTGTACGGATCTACGGGGAGCTTGAATTCACCTTTGCAAGTCTGAAAATCATGCTTATTGTTGGGCTCAATATCATGGCAAGTCAGCTGCTGTCAGAACTCTCAACTTAAGAAGCTAATATGAGAGAAGGCTCTGGTAATTACCTGTGGCGGCGGTCCAGATCATCACAGATATGGGTTCCAATTTTGGCGAAACCCTGGCCCCTTTGTTGATTATCTTGGCTACACTGGATCTCTAGGACATTTCATGGGATTTGTACGTATATCGATCGGTTCTCTATTTTCCGTGGAATGAGATATTTCTCGGTACAGGGATATTGTCGTGAGAGTGATCATTTCAAGAGATCATGCTGATTCCTTATTTACAGTGGACAACGTTTTCAAATGCTATTTATGCCTATTCTGGAGTGGAGGGTATTTCTATAGCGGCAGCCGAGACAAGATCGCCTCGAAGAAACATCCCGATTGCCGCAAAAAGAATATTTTGGCGGGTGTTGCTTTTCTACGGTACGTAACAGTTTCGTGTTCTCATAAAGTATGTTAAGGAACCCGTCTAATTCTTTACAATAGTCCTTTCTATATTCATGATTGGGCTAATCGTCCCATCGACCGATCCAAACCTTTTGAAGTCTACGGGCACAGCTGCGCAAAGTCCATTTGTGATAGCCGCTACTAGAGCTGGAATCAAAGTCGTTCCTTCAATAATCAACGCTGTCATCCTAACAAGTGCCTGGAGTTCTGGGAATTCGGGTATGTGATATCCTCCCTAGACTTCTACGGCAGGAATCAACGAGGCTGATATCCCATTTTAGGTCTCCTTAGTGGCTCCCGTACACTATATGGCATGGCCCGAGAAGGACACGCCCCTAAGATTTTCCTCCGAACGAATCGCTTTGGCATACCGTATGTCGCAGTTGGATCACTGAGTCTCTTCATCTGCCTAGGCTTCATGAGTCTATCTAATTCTGCTTCGACGGTTTTTGGATGGTTGCAAGACCTCGTGTCCGTCGCAGCCCTTGTTAATTGGATGGTTATCTGCATCGTCTACCTGCGCTTTTACTACGGCTGTAAAAAGCAAGGGATTTCCCGTTCTGAGCTTCCTTGGAAGGCACCATTCCAGCCATTCGTAGCCTGGACGTCCCTATCATTCTTCGTGCTCCTCTTACTAACTGGTGGCTATGTAGTTTTTATTCATGGCCAGTAAGTCCCTCCCAACCCGGAACACCCCCCCCCCTCTTTCTTCCCCCCGGGTAGCTTAGAACAACGCGACTGACAACCCCCCCCAATTCCGCAGCTGGGACACGGAAACCTTCATCTCGTCCTATATCAACATCCCCATTATCTTCGTCCTCTACTTCGGGTACAAGTTCGTCCGTAAGACGAAAATCATCCCGCTGCAAGATATTCCTATCCGCCATTTTCTAGACATTGCAAATCAGAACCCGGAACCGCCTGTAGAGCCGCCGACTGGCTGGAGACGGTTCAACCTTCTCTGGAGCTAGGTTGTTGGGCTTTAGATGCGGGCTTCATGGGGGGCTTTTTTGTCTGTTTGCATTTTTCATTTGCTAGGGTGAGTGATGATGTTGGGGATGGAATGAATGCTTCTTCTCGGTCAAGATGGGACGGACATGTACCTCGGATCAAGTCCTGATTTAGAATTAGAAGGGAAACCAGAGGTATGGAGATTATTAGACCAGAGAGAATGAATATGTGTTTGAAATATGGGGAGGCAGGTCTCTGAACAGAATAATCTTTTGTAGATTCTGTGTATGCAATAAAAGTGCACCTTCCTGACTGTCAGACTTCACACAGAGGTAACACGAAGCTGTGGACGGCCATTTTATTGGTGAGATAATTTAGGATATCTCTGAAAACTACTGCTACCAAGCCACCAGACCAGAAAAACGCCTATCAACAAGGGACGCCTGCAAAATCGACCATGATAGGGGGCCACTGTGTCCTCCGTTTCTCGCCATATAAAATCAAATTTCCATGCCGAGGAACATCCATTTGTCACTGGTAAGGTCGATGCCGTTCCCCCACATGTCCAGAGTAATCAGCTCGAATCCAACCCATCGGAGACTTTTCATAAAAGCTTTGCAGTGTCGTTCGCCAACCGATCGATCGAGGCAGATGACAAGCTGTGAGACAGCGAATACTGACTCTGCCAGTTCAATCAAAGCCATGAGTCTGCTTTCATTAGCCATTGATTCCACTCATCAAGAGACCCGTAACATATAGAGCGGAGGTCACCTACCCTTGTTTTAGATCACTTTGAATAACCGAGGAGTCGAAGAAGGCGAAGAGAGATTTCTCATCTCCCTTTCCAGCAACGAACCCGCGGAAACTGCATCCACTGGCGTAATCCCAGATCTCCAACCATGCATCGACGCCTTGGCTGGGATGGGCATTGCCATAGTCATCCATATACGCATCCAACCTTTCGTCAGGAGGTGAATGCGCGTTCGCACCCATCACGATAAAGCCATTATTTCCCGCATGTCCTTCTTCACCAAGGAATACGGTTTTCATGGTCTTGCAGAAGAGCCTCTCACACTCTTCCCTAGAAGGAAGTCAGCAATTGCTCATCAGATCTGAAAACATGATTCATAGTTCCTGAATCGGCTCATTATTGAGGGGTGTGGGCATTCTTACCGGATGGTGTACGCTGCCCCCTCTCTACGGCCGTGATTCCTCCTACCCTCGATGTCGCGCTTCTTCGTTGGATGCTTCGAGATAAGCGCGAGTTCGTTGGCAGTAGTCAAGGCCGCAAGAGGGGGACTTGAAGGAGGTGAATCCCACAGATCACTGTGGCGGACCTCAGGGAAACCACTGTGCCCCTATATTTGGATTGATGTCAGTGTCTGTTCTAACCAGCAGCCAGGAATTGATTGATGCAGTGGAATGGACTAAGAAACGTACCGCCGGCCCCGGTAGTGGAGTAATGGAAACCAGTCAGGTTCATGGTAGTGTCGACGATGTAGCAGCTGGCGAGGACGTTGGCCTGAGGACCCACAACCTCGCCATTGCGATTACTACTGGTACTTTGACTGTTGGTTCTACTGGGAGCCATTGCTGATGTTTGCCACGGTTGCGATAAGATGGAACGGGAAGTCGAATGATGTTGGAGTTGAGAGGGATGGTTCGATCGTTGAATGTGATGATTGAAAGAAGAGGCGACTGTTTCGATTGACGGGTGAAATAGATATGTGCGGGTTGCTGTGGTGTTGATGTTGGTGCAGAGAGCGGTGAGAAGAAAGAAGAAGTTGAGTTCGTTATCCGAGGACATCGAGTTCCGTGTGAGGGCACTCCACTTTAAGCACGAGAGGATCACGTGTCAGATACTGACCAATGGAAGCGACGCACGTTCTTCTTCAGATTTCTTTATTTTCATTACGGAGTGTCACGGGACTCACGGTGTCAGGCATCCAGGCATGCATACCTAAATTTAGACACTCAGGCAATTACCAAGCGCAAGGCAGGCACCAAGGCATCAAGGCATCCTCGGCCCGTCTAGCTCTCCGTAAAGGCTCCGCTACTTCACCAACCGGTGATAAGATACCTCAGGTAACCTTAATGTAGGTCAAGATGTCCACCGACTGACTGTAGTTCCTCTGTTACTCCAATGTCTTCAACAACGTCTCCAACACGCAGGAGAAGCCCCGCGAAGCAATCTAGGTGCAATTCGCCTCCCCCCGCTACGCAGATTTGCACCGCTATCTTGTCCTGGCCGAGCATCTCAGCCCAGACAAGCTTAAGCTGAATAATACCTCGGTGAGGGGTAAAGTACACCATATTGCGCATTGTACCGCGGTGCCCAACATGATATCACGTTCCATCCCTCCCTCACCACCGCTACTCTACACTGCGCAAGAAAAGCAACATCAACAATAAGAATCTGCCACGCACATATCTCGAGTTGCATGAGCTGCTCTACGTCACATCGTTGAGCATCTTGAGAGAACCGTGCCTAGGGATGGTCTTGTTCCGCAAAGGCTCATATGCCTCAACCCCTCCAAAGCGCCAAAGCTGCAGGGCATGACTACGACACGAGACTAGCAGCACCTGCAGCAGCCTTTACAGAGTTGAATCTGTTCCTCAGCTCACTGCTCTTTCATCTTTGAGCTGCTCATCCTACGAGAGTTCGGTTCAGGCTTGCTTTCAGGATTCTACGAGAAATGCCGTCCGATCAGATATTCCCGACCTACCTCGTCCCCTCGTTTCCTTTCTCCTCTCCCTTCCGCTGGCGACAACAGTCCACCTCAAGCACCAGCTCCGAAACATCTGAGAACTCTTCGCGCTCGTCCCCTAGTTCGTCCGCCCTCGCAACGCCCAGCTCCTCGCCGACCCCTCATTCTACACCTTCACCTACCTTCTCGAAAGGGCTTGCGCGCCTCCACACCGCCCTCCCAAAAGACCCAGATCCACAGATCCACAAGGAAGAGCGCCTGTGCCGTAGCCAACCCGATACGCTGAAATGTCTTACCTGTGCAACAGACATTGCTTTTGCATCACAGATCGTGAGTAAAGGCTTTACTGGCCGCCACGGCCGCGCATATCTCGTGTCTCCGCCTGCGAGACTCCCATCCTCTCATAAGAAGAAGAACCACAAGTCTACGGACTTAGTAAACATAAGAATAGGCCGAGCGGTAAACAGGGAGTTGTTGACAGGAGAACATGTCGTGGCCGATGTGAGCTGTGCCATATGTCAGACTGTGTTGGGGTGGAAGTATGTTGATGCGAAGGAACAGGGCCAGAGATATAAGATTGGGAAGTATATCTTGGAGACCAAGAGAGTGATCCCGAGTGTGAGCTGGGAAGATGGGACGGAAGAGCCAGAGCTTGAGCAGGCGGAGGGAGCAGACAGGGATAGTGATGAAGCCATTGTCTTTGACGAGGATGACGAGGACGAGTGTGAGGATCTGTTCAACGGGATCTGGGACCCAAAGGTGGTAGCCAAGAGGAGATCGAGAAAAGTCAAGAGGAAGGTTGATCCAAGTAGCTGAGGGATGGCAATCATGGCGTGGAGTGAGTGGTATACTGGCATGACAGAGCAGGGGAGGGGCCCTGTTACGTAATGGTCTGGGCTGAGATGGCGCTCTCCCGTCTATCCGGACCCGTTCATCTTTTGGGGAATCTTGGTCACTACTAGATTGTCTCTTCTTCGGGGTATGGGGATGTGATGGCTTAAGGAGTACAGCAGGACACATCCTTCCTACAAGATTTGCACGCTTTACGATCTACTTTTATTTACTCACATATACCCCTAATAAATAGTTCTAATACAAAACATACCTATCTACATTAAATATACTGTGAATTATCTTGTTCAGAGTTCAGGATTCAGAGTCCAGAGTTTCGGCCCTTGTAAGAGACAAGGAGGTGCAGATCGACTTCTAGGTACAGGCGTTTGTAGAAGCACAGACAGATATCTATCTGTATACTTGGATCCGAGTAGTTCCTGAAGAACCCCTAAGGTCATGCAGTATAAGGTTCAAAGGAGACCCTACCTATCTCTACTACTTACTGTATACTCCATATAATTCGGCGACGCCGTGATGGTTTAAGGGAGGTAGACTCTGTAGAGTGCTTCAAAGTAAGACAGATGAAGGGACGTACTCCGTTTTGTCCTTAGAACTGACTCTAGCCTCTCGGACTAGGAGGACCGGAGGTACATCATCCACCCGCTACTCCCTACTATCTCGCAAGTCGCCGGGCTTACCCATGGCCTCTCCGCCCCTTTTATCTTTATCGTATCCCCTACCGTCCTACGGAGGATTATTATTGCCGGAGCACGGCCATGGGAAAACAGCCCCTGACCCCTGACGCCAATCTTGGTCCTTGAACATGATACGAGAGTTGAAAGACAACACCTGGCTTGGGGGGAAACAGGGACACAAAGAACAAGTAAGCAAGCAACAAAAGATTGTGTGTTGCAGGTGGCAAACCCTCTACAATACGATGACTGTGTCCTGGACAGAATGTTTATATTTGTGCAGCTCTTGATTTGTAACTTGTCCTCTATAAAAATGCATTGTATTCCATTATTAGCAACTTTGTTTAATTAGGTTATTTTATTTCTACACTATGTTGAGTTCTGCCTCAGGTACCCAGGCAAGTGCGAAGGGTTTAGCGAGTCTTGGGCGTTCCTCCCGCGTCGCGTCCGATCCGCACACCTGAAGGCGAAAAGTAAACAGCTCGTCCACATCTCCTCGTCTTCGCTCTCCTGCTCCTCTCCACTACCTCGACCGCCCCAGACCAACATCGCATCGCCGTTCTTTACCCTCGCGACTCCTTGCGCTCCTCTTCAAACACCATATTCCCCAAGATATCCGACACTGTAGCCGCGCTGGCACGCAACGGAGGCATCGGTGAGCTCAGGGGTTGGTGAGGGCCTCGAGAGCGTGAGCGTGTATGGGCCACCTGGGAAAGCAGGCAAAGCAGGACAACAGGTAATCTCAGTCGTTCCCGAACACTCTGCCAGTTTATCCATCCATCTCGCCGCGCCAGAGCATCCTGCGGACAGCATTCTGGTCGATGTGATACTGCCTGGCTTCCTTGACTCGAGCAATCCCTCACCGACCACCACCACCACCAGCCACCACGATTCCCGGGATTCGAGGACCTCGACCTATCTCAGAACACCCGCGAACGATCTTCTCAAGTGTTGTCTCTATGCCGGGTGACAGATAGTTCCCAGGCCTTCTCGAGAGAGTATCTCTCATCTCTCACATCTTAGCCATCGCAGACGAGCTGGCTGCATCAACCGCTGCCTATCATGGGAGGCTACGCAAACAGTGGTGGGGCCCTCACGTTGCCATCTCACGTTGACCATGTCGATGTCAGCTCTGCCGTGAGGTCGCTCAGACGCTCACTATCGCGAAGCCCGTCCAAATCTTTCCGCCTTGTAGCAAAGTCGCCAAGTTCTTCCCCCAAATCGCCGCTCTCACCGTGCCCTTTATCGCCCCGACGCTCGTCATCTCAACCAGCCAACCCTGGCACTCCCAGTAATCCGCCTCATACGCCATCTCCTCTGGCTGTGCCCTTCCCACCAAGCGCGAAGTTGGCCCTTCGGTCCTCCACGCGCTCGAAGACTGCTCCTGCTCGGACTACGTCTCGGACCCGTACATCCCCCAGAAGTCCCATCAAGCGCGTTTTAAGCCAGGCCTCCGATAGTGGCAACGCAACTCCCACCACTTCTTCTAGCCCTGCTGGTGGGCAAGAGAATTCCAAGAGCACCTCTCCGTCAGAGCGCAGGAGCTTTGAGAGGGCCTCGAAGACGACGTTGAATTCGGATATGAGTGCCCCGGTCAACCCTGCGCTATCGAGGCTGGGCGGCGATGGGAGCAATGACGGCCACACGGCTTCGTCGACATCAAGCCCACTCAAACGGAGCGATGCCATCATGAATCTTGATCAAGCAAGCTTGGGTAGCCCAGTGGCAAAGCGAAGGAGCCTGCACGGTTCAGCGAACTTTGGCCATGATTTCAATGTCTTTGATCAAGGCCCATCGTCGCCCTCAACCAATTTCGACATACATGATGATTCTAACCATGAATACGAGTTATCGACAGCCTCGTTCGCTTCGGAACCCCCGGCAACAGCATTCACATCAATGCCTCGACGGTCATCATCTTTACGCAAATCTACTCTGCAGCAGCGGCACGGCGAGAAGACCTCTTGGGGTAGGCGGCATGCGGCTCAAGTACTCGCAGCTCAGCAGCTAGCAAATGCCGCGCCGGAACTTTCAACGCCAAATCCCACTAAGAACAGACCTCGACTATCACTGGATCAATTTATGCCTCCCCTGCCTCGGGAGAGCCCATTTTCCTCGCAGGGTAGCCTACCAAACGCTTCAATGCACGTGGTTAACCAGCCGACACACCAACCGCATCCTCTCTCACGCACTATCACCACCTCCTCATCGAGCTCAAGTATTGTTGATGAGTCTCCTACTCATATGCCAGTTCACTTCGGAGAGCAGCCGAGGCCAAAGCTAGATTTCTCCAAGTCACTACCTGCAGGCTCATTGAGACCATTTTGCCTTGAAGAACACTCCGAGGAGTCATCCGGTGCATTCTCAACGCCGCAGAATTACAAGTCGGTGAAACCACATCCAGCCGCGTTCATGTCTACAGGACTCATCTCCAAAGTCAATCGGCACCCAGAAGAGCAACAACTGCCACGCGGTATAGGCAAAGGAAACGTCCCAGATACTCCATGCAAGAAGCATGTCAATGTATTTGCAACGTATCCTTCACTAATCCCCGGTAGCGCAATTGCGCGAGCCCGGCACATTCGACACTCGTTCGGTACTCCATCTACGCCTTTCAACCCTCACGGGAGTCAGAATTCAGCCGAGATTTTTGCTAAGGGAACCGGCGTTTTTGGTAGTGCTTTTGGTGTAGCCAGACGTGGGAGTTTTCTCAGTGTTGATGGAGATGAGATCAGTGGATCACCTGACGCGAAGGGGGAGGAGGGTCAGTCTGGGATTGATATCGAATTACCACCAACGCCAACGAAGCAGGCTCTCGCGCCTAGCCTGCCAGGCCAGAAGCAAAACAACGGCAGTCCAAGCAACCACAGAGGTCTTCCAGCCTCCACGCCTTCGACTGGTTGTGGGCTACCAAAGAAGATCACGAGAACGAATAGTAAGTTAAATCTCTTAACAAAGCCTAGCAATCGAGATGGAGAAGACAGTGATGCTTTAATGGACATGAATGATTCTCCTACTACGGCCAACTTTCGTGTTTCTGTTAAACCAGCTCCTATGTCAACGTTCCATCCGTCTGGCTCCCATCGCAGCCTTCGTCCTCTACCGGCTCCTCTCATGCTTCAATCTCTTACCACTCCATTTTCAAGTCCATCATGCAAACCGGGCTTTGCTAAAACTGTTTATGTGGCTCCAGCCACTCCGTTGGAGCGTATAGATTTTTTTGAGAGGTTGTCACCTCGCACACCTCAGGAGAGCATGCTTCCACCTGACCCTAGCGGCCTTACCATTTCGCATCCCCGAGATAAACAAGCGGCAAAGACAGGCGCGAACAGCACCTCCATGCCACCCCCAGCCACGCCGACAGCTGGCCGAGACTACTTTTCGAAAATCGGCAGTCGTCGTCTCAGCACTACTCCCGTCAGCGCCTTCGCACCGTCGGATATAGATGAGTCTCTATCGTCGAGATTTGAAAAGATTGAATTGATAGGCACTGGGGAGTTTTCTCAGGTGTATCGAGTTAACCAGACGACGGCCCCTCAAGACGTGGCAAAGACATTCTCGCGAGGAAGGTCTCCGCCAACGCCTATGATGGAGCAGGTTTTTGCTGTCAAGAAGTCACGGCAGCCTTATCAAGGCGTCAAGGACCGTCAGCGGAAATTGCAGGAAGTCAACATCCTCAAAGCACTTGGACATTCAGATCATATTGTACATCTTATTGATAGCTGGGAGGAGAAAAACTACCTTTACATTCAAACTGAGTACTGCGAGGAAGGCAGTCTTGACCTCTTCCTCTCTGATGTTGGTCGGAAGGGAAGATTGGATGACTTCCGCATCTGGAAGATCATGCTGGAGCTTAGTCAGGTACGGATTGCGACTCGGATGGCGGTATCTATTGCTAACAGTCTCAGGGTGTTCGGCATATTCACGACTCAGGCTATATTCACTTGGATCTCAAACCCGCTAACATCCTCATTACTTTCGAAGGTGTCCTCAAGATAGGAGACTTCGGCATGGCGACTACATGGCCTGCTCAATCTGGTGTCGAAGGTGAAGGTGATCGCGAGTACATTGGTCCCGAGATTCTCTTGGGTCAGTACGACAAACCGGCAGATGTCTTTGCCCTTGGCCTCATCATGCTCGAGATTGCCGGAAACGTACAACTACCGGACAATGGCCCAACCTGGCAGCGTCTGCGCTCAGGTGACATGAGTGATGTTCCCAGTCTCACTTGGAGTGACGGCAGTACTGTCTTAAGAGATGCAAATGGCATCCCTGTCGAGGAGAGCGATATTAGTATGGATTCTTTTGGCAGTGACGATGATATTGAGACCGACTTCGGATCGCCGACCATGACCAGCCGTAAGCGGAACGCTGGAACATCGAGCAGGTCATTATCTCACGATCCCGGAAATCTTTTCGGCTCGATGAGGAGAGGTGAGCTTCACCAAGCTCCGGCATTCATGAAAGACATGTACCATGATCATGCGCTCGATAGGATTGTGCGTTGGATGATCTCCCCTACTCCCCAGGACCGCCCAACGATCCACCAAGTCCTCGAATCCCAAGGGCTCCGATGGGTGGAAGCACGCCGTCGCGCTGGTGCTACTGTCTTTGAGGGGAACTGGGGACCCGCGGATGATGTCTTGGCAGACGACGCCGAAATGATGGATGTTTAACAGTAATCTGGGGTTTTGTTAAGGGGCTCCCTGCTATATCCTCTGCCACAGTTCCCTCGCTCCTGGATAGGACAGGCGACGGTTGGATGAGCCTCTTTGAATTCAAACGGTGTTTCGGCGTTGGGGGTTTGGCACGGCGTTCGATGCATGATCTGCACCAATGAAGACATGAAATACATGAACAACCTGATGAGCTGCGCTTGTTTTACATAATCTTCAATGCGGGTCGATTTCTTCCACGCCTTCACGAAACCAAAAAGAAAAATCGCCAACCACGGACTCGACAGGACGGAGGGGTGAGATCGAATGGGCTAAACGATTATCATGTCGGTATTATGACCGCAGTTGCTAGACTTGATTCGAAAAGTGTGTGGATCGAGGGATGTTCTAAGTCTATTGCTTGCTATGGCCTAACCAGATTTTGCTTGCTTTTGTATGGGCATGTTTGACCCGTCGCAGGTTGACGTTGGGCGGGGTTGATGGCTTGAAATGAAATACTGTAGATAAGATCGGATGAGTAGCTCGACCGGCTTCAGTTCCTCACTCTGTGAGGGCCTTGTGGAATTGAGATGCATGGAACATCATCTGAAGATTTCATTGGCGAAGGTCCTTGTCTTTGCTGCACCGGAGGTCTCTCCAGAGTCCAGTCCCATACTCAGTGACGTTTGTTGACTTGCTCCGCACTTATCCTTTGGTTGACGTGTGCGATCACTTACATCAGTCTCACGCAACACGCTCCATAATCCTACATGTAGTCAATGAGATCACACTGGAAAGAAACTCTGTTGGCGTACGGCTTGCTGCTTGCTGCTTGCTGCTTGACTCTGGTATATGCCTTTGACACATGCCTTGACCCTTTGTTCCCCCATTCCCGGCCTTACCAAACCCGGCAGGGATCTTCTGTAGATGGACGAGGCCCACCGCCCACTTCCCAGGTCTTCCGGCGGTTAAATGTGATTGCCGTGTGGCCGCTCAAGAGCCGAAGTCGATGCTCGGCTTGACGATTCCTCTCCCCTCCTCTCAGGTGGCGGTAACGAGTGTGATGCGCTGTTCGAGTCGTAGAGGGGAAAGACATGTGTGTTCCGGGCGTGCGGGGGATATGAAAGCTGGGCGCCGTTAAGGGCATTCCCGGGTCGCATTCCCGTTCCCACCGGCCGGGAACGGTGTGGATGGGCAGGACCAGCAGCAGGTAAGACAAGTTTGCCAATGGCGGGGCGGGGCGGGTTCCTGCGGGAAGCCGGGAGCCTGGGGAGAGAGAGAGGGCAAGGTAAGGGCGGAAAGAAAGCGGACCTCGGGGGCTTGCGGGGGGGAAGGGATTCTGGAAGCGGTTGAAACGTGGACGAGTCAAGGTGTTGGGATTTTCGAGGCTGTCGGTCAATCCTTGCAGTACGAAGTCACGAAGAGAAGTGAATGATCGGTGCGGTGTTACAGATAGGATAAATATCCACCCAAAAGCAGGAATAAAGAATGAAAATAAGATAACACGTACGTACCGCCTGTGTGTGTCTTGGAGCCTGGAGGTGCTGCTGTATTCATATCGGATCATCGTGCAGGGTCAAACCGCTGGCTCTGTGACTTGAGTTGTGTCTCTGCTTTGTAATTTGCAAGGTACATACTACATAAACACGTTGTCGGTGGGGGTCTATGGGTTGTGGGGGCAAGGGCGGTCAAGAGTTGACGGAAAGAAGGGAAGAAAAGAAAGGGGAAAAGTGAGGCAAGAAGAAAAGAAAAGGGGTAAAGAAGAGAAGTACCTAGTAGTAATTTGAATCATGTGGATAGATACATAGGTACCTAGGTACCTAAGATAGACGTGATGTGCACATGAGGTATACTCTGTACGCCTAGATGAAAGATGAAAGATGCATAGGGCAATGTGTATCTAAACGCGGAGTTTTCTTTGCTCTAGTAGCTAAGGTACCGACCGACCTTTGATCTACCTAAGCCAGATAGGTACCTTAGGTAGGGTTAAGTCCATGTAGCTACGGACAATGGACTGCGCACGCTACAGTACTTAACCTTAAGTATTCTTGCAAGTACCTTGCAGGTCAAGAAGATAACATCCCGGGTAGATGGATTCTTCTCAAAGATCAGAGAATAATGAATGCCCTTTTACCCCTTTCTTCCCTCCCTGCCTTGGATACCTTACCTTGGGTATGATCGATATCGCAAGGTTCCCGGCTTTTCGGAATACGCGAGCTGCTAAGAATAAATAAAAACAGCTAAGGGTAAATATAGAGTATGATTACCGTAGAGTAACCAATAATTACAACACACGACAACAAAATACCATGTTCTTCTGGAGAAATACCCATAGTCCCATATCTTACCTTACCCTTTCAGGACCTCACCTTGTCTTCCCTACCACCAACAACACCTCCACTACTTCACGGTGGGAGTAGTAGTCCAGTCGTAACAGACTTGTCCACTTTCCCATCCAATCCACCCAAGCCGAGCCTCTCGGGACCCCTTCCCATTCGCCTGCACGCGCGCGGGTTCGACCGCCTACAGGTTCTACTAACGTCGTCGGTCGTGCTCGTCGTGCCTATTATTTGCTGTCCGGGAGCAGAGCATACCTAGAATCCAGAGAGTCAGAGACAGCGTCCAGAGCACCTGCGTGCGACAGTACGACAACACAACCGACAGCGCGACACGTTGACGAGCAAGCCGATTCTTGTTGTCTGCTCTCTCGCATCTTGCATCTTGCCTGCCGGCACAGCTACTCCCCTGCGGCCAGAGGAGGAGAAAGCGACGACCATGGCCGACAAACACGCCGCATCCACTTCCACCAACTCCACCACCTCCGCTGCCTCCGTTCCTGACGCCACACAGGAGCCTGCCGACTCAATAGATACCGCTACTGTGGCAGCTTCCAACGGCAATCACCCAGCGTCGACGACGCCCAAACCCCTCCGCGATCCCTCGGCACCCTCCACGCCATCAACAAAACGACTTCAACCAAAACGTACCACTTCTGCTACAAACTCGCCGGTCCCTTCAAGAGAGTCATCGCCTGCCCGGCCGTCGCTCAAGTCTAATCCTTCTGCCCGTTCATCTGGTCCGGGGAGATCGAGGAAGAACAGTATTCACGACGTCAGCCCATCGCGCTCCGCCAGCACGAGTACCAGCAATCCCCTCTCGGCAGCTGCCCAGCAAAGAGCTCTGTCTGCTTCGACCGTCCCACTGCTACATCCTGTTCCATCAGATCCGAATATTCAAGCCCCAATACCCCAGAAGCCTTCCGTGGCGGCCGAGCTGAAGGATACACCTCGCTGGCCGGTATCCCCAAGACTACGGTCCCCTCCTCCGACCAACAAGCCGGCCGTGCTCTCACCGCGCAAGGCCGAACACGATCTTCCTTCCATCAATGTTCAACGATCATTGCAACCCTCGGAACAGCACGAGGGCAAGCCGGCCGCGACGGCTGATACCGAGGCTGACGACTCATTACCTACATCGGGTATGAGAACGCCTGCAAGGGGAGTGGGTGGGAATAGCTCCGCACTGGAGACCGTCCAGGAAATCAGCCAACCTAGTACTCCGGTTCGAGGTCTTGATGGGGCACCTGAAAAGGGGGGCAATGGCGCGTCGAAATTGGTGACTGAGCTGGATCGCAAGGCAAGAGCAAGCAATGAGAGCGGCAGTGAGAGTGGCGGGAAGAGCGAGATGAGGACGAAAAAGACAGCGGCTCTTGCTCCGGTGTCACGCCCCACCGCTCCTACTAAGTCTCATAGCACGACCGCAGCGATCGGAAGAGGAAAGCCCCCAGGTGAGGGTTCTACGAGAAATATGACGGTAGAGACCGAAACCGTCAGCTCCATACCCCAGGTTGCCGTCGGAGGTGTGGCTGGTGGGGTAGGGAATAACGGCAGTCTTCGAGCTAAACCAAGCTCCGAGACAATACGACCGAAGAGAGAAAAGAAGAAGACTGCGCGAAAGACTCCATCTGTCACTTCTGGCACGGGTGAGCAATCATCTTCATCAAGACCCCGACTTCATCACCATCATTCCACACGGGACGATGCATCAGATACTTCTTGCGTGCGATCTCCAGCAAGGCAAAACAGTCAAGGCCTGTTTTTACCTCCTGACAGTAGTTACTCAGGAAGTTCCGAGAGTCCCTTGTCACAAGCTTCTCGTAGACCCAGTTTGAGTTTATATAATGTAGGTACAATGCTAACCGGAACTCGTCCAGCTTCTTCAAAAGCAGACATTTTCGAGGCCAAGGTTGCGAGTGCAGTTGACGAAGCCAATTCTTCCGACTCCGAGGAAACCTTTGTCTACGAATCCAACCCCCCTGACGCCAGTGATCGACCTAGGCGGTTCCATTCACGAACACCCAGTGCAACTTCAATGGCGAGTCAAGCCGATCAGAGGAATGGTGTACGGTCTATCATGGATGGCGGTCACAGCGTCGCGATGAAGAAGAGCATGAAATTTGCGAATTCATACACCAGTAATCCTCCGGAGACAGTAGCTGGTGAAGACGACGGGAAAGGCACCGGCCGAAGCGCTATGGGTACAGGTAGGGGAACAGCGCATCATCATCATATTGGCCGATGGGGCCGAAACGGTGGCAATGGCCACGCATCTCTCTTTGATAACGAATCTCCTTTTCCAAATGCGGCAAAATCAAAATTCATAGGAGGCACTCCTAGACATTCCTCACGGCCGACGAGCCCGCGCGTGTCGAACCGGTGGGCTGCGAACGGCAAGAAATCATCCCCTATTGCATACGACCTGGACGATGGGGCGGACGATGAGCGAACCCCACTCATCTCGACGGTTCGTTCTTCGGGACGGTCCGGACGTCGTAGCAGACCGGTTACTTCATCCATGCGACAACTAGAGCATCAAGCATTGAGACACAATCGTTCGTTTCTATCCCGATTTGCGGGATGCCTAGTCTTGTCTCTTATGATCATTCTTGTCATTTCGGCGTCTATCGGATTCATGTTTGCGACGACCCAGCCTCTGGCGGAGGTCAAGATATTAGCACTTAAGAACGTTCTCGCCAGCGAACAGGATGTCATCTTTGACATGAAAGTGTCGGCGCAGAACCCAAATGTGGCTGTTGTCACTATCGACTCTACAGACCTGGTCATCTTTGCAAAATCCAAATACGCCGGCACGGATGCCGAATGGTGGAAACGGCCTCAGGATCAGGATCTACTCCGACGAGGAAACAGGCGACGAGATGATGATCCTCTCGATCCACCTATCGATGAGGATCCCGGTACAAATCCTAACTTGGAAATTGGACACGTCTATGAACTGGATAGTCCGCTGATGTTTGAGGGTTCACTTTTCCATCACTCTCGTTCTGAATCCACAGGGCAAATCCGCATAACCAATCCGGGAAATCACACGGTACCAGCGGGCAGTGAGCGGTGGGGAAGAGTGTTACAACACGAGTTCGATCTCATTGTTCGCGGCACCCTGAAATACACGCTTCCTTTTAGCCAAAAGCTCCGCAGCATTAGTGTTGAAGGACGAGCTACGGTGAAACCGAATGCCGCAGACCAGGACCCCGATACTGTGCATATAATATAGAATCCTTCTATCGTGCTCTTGGCACGAGGGAGGGCGCACACATACACATACGTGGTGAACTACCATATTTTCCTTTGTCACCTTGCTATTGTTTTCAGTACTGTAAATTGAGCGTTACGAAAATCGGTCTGAGCGAGGCGCGAAAATGGTTGAGGCGCAAGATTAAAATACATACATCTGGTCCAGGGTGGACCGACTTGTTTGGAAATCAAAAGTCGCGGGCATTTGCGCTACTTTGGGAGTTTCGCTCTCTTCTTTCTCTTTCTTGACAGCAGGGATTTCGGTTCATGGGGGTTTCTGGGGCAAAGGATTGGGGATATCTTTATCACATCTGGTACATAGATTGACGCAGGAGCGACAGACCGAGGGGAGCAGTCGCCTCGAGTCATCTTAACGGCTGGGTTAAAACCTTGCCGATGAGGGAATGAGGAGTCAAATCTGTACAATGGAACTTCAAAGGCAAAGGGCAAATGGCAAATGGCAAATGGCAAATGGCAAATGGCAAATGGCAAATATATGATGAGGCGGCATCTTCCCTTGTAGAGTCTAGAGCTTCAAGCTTCATAATGAATGAATGACTAGAAATGGCCTTGCCTGAAAACGCAGACTGAGCGGTGGGAAAGTTGAGTAATACGGTCATTCGCAAGGTCGCGACACTTGTGGGTAAGGTCGGTTCAAGCTCACACTTGACTCTTCATCTGTCTTTTGCCCTTCTCAGGAATTTGGAAGGTGGTGATAAGGATACAAATCCTCTTCAGGATATAAATCCCGGGTTCTCTTAACCTACCCCACTCTCGGGCAACAACTAGTCCCGTTGAGAACGATCTGCCGGGCGGTGAAGGGTTTCAACATCGACATCAACATTCCCAAGCCGTTGTCTACGTGGGCTTCATCTTCACCAGCCCTTTTGCATGATTTCGAGAGGCTGAAGGTCTTCTTTTGCTAGTACATAGCCCTGCTTGACCTCACCATTTGATTATTTCTGCACCAGTAAGAAGAAGGGAGAAGGAGAAAATCAGGCTGTAGTCTTCCAATATGGGCTTACAAACGCAGACGCGGGGCATCCGCATCGCCATTGACGTGAGTTATTCCCACATTACCCCTCCCAAACAAGAGGCCGGAGGGCGAGTAAGCAAAGCCTGCTCAACGAGTTCTCTAGATATGCTAAAGAGAAGCTCAAGCAATCCTCTCCGAGCCTGCTGGTCAGGTGGGATCTGCGTTTGAGCGTTGCTCGGGCTCCAAACGCGCCGAGGGATCCCTTCTTGCACAGTCTAAAACCGAACATGGCTAACGATGAGCAAAGCGCGGTGGCACTTTCACCGATTGTGTGGGCAATCCTGGAACTGGAAAGATGGAGGATGATGTGATCATCAAGCTCCTGTCCGAGGATCCGTCGAATTACGAGGATGCTCCTCTGGAAGGAATCAGAAGGCTCATGTCCATATTCCTCAAGAAGGAAATTCCGCGAGGAGAACCCTTGGATACTTCAAGAATCGAGTCTATTCGTATGGGGACTACCGTTGCCACTAACGCCTTGCTCGAAAGAAAGGGGGAGAAGGTTGCCTTGGTGGTGACCAAAGGCTTCAAGGATTGTCTAGAGATTGGTAATCAATCGAGGCCCAAAATCTTTGATCTGGCAATCAAGAAGCCCGATGTTCTCTATGAGAAGGTAGTAGAGATTGACGAGAGAGTCACGCTGGAGGACTACGCAGAAGATCCAGAGCGGAAATTCACCGAAACAGAGCCCCTGAATTCTGAAAATCCGAACCAAGATCTTGTCAAGGGTCTATCTGGAGAAGCGGTTAGGATACTACGACGTCCCGCGGAGCAGACGATTCGAAGCCAGTTAGAAGAAATATATAACCAAGGTATCAAAAGCATTGCTGTATGCTTGATGCATGGATACACATTCCCAAACCACGAAGCCCTAGTCGGCCGAATTGCAAGAGACATTGGATTTCAGCATGTCTCGCTCAGCCATGAGCTTATGCCAATGATCAAACTGGTACCTCGGGCTACGTCTGCCTGTGCTGATGCTTACCTCACCCCTGCTATCAAGAAGTACATTGCAGGCTTTCAGAAAGGGTTTGAGGGAGGTCTAGGGACTGAGAGCGTCAAGAACGAGAAGGGAACGAAGGGGGCCAGGTGTGAGTTCATGCAAAGCGATGGAGGACTAGTTGATGTTGACAAGTTCTCGGGGTTAAAGGCCATTCTCTCGGGCCCTGCAGGAGGCGTGGTGGGATATGCGCTCACTTCATACGACCCAGAGACCAAGATTCCTGTCATCGGTTTTGATATGGGAGGGACTTCTACCGATGTGTCAAGGTACGGCTCGGGAAGGTACGAACACGTTTTTGAAACGACCACGGCGGGTGTGACTATTCAGTCGCCCCAGTTAGATATAAATACTGTAGCTGCAGGCGGCGGATCACGCCTGTTCTTCAGGAACGGCATGTTCGTAGTTGGCCCCGAGTCCGCTGGGGCACACCCAGGTCCGGCCTGCTATCGGAAAGGCGGTCCGGCCACTGTGACGGATGCCAATCTCTTTCTCGGACGCCTGCTCCCAGACTTCTTTCCCAAGATCTTTGGCAAGAATGAAGACGAAGGTCTTGATGTGGAAGCGAGTAAGAAACTCCTAGAGGAACTTGCTGAGCAGATCAACAAGGAGACCGGCAAGAACATGAGTGCTGATGAGGTCGCCTATGGATTTCTAACCGTTGCCAACGAGACCATGACGAGGCCTATCCGCTCACTGACTGAAGCCAAGGGTCATGACACATCGAAACATCGTCTGGCAACGTTTGGTGGGGCAGGTGGCCAACACGCTGTAGCAATTGCTGAGAGCTTAGGAATAAGGCAAATCTTGGTCCACCGTTATTCGTCCGTCCTCTCGGCCTACGGCATGGCTCTGGCAGACGTTGTCGATGAGCAGCAGGAGCCAGAGTCGAAAGTATGGACGGACAAAGGGGATGCTAAAGAGGCCTTGAAAAGGAAAATTGAAGAGCTGAAACGAAAATCGAGAAATGCACTGAGTGAGCAAGGGTTTGGAGAGGGCTCCATAGTGTACGAGGAATACCTCAATATGCGATACCGAGGAACGGAATCAGCTCTCATGGTTGTAAAGCCCGAGAAGGAAGATGTCGAGAAGGAATTCGGTGGGGATGAGTGGGCGTATGGAAAAGCCTTCGTGAAGCAACATCAGCAGGAGTTTGGTTTTACATTGCCTGATCGAGATATCATCGTAGATGATGTCCGAGTCCGGGGGATTGGAAAGAGTTTTGAAGGACTCGGCAAGACAGTCGATCAACAATTAAAAGAGGTTAGGCCTAAAGACGTGAAGTCTAGTAAGGAGTACAAACGATCAAAGGTCTATTTCGACGGTGGCCGACATGATACGCCTATCTACAAGCTTGAGGATCTTGAGGTAGGAGATAGGATTCGAGGACCAGCTATTTTGGCAGATGGGACTCAGACTATTGTCGTGACTCCCAGTGCTACTGCACTGATTATTGAGACGCATGTTGTTATTAACATAGGGGAACAAGAACTCAAAGATACGTAAGTAGCCCCACACTATCACGAAATATTCAATTGTTGAGAATTTACCAGGTCCGAGTTGGATACGACAAAAGGGGTTGATCCTATCATGCTCAGTATCTTTGCCCATCGTTTTATGGCCATTGCAGAACAGATGGGCAGGGCTCTCCAGAAAACAAGTGTCAGTACCAACGTCAAAGAACGCCTTGATTACTCTTGTGCGCTCTTCGACTCCACCGGGGGGCTAGTAGCAAATGCTCCCCATCTGCCGGTACATCTAGGGTCAATGTCAACCTGTGTTAAAAGGCAAGCAGCGATTTGGAAAGGGAAACTTGTCAAAGGGGATGTCATAGTATCCAACCACCCGGAATTTGGAGGGACCCATCTCCCCGACATTACGGTCATAACGCCAGCTTTTAATGAGGCAGGGGATAAAATTCTATTTTACGTTGCTTCAAGAGCCCATCACGCGGATATAGGTGGTATACTACCAGGTAGCATGCCACCGCACTCGAGAGAACTTTACCAAGAAGGAGCAGCAATCAAGTCAGAGAAGCTGGTCAGCGCTGGGCAGTTCAACGAGAAGCGGATCACCGAGTTGCTGCTTACCGAACCAGCGCGGTATCAAGGCTGCAGTGGCACGAGATGCTTGGCGGATAACTTGTCGGATCTGAAAGCGCAGATATCTAGCAACATGAAAGGCATCAATCTCATCTCGGCATTAATCAAAGAGTATGGCGAGGACGTCGTGAACTTTTACATGGTTAATATTCAGAACAACGCAGAATTGAGCGTCCGGAACCTATTGAAAGATGTCAGCAAGCGGTTTGAAGGCCAAGATCTCTCGGCGATTGATTATATGGATGACGGAAGCCCCATCAAGCTCAAAATTACCATTGATGCCGAAAAGGGAGAAGCAGTTTTCGACTTCGATGGTACGGGGCCAGAGGTTTACGGTGCGTATCTTCAGCCAACCATTTGCAATCTTTAACTTACGGAAAATAGGAAACACAAACGCACCTCAAGCTGTAACATACAGTGCAATAATCTACTGCCTCCGATGCCTGATATCAGAAGATATACCCCTTAACCAAGGTTGTCTAAAACCCATCAAAGTCCTTATACCTCCAAAATCCTTCCTCTCGCCGTCTGACAAAGCAGCTGTTGTTGGCGGCAATGTCCTTACTTCACAACGGGTCACAGATGTGATCCTGAAAGCCTTCCGTGCTTGCGCAGCTAGCCAAGGGGACTGCAATAACTTGACCTTTGGGTTTGGCGGCAATGTGGAAGGCCAAGAAAACGTGAAGGGATTTGGTTACTACGAGACGATCGCCGGAGGCAGTGGTGCTGGTAGTGATTGGGATGGCACCAGCGGTGTGCATACTCACATGACCAATACACGGATCACAGATGCCGAGGTCTTTGAGAGACGATATCCAGTCATCTTGCGAGAGTTCTCTTTGCGCGCTGGATCTGGTGGTGCGGGCAAACATCGAGGCGGTGACGGAGTGATCCGGGACATCGAGTTCCGCATACCGGTGCAGGTTTCGATCCTAAGTGAGAGGCGGGTGTATCATCCATATGGACTGGAAGGAGGAGAGGATGCCCAGTGTGGTCTTAATATCTGGGTGAGGAAGGTGGAGACGAGTAACCCAGAGAAGTCGGACAAGCAGCTGAATGGATCGAGCTCGAAAGAGGAAGAGGTTGTATATGAGGAGCGAAGAATCAACCTGGGGGGGAAGAACACCGCTGCAATGAAGGCTGGTGAGAGAATCATCATATGTACGCCTGGTGGTGGTGGTTGGGGGAAGCCTGGGGATAAGAAGGAGCAAAAGGACAAGATTAGGGATCCGAAATTTGGCTGGAGGGGAGGCAGTCATGCTAGTAGAGAAGAGCTGGCCCTGCAGGCTTAGGTCTGGATTAACACCTGATAGACACTTATAGCCCCTATAGAACGAAACAATTGCAACTTCCAAGGACCTGGGATCCAGATGCCCGTATATCTCTAGGTTGCAACGTCTCAAATTACCAGAAGTAGCTCACTACTGACCTAGGTCGCCCGCAGCCACTTCCACGCCCACACCAGAAGCAAAGGACATGGTATTCTGGTGTCCATACAAGAACGCTGGCAAACCATATCTCAGATAAGATCCGAACGCCGTAGCCCATTTCTTCCCAATTGTTATAGCAGTCCGTGGTCATGGCCAAGCCAAATCAATAACTCCATACTCCAGTTCTGCAGAGGTACAATTTCTCTTCCATCTGACGAACCTTGCTCAGTCTTCTTCATCACTTGTAGCCTCGATATTTTCCTTCTTGGCCTTAATCTTCTTCGGGGGCTTTCTCTCGGTCTCGGATTCGCCATCATTCTCCTCCTCCGCAGGGCCAGAAACGTCAATGCCAGCCTTTTTCAAGCTTGCGTTGATCTCGGGGATTGCCCTCAGAAACGCACTGTATTGATCAACAGTCAAAGAGATACCCTAGTGATTTGTGCATCAGCCCATGCCCCGTTAATCCATTGCATGGGAAGACGGTACCTTTTTTCCAGGCAGGTACGTGTCATCCTTCTCGTAGAATTCCCGTATGTTGATGAGCTTCATGTCCTTGAAGTCCGAGATCTCGACTCTCCGAGGGGTTCTGCCCGACGAAAGCTAAAGCAATGACAATCAACACCCGCAGTGGCAGCAGTACAGTTGAACTCAGCCTTACAGTCCAGAATTTGTTATTGCTCCCATCCTTTTCCTTGCGGCCTGGCTGCTTCTCCTTCTTTGTTTTCTTACTCTTGGGCGCCTTGCCATCGTCATTAGAGACGAACCCATCATCAGATTCATAGGTATCGGCCTCGACCTCGGCGATATTTCGTTTGCTTGACTTGCCCATTTCGACGAGCGAATGGAGACGGATATGTCCAGGCTGGTGGACAACGTGGACTTGTACTTATGTAACTGCAGTAATGTAGAAGTGGACTTGAATGGAGATGGCCTCGCCTCTAATCGTAGGTCATGGTCGTTTGACGCGTTTGACGCGACAACCAAGCGCCCCTACGCCACAGAGCTGCGCTGCGCTATTTTTAAATAAAAAGGGGAGATCGTCACGGCCGGCGCTGGACACTGAAACTCGGCTTATTATTATTAGAGAAGACAGGTCGCGCGATTCCATTTCCATCGATAATCTGGTGTCCCCCTTCGTCGTCCAAATTTGTATCCGTGTCATCTCAAAACCAGGCGACCCGTGCTCATCCTCTCCCAGCATGCTCTGGCAACGAGCGCCATGAACGGCGGAGATACGACAAGCAGCGATAGCCTCGCCGCCGCCAAGGACGAGGCCTATCTACAACGAGACGTGCCACTCCCGACCCCAAAATCCAACCCCCAGAGCGTGGAGCAATTGACTACGCGCGCCTTGCGCTTCCTTTCGACAGCTTCGAGTGAGACGATCGGCGGAATTGCTGTTGGGCTGGCAGCATGCACATACTTGGTCTTGGGCAGAGTGGGACTCGTACTGATAGGGGCGCTCGGGGGAATTGCTCTACATGCAACGTGGGAAGGCCAAAATTCCCTTACTGGCACAGATGGGGACGCGCGAAGGGAGAAGGGACTTGATATTGTCAAGAGGATATTGGACTTCAGAGAAAACCATGCAAATGACCTGGACGACGACGAAGAGCCTGAGAACGGCACCGTGGGAACTGGTTTTGACGCCTTCCAGCCAGAAACTGCAGCGGCTCTAAATGAACTGGTGGAAGCGGTCATCAAGGATTATGTTAAGTGGTGGTATCATCCCATGCTTCCTAAAGAACAGTCTTTTCCAGCAGCATCCCGTCAAACACTCACAAAATTTATCTTGTCCGTCTCTTGTCATCTCTCGAGAAAGCGTCCGGCCGATGTGTTCCTCGACTTCCTCACGAATTCCTCCTCGATCGCCATAGTCTTTCTCAATGAATTGTCCAGCGCACTCTCTATCTCGCAGGGCTCTACCGTCCCGGCCGCCGAAGCTATACAAAAGTACCTGGCCGCCAATCCCGAATCGAACCTCGCCAATGTGCTGAGTACGAGACAGCAGGCGAAGAAGTTCAAGATGATTGCCGGAGATATATTGCAGAACTTTTTGGAGAAGCCAGCATACGACTGCATCCCAGTGAGAATCTTCTTGAGGGAGGTTCTAGCAGGGATGGTTCTCGAGGGAGCTCTCAAGAGCTGCTCTAAACCTGAATGGATCAATAAGTGGATAATCTATCTTCTTGAACAAGGGGAGCCAGACATCAGTCAGGCTATAGACGCAGGGGTGGGTACCGGAAATGGGTTTGCAGACTCTTTAGATGTCATTGACGGTAATGTTGGGAACATCGGGATTGCGAAACCATCAAAATCGCAAGTTGCGAAGCAAGAGGATAAGAAACATAAGAAACGTCTGAGTAAGGCAGAAGAGGCTATGGAGGAGGCCATGCAAGAAGCCAGGAGGCTCTCTCAGTTGATAGCGGCTGAGGATGCAAAGAAGCTCCAGAAAGCAGAACGAATATCTGAAGAGATACCAAAGTCTCTTGTAGCAGTTTCCGGACCAAATTCCCAGTCACAGGATCCCAATCCAACAAGACTCACCAGTAGTGTCCCTGATGAGCAATCAAGCACTCGCCCGCCAACCACTCAAGTTAAACAGACAACATTGGCAGCAGAGAAGTTCGAATCACAATCTCCAAACCTATCTCCACCGCACGCATCATCACCAGCTACTTCTTCCACAAGCCTCGATCAGATCGTGGCTCAACCAGATCCCACTGCCTCTCAAGATGAACCCCCAATCACTCGCAGCAAGACAGCCTCCCTGACACTCCACAATGCAAACATTCTAATTCATGATGATTCGATGCCAGTGGACAAAGGAAAAATACGCAGCAAGCCAACCGGAGACTATCTCCTACAAATCGAGCCAGCATCTTCCCAACATCCTGGGTGGATGACTGTACGGAGATACTCTGATTTCGAAACATTACATGAGGTTTTGAGACGCATTGCACAAGTTTCAGGCGTCATAGCCTTCGCAGAACAGCACCAAGCCCTTCCCAGCTGGAAGGATCATACAAAGGCTTCCTTGCGTGGAGAGCTAGAGCGCTATTTACGTGATGCCTGCTGGTATCAACCTCTTGCAGAAAGTGAAGGGATGAAGCGTTTTCTTGAAAAGGATCCAGGGCAATCGTCAAATTTGAATCAAAAGTCAGGCTTTTCAGGAATTGGTTGGTCGCCATCAGCTTTCGAAAATATGGGCAAGGGAGTACTGGATGCGCTTACAAGCGCACCTAAAGGCGTTGCTGAGGGCGGCAAGGTGATCAGTGGTGGTATAACTGGCGTTTTCACGAATATTGGTAATTTAGGCCAAAAGAAAACGAATGGCGGTTCGAACAACATCGAGATGCACTCAGCCGGGCGCTCTTCAACGTCGACATTACCAATAATAGACAACGCGACCCCGCTCTCTGGTTCCAGAAAAGGGAGAGCGAGCGAGGATAGCCTACGAGCATCGCCTATTGTCCAGACTCAACCTTCAAAATTTCCGCCCATGGAACGCAGGCCAAGCTATAACTCAATTGCTGAAGACGATCGCGATCGCGACCGTGAGCCTCGGGCATCATCCGAAAGGTCTTCAATAGGCGGGCGAAGGAGTGGGACTCAAAGTCGAGATCCAAGCCGCGCTCCATCAAGAAAAGGAACTCCTCTCCCTTCCCCTGTCCAGGATGAAATTCGCTTGCCTCCGCCACCTAGCGACATTTCTGATGACTATGCATCTCAACCAGACGTTTCTAGTCCAGCACCTTCTCGTAGAGACAGTAGCACACCCACAACACGAACCTCCACTAGCACTGCGCCATTTCCACAATCGCCCGGTCGGCCGTCACTTTCCGCACCAAGAAGACCTTCTTTACAAGTAACACAGGCGTCATCTCGGAAAGGTCGAAAGGAATGGGCGCCACTTACGGAGCAAGAAACCCGAGTAGCAGTAGAGCTTATATTTGCGGTGGTCAACGAGGTCTATACTCTCTCCTCAGCCTGGAACATCCGCCGAACATTGCTCACCGCGGCCAAGACGTTTCTTTTGCGGCCAGGGAACCCCTCTTTATCTTCTATCCAATCGCTCATCCAAGATTCCGTCATTGCAACCAATACTTCTGATGAAGGCGTTGCAGCTAATCTTCGCAAGCTTCGACAGAATGCACTGCCTACCGAGGAAGAACGGAAGGCATGGCCAGCGGAAATGTCGATGGAAGAAAAGGAGAGGCTGCGGGTCAAAGCGAGGAAGTTACTAGTCGAGAGAGGTGTTCCTGCGGCCTTGAGTGGCGTAATGGGCCAAGCTGCCACTAGTGAGGCGATGCAACGAGTATTTGACGCGCTTCAAGTTGAAGAAGTAGCACGGGGTTTAGTATTTGGGCTCCTATTGCAAGGCGTTCGGGCAGTCACGCATTGAAGGCCTCGGCATAATAGTATATACCTACCTTAAGGTGTATAGGGGTGTATGATTAAAGGCCACACGTTGATGTTTTTCTTTGGTTAGGTTGTATAATTATGTGTATATGAGTAGGTACTTACCTAAGGTACCTTATGCAGAAGAAATATGATTAACGGTTTAAGCTATGGTACCTTGTTCTAGATAATGTACGTATAGTAAGGTAGTAGTAACATCAGTTTTTATTTATACTAGTATTTTGAACTCCCTCGAAGAGAGCTATGATCACGCTGTTACTGGCACAGTAATACCAGGGAAACACGCCAGTTTTGCTTGTTATCCCCGGATTCCTTATCAACTTCCTCTTGAGAGTCCTCTTACAAGTCCTCATCCGAAGGCCCCCCCCCCCCCCCCAACCCCAAATAGCCACTGCACCTCTCACATCGCCCCCCACACACATCTTCTTCCTGTCCACCTCGTACCCTAAATCCTCCAACCAGTCCTCCACCTCCTCCGTAATCTGCTCGTGTCTCTCCTCCAAATGCATCTCCATGTCTGCCAGCAAACTGTCTGAATTATAGGTGATACTAGTACCTACAACAAGATCATCTTGGGAAGAGAGAACAGAGGAAGAGGGACAAAGGAAGACTTCACGTAAAAAAAACAGAAACTCTAAAACATTACCATGACCCCCTATTGAAGCGCAAACGGAGGTCATAATTTATGCTTACTGCTGGAACAATTTGAATATGCGGGGTAAGATTTCTCCGAATAGATGCTCTAGATATACATACCTACCTAGGTAGGTAGGTAGGTAAGGAAGGTATCGTACGAGATAGATGGTATTGTGACTTCGACGACGAATGTATATCAGTTTTCAGGATGGAGATCCGAGCACGTACATACTGTAGATAGTACTCCACAGCGTTAGAGTAGTAGCATCAAGACAAAATAGATATGGGATTTTCTACCAATGCGGTCTCACTCATGGCACAATGACACGTACACATATAATTCTATTATACACTTAATAATAGAGGCGCCTTTAGTGTCTCTATCACGCCCCTGGAGTTCACTCAGGAAATCTATGAGAATGGTGGCAGCCAGAAAGGATATCCCCCATTTTTGATCCTGAAAACACTGAGCAGGAAACTGTACACAACGAAGATAACACCTCCCCAGACAAGAACAGCAACTTGCTGTGTTCTTGGATCTGCCATACGTGGCACTTTCAGGGCCAATGAAATGGTAGCAAAAGAGAGAAGGCCATCTATCAATTGTGAGCTGGAGAATAGGCTTTGAAAGACCTGGGGGACTTACATATGGCTGCCACAATCTGTGTTTCTAAACCGTACTGGTTTGAGAAGCCTCCTGCAAAGTAGCTCACCCCGCCTCGTCCGTCGCCTGCGACGTAAGGCACCTTCCGGATGTGGTTGAACATGTGGCCGCTTGTGAATAAGAGAATGAGGATTAAACTGATCGCAGCCCAAACATTGCGGTTCTGGAAGATCGGCAACAAGTACGGCCAGGCAATACTTAAGAACGTAAATGCACCTAACATAGTGGTGGTGACTGCAATCCAGAGAACCCAGTTGACTGGCCGTACCACCTGAGGATGCGGGCGGTCCTGGAGATGACGGGCGATCCAGGAGTGAATTTGTTCGGCAGATTGAGGTCTTATACAGGGTTAGTTCTCGAAACCATGGGTGGGGTGTCTGGTTGAAACCATACCCATTACTGAAGTCAAATCTTAGAGGAGCGTTGTCTGCAACAGCGTGTGGGCCAGAAGTTGGCTGGAAGAGTAGTATGACTGGTGCTGTCTGGAGACCAAGCTGTCCGAAAGTCAGCTATAGTCATACAACTTTTGGAAATCCAACTCACCGATTGGAATGTTTTTCTTCCATCCATAAAGTCCAATGTCCCATAAACCAAGCGCGATTCTCCCTTCTTGTCGCCCTTGGTCCAACTCTTTGCAAGTAAATCCCATTCTGGCTGAAATTCACGGCATAATTGACACCCAAATCTAGACTCGAGAGCCGTCAACAACACAGCCACAGAATAATCTCTTGGTGAAGCGGTCAATTGATCATAAATGGAATCGTCCAGCTTCAAGGGAACGGATGCGAGGGCTTTCGTATGGAACTGTTGGAACCTATCGGCAGCAGGCTTCTTGGCCCCAAGGGCGGCCAAAGGCAACAAGGAGACAATCAATGCCTTGAGAATACGCATTTTGACCCAGAATGGATTATGGGGGAACAATGCGGTTGAGACGGTAATATGCTCAGGGCGGAGTGGTACGAAGCTCGAAGTGTCCTCAAGTAGCCTTGCGGAGTAATGCTCGCCAGACCTTTGATGCCTCAGGTATTAACGAACTAACTATTTATGGATGTTTGTTGACTTTCGCGACTTGAAGTCACCCGCATAAGCTTATCTACCATCATATACATTGGTTGCCAGCACATTAGTCAACTGAGAAGATGGATTCATCAATATCCTACAATGATGATGAGCAAATTGAGAGTGTAAGTCTTCCCATCATTGGTGCGGCTCATAATAACGTGCGAAGCATATATCCTCGCAACATCTGGAAATGGCATATCAGGAAACCTTGCGTAACGGCGACCTTATTATTAAGGATGAAGGCGCACGACGGCTGAGATTGAGAATCCTACTGCTGGAGAACGAGAATGACGATCTTCATGAGCAACTCGCGCTGGCTGACGACCGAATTGGTGGGCTAGAGCAAGAAGGCGAGGAGCTACGAGCACAAATGGAAACAGCACAGGAGGTTACACGGCGACAAGAATTAGAACTACGGAGTCAGACACGAGAGTTGAACAATTTGAAGGTGCGTCTGTATTGCTCTGCATAGGTTGGGTTTATTAACACGTTGCAGGCTGAGTTGGAATCAATGAATGGCGTTACCATGGACTCTACCAAGGTGCTGACCGAAAAGCTGGCCCTTGCACGGGAGCTTGCAACTCTAAAACCCGAGCTCGAGCATCTCCGTTCTCAAGCGGCATACCAACAGACCGTCTTATCCGAAAAATTAGCTTTGCAGCGGCGTGTCAGTACCCTAGAAGTGGAGCTTGAGACAGAAAAAAGATCCTCGAAACGCGCAGCTGAGAAGAGCAAGAATAAAGAGAAAGAGCTCGCTCTACAACAGCAATTAGAGGATATACAGAAAGAGCTTGCTCAAGAAAAGCGTGAAAGGGAGAAGGCCAGCAAAGAGGCAGAGAAACAACTTGAGGCAGAGAGACGTGCCCTGAAATCTGCAATCGACAGGAGTAAAGAGAAAGAGAAAGAGCTTGAGTTACAATATCAGCATCAGTTGGAACGTCTCCAAGAAGAGCTTACGCAGGAGAAAAAAGAAAGAGAGAAGGCTCGTAAAGAAGCGGAGAAGGAGCTGGCAGCCGAGAGAAGAGCAGCTAAACGAGCTGACGAGAAAAATAGCAATAAGACGGAGAGGCAGTTGGAAGATCTTCAGAAAGATCTAGACCAAGAGAGACGAGAGAAGGAAGAGGCACGAAAGCAAGCGGAGAAAGAATTGAGCAAGTTAGAGACTCAAAAGACTTTGCTCGAAAGCAAACTGGAACAAATGCGAACAAAGTTGCGTGCCACCAAGGAGCAACTTAACGAATGCCAGACAGAGCTGGGCCAGGTTCGGGCATCCATGGCAAAGGGGTCGTCTGCATCATCGAGAGCTGATATCCCAGCTAAGAATGCACGAAAGAGAACTGGCGTGGATATGAATACCGATATCACCATTGGAACCCCAGACGGAGCAGTAGCAGGCCGGGGGAAGAGGCCAGCAGTCAAAAGGGGTAGAATTGATCAAACAGTGGTCGGGGAGAAATCGATGTTTTCTATTACGCCGTATCTCAACCGTACAGTTAATATGGCCCCAGAATCTCCGGTCCAGGATGATGACGAAAGTGCTGCCGAAGACGAAGATGGAGCTTCCGGCCGGGCAGCTGGGGATGTTCATCAACTGAAGGAGACTTCTATTGGCCGTAGACTGGATGATAAATCATCTACAGCTCTGGTCAAGTCTAAGCCGCAAAGTAAGACTGCCGAGAAAAGGTTGCCCGCCAAGAAGGTACTCTCAGAAACAGATGCTGGCACCAGTAACAAAAAGCTTGGTCCGAAATCGCGGAAAACTAGCACATTGGAGAAAGTGAGCGAGGAAGGGGAGAATGATGAGAATGAGGAGCCAGATTCTGCTCCCACGGTCATCGGAATAGACGCAGAAAAGGGCATTCCCAAGGTCTCAAAAGTGCAGATGAAGAATGTCGAAGAGACTGAACCGAAAAAGAAGAAACGCAAATTACTCGGTGGTGGAAAGACACTTTTTGATGAAGAAGACGGTGAAGCGACCAAACGACCTGCAAAGGTTACTCTTGGTCCGCCTAGGCTGTTAGGCAAAGGGGGGCTTGCTGGACCTAAAGGGGGCCTTGGTGGTACTGGCAGTGGCTTTGGTGCCTTTTCACCGTTGAAGAAGGATCGAAGGGGTGCAGGGGCAAGCTTCTTGGCCTGATCTCTCAGACGATACTTGATACTTAATAAATGTGTACGTTGTAGATATTGTGTTGGGGTAAGGGAAAGTCTTTTGGCGTCGGGTATAGGTGCGGCTGCATAGGTGGTTGGGTGCTGGGTGCGATGACAATCTGTAGTATCTCGGAATTGCATTACGGATGATTTTATCTTCTTGGCTGCTTCTTGTACACATTTAGTTGTGATGTAGAGTTGTTTCTACTACTGTTACTCTCCAAGCGGCTGACAGTAATGAAGAGACCCCTTGACCGAACGAGTGATCCGACGGAAAATGTAAATATAAAAATAAGATAAGTACCTTGTTTGAATAAATGGTTCCTCCCCGCCTATGATCATACCCAACACACACCTACACCTACATGATTTCGCAACACACCGCGCAGATATTTCCGAAGAACATACCCAGGAGGTCTTATCTGACGCTTCTATGCCTCCAAATTCATGAACTTTCGGGGACTTCAAGGAGGCTCAACGCTTCGAAGTTTTCAATCCTCCCGAACACACGTCTCTCCTCCTCTTCAACAAGATGGAAAACCAGGCAGGGCAGGGATTCATTTGCGCGCCAGGCCAAAGTTCAGGGATTGAAGAGCAGAGCGGCCTTCAAGCTCTTAGAAGTATGTAGATTGGTCGAGCCCGATAATGGGAGAGTAGTGGCTGACTCCAAATGATAGATTGACGCGAAGTACAAACTGTTTAGACGGGGCCAGACAGTTGTTGATCTTGTATGTCCCGGTGATTCTAGCTACTGAGATGATGGGCTGAAGGATCCAAAGGGTTATGCGCCAGGTTCATGGTCGCAGGTTGCTGTAGAGCGCACGAAGCCCGGCGGTCGAATTGTCGGCATAGATATTATACCCGCGCAACCTCCCAAAGGCGTCTCTACAATACAAGGCAACTTCCTTTCCAAGGGAGTGCAGAATGAGGTCAAACGATTTCTGCAAGACCCCAATCGCGGGCGCCCTATAACATCGCCACTCTATTCTTCGACAGATGCAATGATCGATCAAGACCGCAGCCCCATTGAACCCGAACGACATCCTGATGAGGAGCCTGCTGAGGAGACAACACACACAAAGAGCCAAACCGGGAGAGCTCAAGATACCTCGAGTTATATGGTAGATGTTGTGCTGAGTGATATGTCCGCACCCTGGCCCTTGGAACAGTCCACTGCATTTTGGAAGAGAAGCTTAAGTGACCCATATATTAGGATGATGAACACGAGCGGCATCAATTACAAAGATCATGCTGGAAGTATGGTATGCCTCGCGCCCCCTACATCCTCCCCTTACTCTTTTGAGTGTCGAAATTAATGTTAGTTATAGGATCTCTGCGCTGCAGCACTTCAGTTCGCGCGTGATACTTTGAAAGTAGGGGGACATTTTGTTTGTAAATTCTACCAGGGCGGCGAGGATAAGGAGTTGGAGGGACAGTTGAAGAAAATGTTCAGGGCCGTACATAGGGAAAAGCCCGAATCCTCAAGGAGTGTAAGTCTCTCTTCCCCACAGCCGTGAGCTGGCTATTGCTTATAAAGTTGAAGGAATCCAAGGAAGCCTACTTTGTCGCATTGAGGAGAAAGAAAGAAAGAAGGCGACAATGAATCTCCTGGACCTGAAAGGTCACAAATAGATCAGTAAAAATGATGCACGTGTCTTTGTTAATTGAACAAACAGCAAGCGCTGGCTCATGGGCCCAGGGGTCTTCAACAGCTCCTTGCTAGAGTACCTAGTTTTAATGACTTGTCCACAAAGCACTTTATTTACCATTGTACAAATCAGGTTGGTGTTAAGAAATCTGTGAATTGATTCTTGCTTCTGGCATGCCGTTTTATCATTCACCCATGAAGACCTCCAAGAACACACCTCCATCCATCGCCACAAAGGTATCGTAATTGCCAGGAAAGCCAGAGATATGTAACACCACCCGCAGCCCCCGCAGTTCAATTTAGACCTTGAAACCTCTGGAGCGTCTACGTCCACGTGCCTTCTCGAACTTCCGTCCCTTGGACTCAACGTAGGGTTTCTAGTAGCCATAGAGTTAGTACAGGCACAAATAAAGGCTGAGAAAGTGCCAACCTTGTGCTTGTGTGGTCCGAAGCCGAAGTGCTTGACAGCCTCTCTGGCGTTCTTGGGGCCTCTGAGAAGCAGGGTGTTGCTTCCAGTAGGAGCTCGGAGAGCCAACTGGTCCAGAGTCAAGACCTCTCCTCCAGCAGCTTCAATGCGGGCACGAGCAGTAGCCGTGAATCGGAGAGCGGCAACACTGAGCTTGGGAACCTTCAGGAGGCGGTTGTCATCAGTGACAGTGCCAATAACCACGACAGTCTTGTTGTTTGACTTCTCGGATGTGTTGGCAACAATTCGGGAGATGGAGACAGGCGGTCTGTTGATACGGGACATGAAGAGGCGGCGGAGAACGACCTTGTTGAACGCAGAGTCGGTTCGGCCTAGAGGGAGTATATCAGCATCAAGTTCATAAAGAGTTATACCATCATAGGCAGCTTACGGGCCAAGAAGCGGTACAGCTTCACGAGCAACTTGACGTAGACATTGTCGCTCTTGGGAGCCTTTCGGTGGGTGCTCCGAACGTGGTGGGCGTTGAGATCGATACCTATAGTGAGCACCTCATCGTCAGCCTATGATCAAGCATGCTCTTTGCATTTCGGTCTTGCGACACGATTTGCTACGCAGATACTCTAGACTTCTGCAGAAGTCCCTTAGTCTTTTGACATCAGAGAGACTTCTGCAGAAATACAAGATCTCCACTTGCACACGAAGGCGAGGATGTGGGCAACATACCCATTGTTGCTGCGGTTGTCGGTGGTTGTCGTGGGAAGTTGTCGAGGAAGTTTTCTCAGATCGCAATTCCTGATTCTTGTCTGGAATTCTTGTGGTGTGGATCCTCGCCAAAATAATCAGAGCTAGTACAAATTGGTACCAGGGCTAAACCATGCTGTATTGTGTTGATTCCTAAGGCATTAAGACACTCCGAGCACCCAAAGCACCTAAAGCAGCAAGTTGCTGGCACGGACCGTACGCGACAACTGGCCACGTGACGGCTGACCACTCCCGGTTCGCGGATTGAGAAACTTGTAGCTCCACTGGCGGCTTGCACTACAAATGCCACCAAGGTACCTTAGGTAGTGTAGATCGGTAGGTATCTTGACAAAACAACCTACACCAGGGGAAAGACAATACGTCCCTACAAAGCACATGAACAAAAAGCACTCCTCTGCGACAGCGATATTCCTATTACTGCGACGACTCAAACGTCGATACAATAACCCCGCAAATCTGTCTTCGATCCCTTTGAATGGACCCCGACTTGTCTAGAGGTTGCTTTAGGTCGGCTCGGTTTCCCCTGGTCTAATGGTTAAGCCTCTTTCAACAGATCTATCGCGACTCTCACGATTGTAACGACAAAGCACGCTGTTAGTCGCAATATTTCCTCGGCTGCCGCGTTGCAGACTTTCAGAGCGGCGTTACAATTACTATTACTCGTGGATGTTATCAACTTCCCGAACTGGTCACCATTAATTTGTTAGAGAGGGCGCTGTTCGGGCTCGTGTGCGCCAACAGCTGGTTGCACGTTGAGCTTCCGGCCTTGGAGTAGACCGTCTATCTATCTAGGTACCTGGAAATGTCTGCTGCTGTAAGCCTCCATAATCTATCATATTTAGGGAGAGATGCTGATTCGGATTTGGCACAGTCTGGGACTGATGTCCTTAAGCCGAAGCAGTATGGACCAAGGGTCCTACAGCTTCGCGAGATGATCTCGCAGCCAGTTGTTGCAGCCTTCTGCGCTGGCGGAGTAGCCGGCGCCGTTTCAAGAACCGTCGTATCCCCCCTCGAACGACTTAAGATACTCTTCCAAATTCAAAGTGTTGGTCGCGAGGAATACAAGCTTTCAGTTGGACAGGGCTTGATGAAAATGTGGAGGGAGGAAGGCTGGCGGGGCTTCATGAGAGGAAATGGAACGAATTGCATACGAATTGTGCCATATTCTGCAGTCCAATTCGGGAGCTACAACTTCTACAAGAAGGTGAGCATTCGATCTTCTCAAAAGTGCTCTGATGGGTTATGGTTTGATTTTGGAGACTTCTACAAATACTGATGCTGAAGAGCAGTTCTTCGAGAGTACACCCGGCGGCGACATGAGTTCTGTCAGACGCCTAGTTTGTGGTGGAGCAGCTGGTATTACATCTGTGTTCTTCACATACCCTCTTGATATCGTCCGAACTCGTCTCTCAATCCAATCTGCTTCGTTTGCAGCGCTTGGTAATTTACCACGAACAAAGCTACCGGGGATGTGGACAACTATGGTAACTATGTATAAGACTGAAGGTGGTATTCCCGCTCTGTACAGAGGTATCATTCCAACAGTCGCTGGCGTTGCACCATACGTAAGTACGTCCAGTCCACCTTCCGGCTGAAGAGTGCTGATCAAAATCTTTAGGTTGGCCTGAATTTCATGGTTTATGAACTCGTACGACAATACTTTACACCTGAAGGAGACAAAAACCCAAGTGCATTACGGAAGCTTGCTGCTGGAGCAATATCCGGCGCTGTGGCTCAGACATGCACTTATCCATTGTAAGTCGAAGTTATTGGGCAATGTAGGGGGTACTAACAAATTTCAGTGATGTCCTCCGTCGTAGATTTCAGATCAACACTATGTCTGGTATGGGCTATCAATACAAGTCAATATTTGACGCGGTTAGAGTCATCATCGTCCAAGAGGGCATTCAGGGCATGTACAAAGGCATTGTTCCAAATCTTCTCAAAGTCGCACCGAGCATGGCAAGTAGCTGGCTCAGCTTTGAAATGACCAGAGATTTTTTGCTCACACTTAGACCCGGTGTCGAGGACCTATGAGATTCGGCAAAGCGTTCTCACTGGGAACGACGTGTAAAATATTCCTTTCTTGTTCTTAGGCAGTGCAGAAATGGGGTTACGGCGCAACTCAAGCAGAAAGCTTTGTATACGAAGGCGTGGGGTAAGCACTGGTTGCATTTGGAAAGGCAGAGAGCGGGTGCAGCATAAAGCTTGTGGAGAGAGAAAGTGGTAGATATTCCGTTGCTAAACGCTGCGGGCCACAGATGGGGATGAGCATAGATTTTCTGAAGCCAAGGGTGAAGAAGACACAGACAATGATGGAACAGCAAATATGGCTCGAGTGGCAGCTGTATGAATCAATAGACTGGAAGAACTTAAACCTATCACTCCAGGCATGATTCACACTTCCGCTACAGTTGAAGCTCAAGGCTCCGCGGTACTGCTTAGGACTACCACCATGCCGATGCAGAGATGGATAATTTAGGTATATTAACCCCAGCACGGCCCCTGGCGAGTTCTCCTCCGCAAGTACATAGGCAGTACACCCGACGCAACAGTCTAGAGTTCAAAGCCACTTACCACGTGCACATATGGTGACCTACATAAGGTATATAATACATTACCTGTTTTGCCTACTTATTTCTAGATCCAGTGTCTTCGTACGGGACGATATTCCCGCTGATCACCTCCCTACCTACGGTGGAACGTACTTGTCGCGTCTATCTTGCTGCCTTACTGCCTGGCGCCCCGCCTTCAAATCGCATTGCGCCTAACCGAGAAAGGCCGGCATCTATTCCTATAGTAGTAACGCTACTTAGGTAGGCAAAATCCGAAATAAGCGCGAAGCGCCACACAAGGTCTTCTCGACCACGAGCTTCTTCTATATTGATCTTGACATTTCCGTCGGCCAATCTTCCATCAGATCATCCATCTCTCACCAGCGCAAAACCACGAAACACAACCATATTTTGAGCAAGTCAATACTACTGTGCAGCTCATCAGGTTTTGAGAAGTCGCCCTACAAACTCTGCAATCGAACAAACAGTGCAAAATGAGTCGTGGCGGTACCACTCTCTATGTCACCGTACGTCCATCTTCCCCTTCAGCTTCCTTGTTCCGTCCGTCCATCATCTACTCTATCTATGCTCCCAGCACCATAGTTGACACCGGATAGGGTTTCGGCCCCGGCACACGCGCTCGCGACCTTGCCTACGAATTCGAACGGTATGTCAACCAAACCTCGATATCTCGATGATCAGCTTCGAGTGCGATGATCTCACCCCCAATCCTCGTCTTCCTCGTCCTTATATCCTCGAGACTTCGCTGTCACCTTCACTCGTCATCTGCCTGCCTGCGCTCCTTACCTTTCCTCCCCTTCCTCGTTCGATCGAGCGGTCGCACAACGATACGAATCTTATCTTCACAGTTGTCTCGTGTGAAGAGTCAGAACCGCGGCGGATCGAGCTTTCTAGCATCCCGTTTCATCTCTCACTCTCTCTATCCATCCTTACCCTCCCCAGCAAATTACTTGGAATCTAATGGCAAATTCACAGCTACGGTCGCCTTGTCCGTTGCGACATCCCTGCACCTCGCACCGCTGCGAGCCGTCTGTGAGTCGAGCCCGAATCCACATTGGAGTCAACTCTAATTCGTTGACACATGAAGTAGGTTTGCATTTGTCGAGTACGAGAGCCGCCGTGATGCGGATGACGCCTATCACGAGATGCACAACAAGCGCATTGGTAGGGATGACCTCCTGAAGATCGAGGTGGGTGGATACCTTTCCTGGTGACTGTCCAGCCCTCCATTCTGATATGATTAGTGGGCTCGAACTCCTCCATCGGCCTCTTGGCGCTTCGATTCCGGCCGTGATCGTGATCGCCTTGGTGGTCGCCGCTCCCCACGCCGAGGTGGTCGTAGCCCTTCTCCCCGTCGCGGCCGTGGTGACTTCTCTCCACGCAAGGACGATCGTCGAGACCGTGACTATGACCGCCGAGACCGCGGTGATCGGTCTCGTAGCCCAGATGATAGGTGAGGATGTCGCGCAAGCGGAATCATAATTTCCCCTGCTCATATGAGAACTACAGGGATCGTGATATCAAGGATGACCGTGAGGAAGGTCGTGAAAACGGCACCAACGGCGAAGATAGGAAAGGTGGACTTGCCCTCTCGAGATACTCCTAGCTGGACTATATCCATTGCTAACGTTGTGGCAGTTGCCATCGATACTCCTCCTCCTGCACATGATGAGCTGGACACCGCTGAGTAAACAGGTCGCCCTACGATCGAAGCATATTCACGGCGGACAAAAGTTAATTCACGTCTTGGGTTGCTGATATTTCCTTAATACTGCCTGATTTTACTCTTGTGTTTCTAGATGCGTTTTTCCGATCGGCTTTTCTATTCGATACGAACGAGTATCTCGGCGGCACCTAAAATTGGAGAGTTTCCCATCATCAGCATTCCACTGCGGTCAACAAATCGCCTGATAGCGTAACAATACAAAAGTGAAACCTCAGAATCTACACGTAGTTGATTTATCTCCCCGTGATGACTTCATCCTTTGCCCAATACTTTCAAAGAAACAAGCTACTTTTGAAGGGCGGATATTTTGGTACGCTGAAGCTCTCTAGCGCTACTGCTTCCAGTTGATTACACCCGGGCCATGTGGATTGGCACACTATGAGACTCGGAAAGATCATTTCTCCGGAGTTGACAGGATATATATCAACCGTATACTACCTAGTCAAGTTGATATAGTTCAACCCAGAATCAAACGCTTGCCTTCTCGCAAACCCACATGCATCAGCTTTCCCAAATAGAACGTCGCTCATTTCGTGGCATTGTAAGTGAATGATTTCCAGATAGGAAAGAATTGATAGAGGAGGGACCTTTAGCCGATGCTTTGAAAGATGGGTCGATCATCTTGGGACACCGTGTGTGAGGAAGGCAGGGCAGAGGACGATGTCAGAATGGTTTGGAGGGAAGAGGGACGAGCTCAATCAGAAACGAGAAATATATATATGCAAGCAAACATATAACTGTCATATGTAGTACCTAAGGTACCTACCTCTCCTCCCTCGAGCTATTGTTACTCGCTCGGGTCCTATCTGTCTGGATCTGTGCGTAAGGTATATATCTATCTACTCCACAAGGGGTCCTTGGGTAAGGTCGGTATATGTTGTTGCTGTTGGTTGAATAATAACCATATTATAGAATGACATCGTATGGTACAAGAGAGAAAGATGGAAAGAAAGAAAAACACGGTCAGGATGGGGTTTTATGTTATTTTGGTATTTTTTCCCATTAGATTATCAAGCATTATCATGTAGATAGATATAGGTAGATTTCACGTTTCATCCGTGCTTGGGATTCGACGGAGTAGAGGTGAAAAGAAGAACGAACGCCTTGGAAAAAAGAGACAGAGACTCATAATATCACTGCGACATCTTTTCTCTCCCCCTCCCCCTCTCGCCTCTTGACCGCATCATTTACCTCTTCTCTTGATTAATGTAGTGTGCCGCCCAGGACCGCCGTGCCTCCCGCGCGCTGCTGCTTCCGCCGCTCGCGCAAAGACTTCTGGGGCGTACCCCTGAAAGGCAGACGGACGCCTCTCCCTCCCCTTTCCCTCCCCTTTTCCACTCATCTCCTCTCCCCTCCTCCCATCGCCCACCCTCTTCTCCCGCCCGTCCTGCTCTGCGCGCGCCGGATGCAGCACCTGCAGAATACGCACACGACTACTCCATTGGAATCCTGATTCCTGTGTCTTTCGAACGGTCATTCGGGGCAATCGCTTTTCGTCTCCATCGCGCCTCGCCTCGCACCCCCCTCCCCACCCCGGTGTCGAATGCTGCACACCTCCTGTACCTGTCCTCTCAGGGAGTCGACTTCCGCCAGCCAAGTGCCGGCTGCTACAATATCGAGCGCATCGCCGGAGTCTCGGGCAGGGCCCTGCTTTTCCAACGCCAGAAATACTGTACTGTACATACGAGGGACGAACCCCATACAGGACGTACCGGCAGCGAACGCCAGACTGCACACAATCACGAATACCCATCTACCGACATACACAACCCTCTCCGACAACTCTCGAACGGCTCTATGACCTTCCTCATCGCCAATCCCTCCTGCAGAGCGAAAGCGAGAGCCACGGCCGCCATTCAACAATCCGCCCGCCCAGGAAGTCTGCACATCCAAGATTCAACACCAAAGAATCCTCGGTTGCGGATCGATAACTACCTATATGCTCCCCTGGATCTGCGCGCCGGGAGGACCGACAACAGGCATTGATATATAATATACAGTCCGTACCATCTATCGACCTCCTTGCTACAGCACTACACTCAGGGGCCTCGCAAGAGATCGAGAGGAGCGGCCCGCTAGGCGCGTCGAGTACAGCGTACCGGAGCTGCTTAGCTCTCCCGCACTTCATCCACCAGGCGCTATAGATATGCCTCCGGTCTACACAGTCGCGCATTCTGAGGAGCGGATCCCGTTCCACGTCGCCACTACTTCCTCATCAGACAATTCCATCGCTAAAATCCAACGAGCGTCTTCAATTTCCCCTGCGAAGTCGAAAAGCCGCAATCAATCTCAACCCGACCCCGAACACCCTGCGCCGTCACCCAATGGCCTCGACTCCTCCGCATATCACCCTCTAACATCTGCAAACTTGCCGCGACGGCCAAGCACGGACGGGGTGGAGAATCTGAATCGCTGGTCTCGCTCGACTTCGTCGTCGAGGGATAGACGGCTGAGCCTTGGAGAGTCTGGGACTTTCACTTTCGGAACGACTGAAGAAAAGGTGTCAGCGAAACGCCTGCAGATGAACCTCTCCTCGACAGGAAGCCCTCCTTCCCGCCCACAGGAGACGTCGCGGCCATTGGCCTCCGCTGCGGATCCAGTCCTGCCGATTCTAACCCTACAAACGTCTGCGAATGATTCGTCTTCGCCATCGACTGCTTCGCCATCGACAGCTGGATTGTTATCAGCTGCTGTACGCTCGACGGTCCCAGAATACTTTTCTGCTTGGGAATCCACCCCGCGCGACTTCTCCCAGAGGAGATCACCATCTCAATCGAGATCGGCGAATGTTGGCCCCTCACCCTCTCCGATCTCAGGGTCGTCCAACAGGGTGAAACGCTCAAACGAGGGAGAGGAGGCATCGAAGTCGAGAGGTCATTCTCGGAATCGCTCTCAAGCTGGAAAGAGTAGCGCGGGATCAGCTCGAACTTCGAAACAGCCTTCACAGAAAGCTATGCTCTCTAAAGCTCTTCAGAAAGCCAACACAGCGGTACTTCTTGACAATGCACAGAATTTCGAGGGTGCCATACAGGCTTATTCTGAAGCATGCGCCTTATTGCAACAAGTGATGCTACGTAGCTCTGGCGACGAGGATAGGCGAAAATTGGAAGCAATTGTAAGTTCCTCGAGACCGATCAATGGGTTATTCTCTAACCTCTTTAGCGAAATACCTATACAAGTCGAATAAGTGAGCTCGGAAAGATTGCCCCCCATTTACGTGATGATCACAAAGCATTGCCCGCGAGGCCTGAGGGCGAGGACTATAGAGATGGGGCCGAGTCACCCGACGATGATGAACAGGAGGCTGCTATCATTGAAACTGCAACGGTCACGAGAATAGTGAACGACCAGTCTTACATCCCTGAACACCAACAAAGCCGTTCAATACCCTCGTCGCACATGCCTCGGCGGAGAGAGTCTCTCTTGCCATCAGCCCTGGATTCGATGCAATACAGATCACGAGTCACGCAGGAGCCATTCACGGAACGTCCCTATACCAAAATCCCTATGCGGGAGCGTGTGACGGAGACGAGCCTTAACCTTGCGCCACCAATGGAAAGCCAATACATGCCGCCGCCCCTTTCCCCAATGCGGCTGCAATCGCCCATGACCCGCGGAACACTTAGCAATGTTAATAATAGACAACCTGGGTCATTTCCTCCAAGAGGGCATACCCGGGCGCCTAGTAACGAATCGATGTCCTGGCTTGACACTATCGATGAATCGGGTGGCTCATCTGCATCTTCAGTGCATTCAAGAACATCATCTCTGGGCGTTCGAAGGAAACACATTCGCGCAGCAAGTGGGGCTACGGAGGCTGAATTCGATGCAGCACTGGATGCCGCTGTTGAGGCCGCGTACAACGAAGGCTTTGAACCAGAGGACACTCCCGAACCAAGCCACTATGACTATGATAACGATGATGAGATTGTTGCGAACGTGAGGCGGAGGGTAGAGTTGGCGAAAGAGAGGGTCCGTCAGACGGAAAGGGAGGCAGCTATATATGACGCACGTGAGAGAGAGAGGAAACGACTGCTTCAGCAGGAACTAGAACGACAGGATACGGTTGACGATGAATTCAATGGGAACGAGTCCGAGGAAGAAGAACGAATGCTTGAGGAGATGACGAGAGGATACGTGATGGATGACTTTGAATTTGGCTTATCGTCGAAGTCCGCCTTGCCGCGAGAGTCTGACTCCAGTGGCTTTTCTGGTCGGACCTGGCATAGCTCAATAGGATCCAACCCTACGACGGCAGGGACAACGCTCTCCACTGTGACCGAAGCGGCCACCATGGCACAGCTCCTCGCAAATCAGTCAAACACGCCACCCCCTAGCCAAGGCCTTCCACCGCCGCCCAGTCGAGGACTCCAGACACCCTTACCAGCATCGGCTTCTCAAGGCGTTCGGAGCCGTAGGCTTTCTGGACAGAATGCGAAACTGCTGAAGATTGAGACGGCGACAACCAATCTGGACATGGGACAGGTAGCACCACCCACACAGCCTCCCCCCATGCCACCCCCACAAGTCCCAATTGATGACAACTCCGTTCAACCTAAAACTGCCGGCTTACCGCAACATCGACCAACTTTATCCGGAACAGCAGGTCGGCCGCTCATACCACAGTCTGCTCGACATCCTTCGTCTCTATTCCCGGGCCCCAGCCCATCTGAGATCCTGTCCCCGCCAACACCAACTCTAACACAGACTTTCACTAATGACAGCGAAACCAACGGACAGACATCTCGAGCTGGTTCTCCAGGCCGCGCTCAATCAAGAACTGGATTGCGCAAGAACTTCTCATCATCCAGTTTGAAGAACATGAAGAGCCGTAAACTTTCGTTGTCTAATGTTGACGATGGCTCTGACGTCTCACCAAACACACCCATAAGTTCGTCATTCAATAGTAGGGATCTCAGTGCTAGACTCCCTGCCATGCCCACGCTTCCAACCCCAATTGCGCTAGCCTTCACGGAGAAGATGGATGGCGGGCCCACTGGAGGCCTATACCTATTCAACAATGACATAAGCTCTCCAGATAGTCCAGGATCGCTGGACCCGCTCAACTCGGGTGCACCTATACCTCTCGAACCTTGTCCTACCGAGTACTTACTACGTCCATTCTGGCTCATGCGGGCCCTTTATCAGACTATCGCACATCCAAGGGGTGGATACCTCTCGACTAAACTTTTCGTCCCACGTGACGTATGGAAAGTTAAAGGGGTGAAGATAAAAAATGTCGAAGACAAGATTTCGAATTGCGATTTTCTCACAGCGGCTCTTCTCAAACTTGCCCAAGTTGATACCTTCGATGCTGATGCAGTTCTAGAAGAGATGCAATCCCTGGAAGGTGTCCTCGAACATGTTCAAACAATGTTAACAAAGAAATTGGGTAACGAAGTCGGAGTTCAGAGCTCAGGAGGCATGTTTAAAGATGCGCCAACAGTGGGTGAGGTAGAAACGGGCAGTATAAGCAAAACTGGTAGTATGTCGAGCAAATCTTCGTCATTCTCGTGGCGAAGATTAAGGTCCAAGAACTCGGGCATAGGATTAGCTAATAGCTATTCCAACAAACCTACAGCAGCGGATGGACCAAAGGAGGGCCTGACGATGGGTACATTGCCCATGACCACGACGGCACTATCCAAAGTTCGTTTCGCAAAGAGAGATGTCAGCCAGCTGGAATTTTCGGGGCCAAATTCTAATTACATGGGAGCGCTGGCACGACTATTTGATGCCGCTCAAACCCTTGGTAGGTTTCTGTTAACCCAATCGGCGGGGGTGGATGCTAACAAAACTATAGATCAAATCGCGCGACAAGTTGAAGACCCTGGCCTTCGACACGCAGATAAAACCCAAGTGGGTCTTGAGCTTTGCACCCGCCACGCTGCCGAATTCTTCGGCTTTTACATATGTCGGTTTGTCCTCACGGATATTGGGATGCTTTTGGACAAGTTCATTAAGAGAGGGAGCGAGTGGGTTCTTGTTTGATGTTTGCGCTGCTTATTCTGTTGCTACTTTTTTGGGATATCCCTTTCAGAGCATTGCTCTTGCTATTGGAATGAATTTACGATATAGGGCGTTTTAAAGGGAAGGGGGTTCTGGCGACAATTCGAAGGCAAGATTGATACCAATGCATATTATATCCCAAGAGGCATTTGTACAATCAACAAGGCGTGTTGTATCTAGAGCTGTTTTGCCGGGAGGTCTTAAGCCTTCAGCCGTACATAATGTGTATCAGCCGTACATAATGTGTATATCGAGGGGCTGGAGAGGTCAATTAATCCTTAGCTGCATCCATTGAGCTCCTCGTGGAGGCACGAGAGAAAATCATGCCATTCCCAGCTATTCTCTTCTGAAAGATCCGTGAATTCACAAGTTGCTACCTAGCTACAAGAAAAGAGGCAGGAGTGGGGTTGTTGGGGGTGTGAGAAAAAGGAGAAGAGATATGAACTGGCCTATGGCATACCTAGCAACCCTAGTGACAAGAGCAGGCAGGATACGGTGCTATCAATGGATTTCAATTGATATCTCATACTTTCATCGTTATCGTGGCTCAACTGGTGCCTCTTGAAAAAATAATTTCCTATAGCCCATGTGCAGCTTCCGTTTTCTTCCCCTCGATATCACTGCATCTTTTCATATGTCGCCATCAATGAGCCTGCAAAACTAGTCAGTATACATCAGAGTAGCGTCAAGTCAAGGAACCATCTTACCAATGAATGTAAGCACCAATTTGCTTCGCACCTGACAGATATCCTCCGGAACAAGCCAAATTGTCGCCCCCATCTTCCTAGCAATACTGATACTAAGCTTTGCATTCAGATATGCATCGTCGTCTGTTCTGCCTGGTGTGACCAGCTCGTAGTCCACGTAGCTGCTCTTCATCCCATTCAGGACATCCAAGAAGAATATTCCGCTGCCTATACTTGGGTCCTTGAACGAGCGAATCGATGAGCTCTTGCCACCCTTCCGAGACATATCGTTCGCCCATTTCACCATTTCGGCATCCGTGATTTCACGCTTGCCTAATCGTTGGGCAAGCGCGGACAGTGTTTCGGAGATATCTTTGCGCATCAATTGCCAGACGAGTCCAAGCGTTAAGGTACGTTGTCCATCTGTGATATCTGCACCCTGGACACCGACCAGAGAGAAACGATTTTGCTTGCCGAGTTCGATAGCGTAGTTGGTGTTTTCTACAGCTTTGAATCGTGACATTTCCCCTCCGTTAGCTGGTGGCTTGTTCACGTGACGCCAGTTGACAGATCCTTTTACGACCTTATCATAGGCTTGCAAGAGGATTGTTCCATCCCGTAGGTCGTCGTACAAGGAGTTCACAGCGGGTTGGACATCGAGACTGTTGAGCCAGAGAGTGAAGACTCGTGCCTCTCGTTCACCTTCTGCATCAAAGTCGTCCACTTGAAGTTTATCCTCTTCGGTAATCGGATCTAACGCAGGCCATGTATTGAAGAGATTTGCGACAAAGGCTAGGTTCAACTTGGGGTTGCCAGCAACCAGCGATGATGGGGTCAGGAACTTTCGGCAGCCCAGCGCATCAGCATTCTGTAGTACTTGCTCTGCTCTCTGTAGCAGGTCATGAGTCTGTAGAGGACGACGATCGCAGTGCTCTGGTGCAATTTGAGCGAGTAGAACAGTATAGTTCTCGGCATCCTTGACATCATTGGAAAAATTTGTTACCCTAGAAATTATCAGTATAATATGATCCAACTAGTTTACAGTACATACCTGCGGGGCCAATTGGCGGCTTTCAGGTGATAGTTGACCCATCTCAAGAGAATCTGCTCGGGAGGTAATCTTAAGAATTGTTCCAGGGTTTCATCTTCTTCCAGCAGCCTGTACAACTCAGGGTGGAGCTTAATATCGATCTTTCCAAGGAGACCCCTTCGGATAATTTGCCATATAAGGCCCAAGATTAGATGCTCTCGAACCTCAATGATATCTCCACTTCCAATATTCACCACAGAACACCCGATACCTTTTGCGGATTCGATGACGATGTTGTTGTTTTCGGTCATATGGAATGCATTAAGAGACTTGATTTTCTTCCCGGGACGGTTCAGTACACGCTCATCGATGGTATCGGGAACGCTGTCGTTGATTAACTTTGCCAGCACCAGTCCATCCTTGCATTCATCGAACATCTCGAAGGTGTCTGTAGGGAATGGGAGACGGGAGCCAATATCCGGGTCGCCGGCCAGAACAGCGTTGATATGACGAGTAAATTCTGTTCTTTCATCTTCATTGATAGTATGGGTAACGTTTGCTGAAGATCCCTGAACCTGAATTCGCCCACTGACGCTTGCTTTTGGCGCATGGCCGCCACCTGTTTGTTGCGATACAGCACCCCGGCCAGGCGTTGCTGGACCAGTAGACATGCGCTGCTGCGCAGGTGATGATTCTCGAAGTTTTGAGATGAGCTTTGTTTAATTAGTATATCTTCAGTCTGGGCGGTCTCGGCTCCAACTAACCCCGACGTAGTCGTCTAGCTCAACCCTTCTTGAGGAATCCAGCTCGACCTCTTTCAGGGCCTGTCGGACAACATCGTATGGCTGCCTCTCGCTTGCTTGGGTTGCTTTGATGGCGGTCGCTTCATCAATATATCCTTTATCATCGACATCAAGTTTCCGGAATGCATCTTGGAGACTGAAGATTTCGTCCTGCTGGAATTGAGGATATTTCCTGCGCGCAGCCCAGTCAGTACAGGTTCACATCAGCCGGGATCTTGAGCGCCTTCATCAGTACCTCTGCAACTTGATAACATTCATCTTGAGACCTGGGCGATCGAAGTCGAGTTGGGCCAAGTCCAGTCAGAGTCGAAGAGATGGCGCCGAAGTGGGGTCGTCGGGGACTCTGCTATACGGAGTAGAGGATCGAAGGAGCGGGGCGCGTTGTCTGGAGAGGGAGATGGCGATACTCTGATGGGCGCAGAGGGAGAGGAGACGGGAATTGGGGGAATAGAATTGGGATTGGGATTGGGATTCCAGGACTTGGAAGCGTTCTGGTCTCTGGGAAGAGGAGATGTATGTTTCTTGCGAAAGGTTGGATAAGGTAAGGTATACCTTAGGTACCATCTGCCTGGGGGGCGGCAGAAGCGAGGGGTCACTGAACAGCCACAATTCCACGTAAATCATGACGCATTTTTCCGGCCCGGTCACTGTATTTTACGGATAATAATAATATGCACATGTATAAAAACGCCATAATTACGGGCAGGGTAAACCCTTGTTTTTCTTTGACAGGTATTTAATGTACTAGGGCGTATTTGGACTAGGGTAGGTTATAAATCCCATTCCTACAACAGAGCAAGGTATCTTCCAGGTTTGCACTCCACGACATTGTTCTGCTTGTTTTGCCCTGCGTAGGTATACCCATACCACACAGTCGCATACGACACCAGTGATCGGGGCCGTACCGCGATCTGCTACGGCTCAGATCAGGCAGTATCATACCGTTGGCTTTCCGCGGCGGCTGCCGGTCGTCCTTTCTTGCGAGACTCTGCGCTTTTCTTCCCAAGGGCCAACAACATGGCTTCTTCAACCCCGTTGGAGCATGTTCGGAACGTTTGGGAGAAGATGCAAGGGAACAGTCCGATATATGACTTCCTACTCTCCGATGCTATAATAGTCTCTGCAACCAAAGGCACCGTCAAAGCTCGCCTGACGCTCTCTAAAAATCATGTCAATTCCAGAGGGACGATCCACGGAGCTGTCAGTGCGACGATAACTGACTGGAGTGGCGGTTTAGCAATTGCTACTCATGGACTTGAGAAGACAGGTGCGAGCATTGACATACATGTCACGTACATCGGCACTGCGCAGGTCGGGGACACCATCGAGATTGAAGCTACTGCCAACAAGGTCGGACGCTCTGTTGCTTTTACGACCATCCGGATATACAAGCTTGTTGATGGGAACCCCGGATCAATGGTTGCAACAGCTTCACATACGAAGTACATCCGAGAAGCTAAGTGATAGACAACTTGAACGGGAACTACCTTAGTTTTGGAGCCGCAGTGTTTTTCTGGGCCTATTTTTGTTAACGCTATCTTCTTTGAGTCCAGCATGATATTCACGCACTATGAATGCTTGGACTCACTCGGATGGCGGAGAGAAGATTGTCCTCTACGTTCAGCTTTAGATACCTCCTGGTAGATCATCATCTCTCGTTGGTAATTGTGGAAGGACTACATTAGAGATTAAGAATTTAGAAGAGTATTTGAACAGCCACTCTTTGTTCGCCCGTTCGCTCTTGATGATTGTAATATATTTCTTGCCCATGAAACATTAAGCATTTATTACACTAGGAGCTACTCGCTGACCTTCGTTCCCCGGTATCTGGTGTCGCTATTCGAAGGGTGGAATCTCGCGAAGAAATTTCAACTCCAAACTCTTTTAGAAAAGCCTTTCTCTAGACTCTCTCCCTCCCTTGCCCTCGGCCCAACATCGCCTTCGATCACAAAAACAAATTTCCAATTGTTCGCCACATTTCCACCATGTCGACCTGCAAGATATGTTCCCAGGAGTTGATTATTGAATTGGATCCTGAAGAGTATGCCACACATTGCCAATCCTATTCTTCAAAGTGCCCGCAGGCTAACCGTTCCAGCTTTAACGAGGCTACATCCTCTGCAGCAGGTGGATCATCGACAAGTGTTCCAGATGACTTGCTCTTGACATGTGGTTGTCACTTTCATTGGTATGTGACATTCACAGATACTCTACCTAAGCCATGCCCCGTCATTCGTTATTTATCTCTTTGTTTTCAAGTTGGAACTCCATCGCTGTCACGTGCTTTCGATGCTGTAAAAGCCCATATGATGGGCATTATTCCGCGATCGAAGTCTTTCCATCGTTCCTGTGGTGCCTAATCATAAGAAGCCCCGCCGGCTACTGACTGGGAAATATAGGCAATGTTTTCTGGATGAATCTCCCCAGATCGTCACCTCACTTGCTTGCCCATCTTGCAATCGGTTCGTAGGATCAACGTCAACGACTCTAGAAGGGGCCCAGCAGTTGCAAGTCCTGACAAAGTATCACAATGAAGGTGGGATACAGGTGGATCTTGACGTGCTTCCCCTAATCAAAGAGGAAGCCTACCTAGTTGCCAATCCTGCTGCGCGGCCTGCTCGAGCCTTCATGACTATGTGCAGTGAAGGCGACGTGGGAGGAATTATTGAACTATTGAAAGCTATTGAGGAAGATGAGGATGATGATGAAGGGAGCATGTCAAGCGCAGAGCTTCTGCGATATCAAGACCCTCTTGATGGTATGAAGACTGGGTTACATATCGCTATTGAGAAGTCAAGAGAGGAAGCTGTTTGGCTCCTTTTGTGGTTGGCTTCTAGCGTCCCAACAGCAGCTTTTCCGGCTGAAGTTTCACAAGCATCACAGGCGATGGGCCAGGGAAGAGATACTGCACGAGGTCCTGATATCCGAGGCTTACGCGATGAGCAAGAAAGGACTGCTCGAGACATTGCTGCAACCATGGGAAACACATGGGCAGGATTTTTAGCGACCGGACTACTGGAGGTGTAGAAAAGATGGCAATAAGATACTACGGTGCACTGAAAACACGAGCAAAAATACTTTGGGGGATAAAAACATCATATAGAGTAGGTCAGGTAGTTGAGCATATACATACCTCTTTCGAACCTTGACTTCCGATAATGTTGGCGTTGTTGATATTGATTCAATTCTTTTTTTTCCCCAACTAGGTATACGGTCAACTGTCTTGCCCTACCTACCTAGGTAAGGTACCTTACCTTACCTTACCTACCTAGGTACCATCTGTTAATCTATCTTACCCATCTTTCCATTTCACCTTACCTGCGCACTACAAAGTACTGTAGGCGATGAACCATGACGTCATTGCTCGGCTTTGAGCTCGAGGCTTGAGCTCTGCCGCGGTCTCCGGAAACTTCGCAGCCAAGCAATGGGCCAAATTCGATATCACGTTGCATATTCTCCGTATACTTTGCATTATACCGCATCCTGTTGGATTATGCCCGCCGCAAAAGCAGACACGACCGCCGATACTGCCGTTCCTGGTCCCTGTAAGATATAAAAAAAAGGCCATGCCCCTCTTCCAGTGACGCGTGCAGCCTTGCACCTCGTTGATCCGCAAGAACTCCACGACAGTACTCATATTTGTCACCCTGCTGATTTACTGCTTCTACCAAATATCCCATGTGAGTCAAACAATCCAAGCCATCATCTCCCTATCTCAATGTTGAGGAAGCATGCTATTACAAGCTCCTAGAGATATGCTAACCCACGATCTTTAGAATTGTGAAAGAAGCAGCATCTACATATACCTACTAAAGATACGAGCTGGGACATATAGACATAAGGGCGCTGCAACCAGGATTCTGCATAAGCCTTCTACGATTTCTCAAGCGGGGGTCAAGCTCGCCGAGCCTTACGAGATGGCATGTCCACCCACTGTGAATGCGAAGACACCCCCCGCCAACATAGACCGATCATCTTCACTGGACAGCGCTCCACAATTGATCGGGCAACTGAATCAAGATGGAATTGCAAGTCTTGAAGAGAATAATACACATTCTGCACCAACCCTTCATAGTCCTCCACGATCTCTGAAAGCGGCATTAGAAGCAGTCGCGAGTTCTCGGGGAGGCAGCATAGATACAGCATCGGAAACCGCTAGCGAGGAAGACTATGATGCATTGAAACATGACCCCACGGCTTTTGTTAGAGGGGGGAAAGGTGGAGGGTTCCTGGCTGATAGCAATGGAGTGCAGACACCAGATGCAGCCATAAATGGGAGACAACATAAAGATGCGAAAATCCCTTCTTCTAAATCGCACCCAGGATCAACAAGACTGAAGAATATACCGGTTACTCTGAATAAATTGAAAGAGCCCGGTCGATATGTTTTGACGGCAGATGACAGCAGCGCATTGAGTGAGATCTTGAAGATGGGTATGGAAAGAGTGCGTTGGTTTGTCCCTGATGTTAGATTTATGTTTAATTTGTCTCTATAGGAGAAAGATTCGGCATTTCCGAGAAGGCGGAGCAAGTTCAGCGATTTGGTTTTTACACGGCAATTTACCGCATTTGATAGACAAAATGCGGACGCTGTTAAGTCTCCTTTCCACGGATTCTTCACCTTATTCTGGCTTGGGATTGCCTTATTTATGATGAGAGTTGCCGCTGCAAATTGGCGACAGTACGGAAACATACTTGGCACAAACGAGATCATGAACCTTATGTTCCACAGAGATGTAATGGTTCTAGGCTTGTCAGACGGTATAATGTGTGCCGCAACGGGGTTTGGCTTGATCCTGCAAAAGCTCATTTACCATGGATTACTGAGTTGGAACAGGGAAGGATGGGTCATTCAGAGTGTAAGTGTAACCACTCATTGAATATTTGATAGCAGATATTCAACCCAGTCCAAACGCTCTATACTTAGGGGCTAATAAACTCATCTGTCTAGTTATGGGAGGCCCTGTATATCTTTGCAATCCTACGCTGGACGCTATTTCGCGAGTGGCCATGGACACACACGGTCTTCTTCGTCCTCCATGGGCTGGTCATGCTTATGAAACAACACAGTTATGCATTTTGTAAGACGAAGAATGGCCTCAATTCGAAAGCGTGGCTGACCACATTTTAGATAATGGCTACCTGTCAGAACAATATAAGCTACGGGCCACCCTTCAGCGCAAGCTGAAACAGTTAGATAGCATTGTGCCAGTAGAGACACCCTCGGCCTCTTCCTCTAAGATTCCACCTCTAGCTACTTCTTACCTGGATTACCAGCCTACGGCATCTGGCCTGAATCAGCGACGCCAGTCTCAGCGAAGTTACTCGCATGGTGACGAGGTCTCAAATATTGCCCAGGTAGCTGCCCTGTTAGAATCCGGCGAACCGCTTGACACCGATCAAATACAGACCTTTGAGCGTATCATCAAATGGGAGATCGATGCTCTGACGGCAGACCTCAAAGGCAAGTGCACGGCAGGCGGCAATCTTTATCCAAATAACTTGACCATCACCAATCATTACGAATTCATCGTTCTTCCCACATTGGTTTATGAATTAGAATATCCGCGAACAGAGAGTATCAATTGGTACTATGTTGCCGAGAAGACAGTTGCGGTATTTGGGATTCTGGGAATAATGCAGATGGTGGCTCAATCATTTATTTACCCAGTGGTCATCAGAAGTAAGGGATACCTTTCTTCCTTCTTTCCAACCCTTCCACTCCCAAGTTATCCTTCTCGTACACTTACTGCAAAAGGTACAAGCTAATCTGAACGCCCCTAGCTATCGAGATGAAGGAGGCAGGCCTAACGCTACAAGAGCGCCTTGAGGCATTTCCTTGGATCTTGAGTGATTTGATTTTCCCATTTATGATGGAGTACATGATGGTGAGCAGATATTAGATTTCTGGATTCGCCATCCTGCTAATTCATATTCAGAGTTGGTATGTTATCTGGGAATGCCTCTTAAACCTTATAGCGGAACTCACTTATTTCGCCGACCGCGGATTCTATGCAGACTGGTGGAATAGTGTCTCTTGGGACGTAAGGAACCCCCCCCCCCCTCTCTCTCTTCTGCTCTCATTAAGCAATAACTGATTCCCCGATCATGCAGCAATTTGCAAGGGACTGGAATCGACCCGTTCATAGTAAGAAACCCATGGCATTCAAACTTCCTGCCTCCGTTTACTTATAATCTGTTTTAGAGTTAGAGGCAATTACTGACATCTTGATCATCCAGACTTCCTGCTTCGACACGTTTACCATTCGTCAATCTCCACATTGCGAGTCAACAAATACACAGCGACTCTGATTACTTTCTTCCTCAGCGCATGTGTTCACGAGCTTGTCATGTGGTGTCTCTTCAAAAAGCTCCGTGGGTATTTGTTGTTCCTGCAGATGATGCAACTGCCGCTTGTGCGGCTGAGTCGCAGTAGGTGGCTTAAAGGGAAAGCAACTTTAGGTAACCTGCTGTTCTGGATAGGTATATTTACGGGGCCTAGTCTCTTGTGCTCTCTTTATTTGATTATTTGATATCCCGCTCACCGATATACATGTATTATAGACGAACTGAACCTGAGCTGTACGATAGATAGTGTGAAATCGGAGTATATAGGGCGTTTTGGAGGGCTCGGAGTACCAGACTATAAGAATTCAAGAATCCACTTCTGGGACCGAGAAGACCGAGAAGCTACTGCCTTACCAAGTTACCGGGGACCCCTAACGAGTAGTAATTAAGCTATCTACGGAGTTGTAGTAGGGACTGGTCCGAGTGGGTGAGGTGGTTGTGTTCTAGATGCGCGACACGTGATAAGATTTAAGCTAGTACCATCCGACGACATAGTTAAAAAGCTCAGCTTGTTATCATATGCTTATGGGGAACCCCGGCCAGGATCCAACGACGAAGCTTCGAATGAGCGGCCATTGCGTTTCATTCGACTCCGCCCTTGACTGGAACGATGAGTACATGAATTGAGAGGGAGCTGAGCCTCTTCTACCATCCAATTCCAGCCTCTTTGCTGTACATTAAACGTCCAAATTGGCCAACTTCATCAAGACCCTAGCGCAGCACGCCAAAAACGTTCCCAGATACTTCCCCGGAAGCCTCCTCAGTTCGACTTCAGCCTGGACGTCCCAACAGGGCGTGGCCGGTCGGTTTGACCGCCGAGCCGAGAAGATGCCTTCCACGCCCGAGAACAAACCAGAAAAGGCAGAGAAGTCCTATCTGAGTGCAGCGGTTGAATCAATTACACCGTGGGGCAGCTCGCGGCCTTAGGCAGTAAAACATACATCTACCGCCCTTCCCGGTGAAGGGTCGGGCTTGAAGAACCAGCATGGAGGGTATCAGAGTACGCATCAGTGGCACGGGGTGAATTCGACGAGATATCCAAGTGATTGCCCCCCTTTGAATGCCAGGTGGTTCTATGCTGTTGATGTATGTTTGAATCTACAACGATGCTCCTATCTCTAATGCTAATATATCTTCGATTTAGGTCCCCAAGAGGAAGCCCAAGCTCCTGAAGAACAACCCGGATGACACCAAACCCCCACCAGCACCAAAGAAATTTGTCCCATTTTCCGTCCACGATTCCCGTGCTATAGAAGCAGCATATCAAAAGCTTGCGGATGAACACGATGGACTAAATAAGGAGCCACGGCAAAAGGTCGATGATGACAACAGAGCACGGTTGCCAAATAATGGCAAGAAAATCAACACAAGTATAAATGAAGCCGGTCTGGACGAACATTCTGGTGGAAGAGTTAGAGTTCCTGTCCAGGAAGACTTCCTATTTGACGTGGACGTTGAACGACGTGAATTATCACCTGTCTATTGGCTCGGCCCTATATATGAAGTCCGCAGAGGATCGTGGTTCTACCAAGAAGGGTCAACGCTGCGACCATGTGATGAGAACCTGGCCACTCAGTTGGAGGAAGGGTACCTTAAGGTCAAACCCTTCCGATATCCCAAAGTACCAGAAAGAACATCGTCGAAATCAGGCAGTGACCAGAAATCGCTCGCCTTGAGTGGTGCTTTTGGAAGTCGAAGTAGGGCTGGTTCCGGAGAAGTGACCCCAAAAGCTTCCATGGAGAATTTAAAAAACGCCAACCAGCAACACGCCGATGATGCTGTAAATGTTTCTAAAGATGCGCCAGCTCAACACCAACCGCAAACCTATCGCCTCTTTGGGACATATATGAACTCCATTGTGACCTATCAAGATTCGACTGTTGCCTGGTTGTCCGCAGATAGTATCATGTCGAGAGTCAGCAGTACCGTATACCAAAAGTTTGCGGGGGGTGGATATCTCGGTGGTGTCAAGATTGTTCGGGGGTATACAGAACCAGGTAAAGCCAAGGATCAGCCAACAGGTGATAAACAACCTCCAACTCCGCATACTGCGGCTCTCAGGCCTACAAATCTACCTCCTATGTTGCAGCTAGACGAACGGCAGCAAAAGTTGTTGAAAAGAAGATCGGCCCCCCCTACTACCGCACGCAACGAGAAGACGGAATCTGAGAATGAATCAGCGCAGTCAACTCTCGGTACCCTGCCTAATGATATTGATCCGGAGATGGAGGCGGAAGCCGTCAGGAAGCGGGACGAGAAGGAGATCCAGAATGACTATAATGAGCCAGAGGGCGAAAATCAAGGGCGGGAGATCGACCATTTGATTCTAGTTACTCACGGCATTGGTCAACGCTTAGGCATGAGGTGTGTTATTCCCTAAGGTAATTATACTTATAATTGCTAACCATGAGTGATAGAACTGAAAGTGTTAATTTCGTGCATGACGTGAATGTTCTTCGCCAGACTTTGAAGAGCGTCTATTCAAGCTCTGCTGATCTACAAGCCCTGAATTCTGAAATCGACAAGCTACCCAAGAATTGCCGGATCCAAGTTCTTCCAGTTTGTTGGCGCCACCTCCTCGACTTTCCCAGAAAAGGTGTAAGACAGAATCGAAAAGAGCATGATCTCGGCGAGGCATTTGGTGACGAGGAGGAATATCCCAGCTTGGAAGACATCACTGTGGAAGGGGTGCCGTTTGTCAGATCATTAATCACAGACCTTGCCCTTGTATGCTCCTCTAGTAGACTATGGTTGAATCTCACTGACGAAAGTGTAGGATATTCTTCTCTACCAGAGTGCGTATAGAGAACATATCAGCAGCATTGTTCTGGAAGAATCAAACAGAATCTATAATCTTTTCCGTGAACGGAACCCCAATTTCAAAGGCAAAGTAAGCCTCATAGGTCATTCGCTCGGATCCGCAATTCTGTTCGATATTTTATGCCGCCAGAAAGAGGACACCAAGATTCATGGTTCTAACGCACACAAACGGCACTATAAAAATAGGCCATCGACTACCTCGAATTTCCAGGGAAGGGACTTAAGCTTTGATTTTGACGTAGAAGACTTCTACTGTCTCGGAAGTCCGATCGGACTTTTCCAGATGCTGAAGGGAAGAACAATTGCCGGCAGGCACCAACCTGATGCCCTGCCGGCCGAATCGCCGCTGGATCCTGATTACATGCAGGACCCATTTCTTGCCGCAGCATCAAATTCGGGCTTCTCCGCCGGAGACAATATTTCTTCTACGACTGGACTGCCTCTCACTATATCCTCTCCAAAGTGTGCTCAATTGTACAATATTTTCCATCCGACAGATCCAATAAGCTATCGTCTGGAACCACTCATCGCACCAGCCATGTCCTCCATGAAGCCACAACTTCTTCCTTATACGAAAAAGACGATATCAGCCAACATCAGTGGTCTTGGTGCTAAGGTTGGCCAGAGTGTCAGCGGATTGTGGTCAAGTTTGAGCTCTGGAATCGCAAGTAGTCTCCTGAACCGCAGCCTTGGCCTCACCAACGACGACATAGCCAGGATGGAAACCCCATCCTCTCAACCGCCATCACGAAATGTTTCGCAGTCAATAGGTGCAGGGACAAATATCTCGGCAGGGGGTGTAATATCTGACATGCCCTCTCTTCAAAGAGAAACCTCCAACGACAAAAAGAGGCAGTTGGCTGAAGATACCGCAGCTGCCGATAGAGATGGAACGCGAGCCAATGCACCTACTCTGATAGACGATGAAATCGAGACTCTCTATTCTGGTTACGAAAAAAGACGGAAGAGTCATCAGGGTGGTCAAGCTGCCGAGTATGATTGGGCCGAAGCGGAAGAGAGGGGTAAGAAACTTAGAAGAGAGGAGATGAAAGTCCGGGCGTTGAATCAGAACGGCAGAGTGGATTACAGTATTCACGAGTAAGTTGTCTCTCTAAGACTATAGTAGGACTTAGTAATACTAACCAGGACCAGGAGTGTGCTCGACTTTAACCCAATGAACACGATCGCGTCCCACCTGTCATACTGGTCCGACGAAGATGTCAGTCATTTTATGATGTCGCAACTCCTATCCAGACATAGGAAGTTTGTGCGGCCAGAGAAGAACTCTAAGAAATGATAAATGTACAGGTATATATATAGAATTGGTAGAAAGGATGGCGTTCTGTGTCAAAAGGTCTGGCGAAAATTTAGGCGCGTCAGCTGTGGGAAAGGCAAAGTTTGGGCGGATATGTTATAAAATGAGACTGATGGATTAAATCTACGGCCTGTTAAGGTTGATGTTGTTTCCGAAGACCGCTTCCAACTAACATGAATGGACTAAAACTTGGTTCCGTCCTTCTCATCCAAATCTTGTACAGAAAAACCGCAACAAGAAGATCTGGAGGGTATGAGTTACTGAGATCCTATCGACGGATAGACATCTTCCTCCTTTCCATGGCCATTCCTCTCCTCCTTTCTGGCTTTTCGCCCCTCTCTTCTGGCGCTGCGCCTCTCTTTTCTCTGCTCCTTCTTAGCGGCTCGTCGCTCCTTCCTTTGCTCCCTCCTAACAGCTCGTCGCTCCTTTCTTTTCTGCTTTCGAGCCATTCTTTGAGCTTTCTTTCTGCTTTTGAGCTCCTTCATCAAGCGTTTAACTTCTTCCCTGAGTGACTGGATATCTCGATCTTGATCTATTCCTCTGTCGGAGCCCATCTTGGCAGCCTGGATCTCCTGCTTCATGCTGCACACGTCCTCTCTGGTGATTGGCTCCTGTGGATGATTGAGGCATTTGATCAATGACTGCTTTGTAACGGGTAGTTGTTGGTCCTTAAGATCCTCATAGTCTGGGAGAGAGGGTAGTGACACATCCGAATCCGAGGATCTAGAACTAGCAGAACTAGAGGAACTGGAAGCCGATGAAGATCGTCCTCGTTCTCTGCCCGGCCTACCATGGGAATGAGACCGGCCACGATTGCCACAATCATGATGGTCAACGAGATCGCGATTATATGGAATCGTTCCGCCAGGTATGAAGCTTGTTTCCTCGTTGGTAGGATCTTCTGAATGGGCTAACAGAATCTGGATTCCACGAGGCAGGAAGAATTTCTCGTTCCACAAGTTTACTGTGGCCTCTGGCGTACCCAAATGCCCGATACTATGCAGTGACAATGATTTGCATAAAGGATTGAGCTGGGTATCGACCTGACTCAAAACGCTCTTCGAACAATCGTCTTGTCGAGATGTAGGAGGATGAGATGTAAGACGGTGCATACGCTCGCCTGTCAATTCTGCCTCGAGTTTCCGATCCGCAACATCATTTTCAACGCCTGTGAGGTGATCTGGAAGCAGACAACTAGGGGCGGGTCAGTAATGCTGGATATGGCGGGAAATGTATGAGGCAGTTCGGAATAGGGGCCGCTTACTTCACGAAAGCCTGCCAATCCTGTCGTGTGAGGCCTTTCAATAAGAAGTCCTGGGAAGGTTCGGGGTAAGGTAAATCTTGAGGCTCTGTTCTCGAAGTAACACAAATGCTATGGAGCGCAGGGAATCCAGGATGTAGTGAACACACAGAAATGGAATCAAAATAGGTCTTTGCAGATGAGGCAGGCACATGGTCATCATCATCGGCCAGACCATGGAGCAGCGACCCCGTTGGGGTGTATGGAGGGGTGTAGATTATGGAACCATCAAGTGATGATGCCGCTGAGGGAGATGGTAGGGACGGACTATAAGTGTTCAAAGCTGCAGAAGTCAAAAGGGCATTCGACGGAGGAGAAGCATTCGAACCAGTCTTGGCATATGGTGGAGGAGAGACTTGAGCCGGATTCATGGTTCTATTGCTGGACGATGGTGATGTTGATAGCTTGAAGATTTCCTTTCTCTCTTGATGTTGGGGTTGATGCGGGTACTGCCGTGCATCTGATGATGATCCGGGGTCTTTATAGTGGGGTAGGTGAGGTAGAATATAATATACCGAGGTATATGAAGGGATATAACATATAGAACATATATTTTGTATTGTATTATGGCATAAACCTATCTGCCTGCCTACTCAACACCCAGATATATTGGTAGGCAACTCTCATGGTAGTGTTTATGCTGTCGGATTCGCAGTCGGTCAACCCCCAGCTGTCGAGAGACTCGCGTCACTCGACGCGGCTTCACCAGGCACCAGCATTCTCAATGCGATCACTGGCCAGCACGAAGCTACCTACCAGCACCGGTACCCAACCAGGCGAATTGCTCGAAGCCATCCTTGCACCTCGTTGAAAGCCACTATGCGGGCACTCCTGATCCAAGCTCAAGACCTAATTTTGATCTCTTGCTATTATATAGTCGAGCGAGCCTCTTTTCATGGACAGAGCTCTCGGTTGCCGCTATCCTGGAGCCTGTAAGACGTACGCCTCGGTAGCAAATTCCAACAGCTACCAAACGGGTCACGTTAAAGCCGCCCCTCAAATCAAAATTGCAGCTCTGGTTTATGAAAGTTGACGTCCTCCGGCTTGTAGTGATCGGCAACAATCCGGTAGAGATATGATGGTGCATGGGCGCCGCTTTCGTAGAGGGTCAGCAGTTTTCTAGGAGGTGTTTGGGAAGGGAACTTACAGGTTGGTGACATAAAGGTCAACCAGATCAGGTGGAACATAGTCAAAAACCGGGTTGTCCACCTCCAAATTATCCACCAACACCCCATCGTCATACCCAATGATACTACCAGAATCGCCGTATTCAATCAATGATTCGAATTCAAATGGGTACTCGGGGCTTAGCTTGTAAACGCCACTGACAACAATCACAGGCGTCCTGTGTACTTTTGCAGCCTTTGCAATAATGCGTGCGCCAGCAGCTGCTATTAAGCCACCATTTGCAATGACAGCGTGGGTCGCCAGAATCACCTTGTTGACTCTCGACATAATGGCGAATATGCTAGCATCAGTCATGAGGATGACAGTAATGCCAGCAGCCGCGAGTGGCTTCAAGAATGTCTCTGTGCTCATCTCATCGCCGCCTTCGTGGCCTTGGCGGACCTTTCCAGTGACTGCTGCATGAGCTGCTTCGTGATCATTCGGATATGATTCTGCGATGATGACTGTAAATTTACGCTTCTCGGCCGCCTTCAGCAAAAACTTCTGGACACTCAGTGATGAGGCGTGAGTGAGAATAAGCTCATTTGAGTGAATGTGTTCTTGAGCATAAGCAGCGATTTGATCATCAACCTGGTCAAGCTCGTCGATAATCTCTTCAATCCCGCTGATGACTTCTGCCTTTAGATCTCTCGATTGGGTAGCCATCCTCTGTGCCAATGAGGCGGCATTGAGAGCAGCTATACCGTGGGATGGGCCGCTAATTGGGGGTGTTGAGGGTGGAGAAGGGGTGACAGAGAGGAGATTGAACATCGATTGTTGCACTGGGACACCGCTTAATACATTGTATGAGGTGTGCGAACTCAGAAGGGGAGGCCGATGTCCTTGTGATCTTGATCCAGACGCATCATCTCCATGAAGCTGGTCCACTGTATCCGAAGTGCCGGTTGATTCAAAACGGAGGGGACTGAAATGAGGACCATCGGTCTTTAGAGCTGCCAGATCACTATGATGCAGCTGTGGAGAGCCCAACTGACTGGTGGTCGCTGAATCGCTGGCATCTTCACGCTCCTCCTTGGCCTCGTCCCTTATCATGCCCAAAACTCGACGCACAATATTTCCTACAACCATCTCGCGGGGCTGGGCATCTACGAGACGTTGCCCGACTTCCCGTATCCGTTCTAGAAGTTTTCCGATATCTGTCCACCTGAATTTGGCGACGACACGGAGGAGGAGATGAGCTGTTGCCGTTGCGCATGGCCTGGAATTCCTGATCTGTCTTCTTTTGAGAAGCCTAGCGTTCGTCAGCCACCGGCAGAGAGAAGCATGCCTCTAGACGGAACGCACGAAATCAAATTCTCAATGGACGACTCCAAGGGCTGAGTCTTGAGAGACCTCAGGTACAAGCCCAGGTTGGGCGCGTAGCCAGCCTGCACCGAAGGCATGGCTGGATAAGGAGGCAGGAGAGGAATCTGCTGGGCGTGTCCTGAAATGCGGCAGATGCGTATGTATATTGGTATGTGTCGTCTGTGCGGGAGTTCGCAGTTATATGTGAGCGATGCGTCAGTGAAGCTCCGAAAAAGTGAAGCTTTGAAAGGGTTTCGCGATGGACAGGACAGGGATGGGCCGCCCCCGCTTAGAGAGCCGGCACGTGCACGATTCTGCCCAGGGCCTGAAGTGCTCCAGAGCTGTGACCGAAGATCATTGCGGAACTCAGACTCAACAACGACACATCCACTCCCCGCCCGCTCCCCTTTACTCCAACAACCACCTCCAGGACGGTGTCAGCTCATCTATGTAGCCAGTCCGACAATCCGAGGATCGCTGTTCAATTGCTACGAGTCCTCGCGGACCGACCTTCGCCTTCATCTATGCTCGACGGCACATTATGTCTCTTCCTCCACTCGGCCCATCATTCCTGAATTAACCCGCCCCAGACCCATATTTGGTCCAATCCCTGGATACCCTCCACGGCCCTGCGCCATCATATGTTGTGGGCTGAAACCCGAACGCTCCTTGAAGCGACAGTGCTCCCTTTCCATTGCCCGCCCACTTATTCCGGGGATTCGCAAAGGGTTCGCAACGCCTGTCCACCGAAACATCTCCCCCGCACGTCTTCCTTCATGGCTTGGGTGGGACGATGAACTCTCTGAATATCCTCTCGGCGCGAGTGTCGCCCCCTCAGACACCGACTGCTTCGCGGTCTAATTCCTACGGCAATATTCTGTCCTCCGCAGTAATCGAGTCAAGAAGTAACCCACGAGAGGATGCATACAACGAGAAGATAAATGGAGGGGATGGCACCCTGGAAGATTATAATGACGATGACGAATTCGCACATGAGGAGACCCCTCTTCTAGAGAAGGTGGGGAGCGAGCATAAGAGCCTCGGGATCTATGGGTGGAATATTATACCAAGAATATCTAGCGCACTTTTGGACTCTTTACGTTGGGTATTGTCGACTTTGGCTGCGCCGGGTGTATACTTTATAGCATGGCTATATGATGAAAGGGGAGATTTTGCACCATTCTCTCAAAAGCGAAAGCCTCTCTCAGATGGTGGAAAGAGAGCGTCGACCGCCCAGGCCCTGGGGATCACATCCACAGGGGATGGCAGCCCCCCAGGATCTAAAAAAAATGGAAAAGGTTCCGGCAGAAGAAGGGGATCGGTGAAAGTGTCAGGAGCGTTTTCTTCAAACTCTTCGTCGTCTGGGATGTCATCTGAATCCGAATCCGACCGAGAACGGATAGTGAGCGAGGCAGAGAAGCCAGCACCCGCAAGCTCTTCTCGTCATACACGCTCAAAGTCGCACCAAAACATTGATGAGATTGCTCCCGCCCGTCGATCAATCCGCATCAAGCTTCACAATGAGGATAACTTGCGGAACCGAAAACACCGCAAATCGCAGTCAACGAACACGCAAAGCAATGGTTCCGGGGCTATTTCAACAGGTGAAATCTCCCCCGCAGCACTTAAATCTCCTACTTCTCCAGCTGCTTCCCTTTCATTGACAAAGTATCCTCGAGCCCCAGCACCACCACGACCCCTTATACCTCGTCGCCAACCATCATATACTCTACCAGATGCTCCAAGCGGGAGACTGACTCAGAAGACCCTCATACTTGATCTTGATGAAACCCTAATCCATAGTATGGCAAAGGGAGGGCGCATGAGCACGGGCCATATGGTAGAGGTCAGACTCAATACATTTGTTGGACCTGGAGGCACTACAATTGGTCCTCAGCATCCGATCCTGTATTATGTGCACAAGAGACCCCATTGTGATGACTTTCTGCGACGGGTCAGTTTGCCCATGGTACTTCAATCTTACCGTACTAACCGCCGAGTAGGTGTGCAAGTGGTACAACTTAGTCGTATTCACAGCTTCGGTTCAGGAATACGCAGATCCCGTAATAGACTGGCTAGAACAGGAGCGCAAATTCTTTTCGGGTCGATATTACCGCCAACATTGTACCTACCGACATGGCGCTTTCATCAAGGACCTGAGCTCCGTTGAGCCAGACCTGAGCAAGGTCATGATTTTGGATAATAGTCCCTTGAGTTATATGTTCCATCAAGGTAAGCATTTACATGGGAACGGACCCTTCCATGTCTAACACCACCATAGACAACGCGATACCCATAGAGGGCTGGATCAATGATCCTACGGACAATGATCTTCTTCACTTAGTACCATTATTAGAAGGGCTTCAGTATGTGACGGATGTGAGAGCGTTTCTAGCACTGCGTGGTGGAGAGGACGGGAAACACATGATAGCCTAGAGAATAATGGAAGGATACGTGTAAACTTTGCTCCATGTTCCATGCTCCATGCCCTTTGTCATGTATGGTGGATTAACCTCCAGTGTGAAGACGACCATTTGTAATAATATAGCGCTAGAAACTGTTGTCGCGAGAATTCAGTTGGTGTTGTTCGGAACCAGAACAGTGTATGACTCAGCTGTGCGATAAGATATGGTGGGGTCCGAGAATCCTGAGGTACCTCAACACGATCAAAATTTCTTTGGCTTGTGGCCCCCCCCATGGACTTGCGAACCACGACACGATAGTCACCGATACGGACCTATCTTCGTCTTTATAACAGAGAGATCAACCACTGCAATGCTCGAGATTCCATAGCGATAGCACAGGACAAGATGCAGCTCATGTCTACCGGCAGCGAGACCGTCAAGGCTCAGGTCGTTGACCAGATCCCCAAACGCTTCAAGGAATTGAAGTTCGGCATACAGTCAAACCAAGACATCGTCAATCAGGCGGTCTTGGAGGTCTCGGACCGCGTCCTCTACGATGTCGAAAAGATGCGGCGACCTGTACCCCATGGGGCTCTCGATGCGAGATTAGGAACTTCCAGTAAGACCGGCATCTGCGAAACCTGCGGCGAAGGGCTCGTGAATTGCAACGGGCATTTTGGCCATGTCAGGCTGGCTCTTCCGGCGTTCCACATTGGATACTTGAAGCTGGTCATCAGCATTCTGCAGAACATCTGCAAGGACTGCGCCAAAGTTTTGCTTACGGATACCGAAAGACGGGCTTTCTTGAAACAACTGCGAGTGCCTGGAATTGATAACTTGAAGCGAACGCAAATCTGCAAAAAGATCAACGAGCAGTGTAGAAAAGCCAAGCAATGTCCCTACTGCGGTTCGATCAACGGCCAAGTTCGAAAGATTGGTGTGTTGAAGCTCGTCCATGACAAATACCAAGCTTACAACAAGTCGACTGCGGCGAAGAAGGTTATGCCACCGAGTCTGGTTTCGTTCCAGAAATCTTTTAATGAAGCAAAAAAGAACAATCCAGAACTTGAAAAGCATTTGAAAAAGGCTGTGGATGATCTCAACCCCCTCAGGGTTTTAAATCTATTCAGGATGATAACACCGTCGGATTGTGAGCTTCTAGGCCTTAATCCTGCAGAAGGCCGACCCGAGATGTTCTTATGGCAGTTCGTCCCAGCACCTCCGATCTGCATACGGCCCTCTGTTGCGCAGGACAACGCAAGCACCGAAGATGATCTTACAACAAAGTTGTCTGACATTGTTCATATCAGCTCTTTGATCAGAAGTGCACTTCAGAGAGGTCAACCTGTACAGACTATCATGGAGCAGTGGGAGTATCTTCAGCTGCAAATTGCTATGTACGTGAACAGCGATGTCCCTGGACTTCAACAACCTGGCTATGGCAAAGCTATCCGAGGATTCGCCCAACGTTTGAAGGGCAAGCAAGGCCGTTTCCGAGGAAATTTGTCTGGAAAGCGTGTTGATTTCTCAGGCCGGACGGTTATTTCTCCTGATCCAAATTTGGGCATTGATCAAGTCGCCGTTCCAATATTGGTAGCCAAAAATCTTACGTACCCGGAGCGAGTCCAAAGCCATAACATCGAAAAGCTCCGAAAATGCGTGATCAATGGCCCGAATGTACATCCTGGTGCTCAGCAAATAATAAAGAAGGATTCCGATCATAAGATTTCCCTGAAATTTGCGCGGAGAGAGAATGAGGCGAAGCACCTCAAGATCGGCGATGTTGTAGAGAGACATCTCGAGGACGGAGATATTGTGCTTTTCAACCGGCAGCCATCTTTACATAAACTCAGTATCATGAGCCATTATGTTAAGGTCAGACCATGGAGGACGTTTCGCTTGAACGAGTGCGTGTGCAATCCCTATAACGCAGATTTCGACGGCGATGAGATGAATCTGCACGTCCCTCAAACAGAAGAAGCCAGAGCGGAGGCAATCAATCTGATGGGGGTGAAGAACAACCTCTCGACTCCTAAGAACGGGGAGCCGATCATCTCAGCCACACAGGACTTCATTACCGCAGCATACCTTCTTAGTAGCAAAGATAATTTCTTTGATCGAAGAACATTTACCAATCTCTGCATGTACATGGTAGATGGCAACATGCAGCTCGATCTTCCTCCTCCCGCAATTTTAAAACCGGAGGCTCTCTGGACCGGGAAACAAGTCTTTAGCGTCCTCATGCGCCCAAACAAAATGTCTCCAGTCAAAGTCAACCTCGATGCAAAATGTCGAGATTTCAAAGGAAAGGTCGGAAAAGGCGCTGATATGGATCCTAATGACGGTTATCTTGTAGTACGCAACTCAGAAGTCATGTGTGGTAGGATGGACAAAACCACGGTAGGTTCTGGAAAGAAGGAATCGATTTTCTACATCATCCTCCGAGATTTCGGTCCCGATGAGGCCGTTATTGCCATGAACCGGCTTGCAAAACTCTCAGCTCGGTATCTCACCAACCAGGGATTCTCTATTGGAATCAGTGACGTATACCCATCGCAAAGCCTGACAGAGAAGAAGCAAGCTCTTGTTTCCATAGCTTACCAAGAATGCGAGGCTTTGATCCAGAAGTTCAAAGAAGGAAAGCTGGAGAAAGCCACGGGGTGCAATATGGAAGAGACCCTGGAAAACCTGATTTCAGGTATTCTCAGCAAAGTCAGGCAGCAGGCCGGACAATACTGTATTGATACTCTGAGCAAGTGGAACTCACCGCTTATCATGGCCAAATCTGGGTCCAAAGGTTCTAATATCAACGTTGCTCAAATGGTAGCAGTTGTAGGACAGCAAATTATTGGGGGCCAACGTGTTCCAGATGGTTTCCAAGATCGAAGTTTGCCGCATTTCCCCAAGAACGCGAGGCAGCCTCCCTCGAAAGGATTTGTCAGAAATAGCTTCTTCTCTGGACTGACGCCCACAGAATTCTTGTTTCACGCCATATCTGGTCGTGAGGGTCTTGTTGATACCGCAGTCAAAACTGCAGAGACCGGCTATATGTCTAGGCGGCTCATGAAATCACTCGAAGATCTGTCAGTTCAGTACGACAAGACAGTCCGAAATTCGTCGAACACAATCGTGCAATTCCAATTCGGGGCTGATAAGCTGGATCCCGTTGACATGGAGGGTGACGCAGTGCCAGTTCATTTCAATCGAACATGGAATCATGCCGAAGCCTTGACATGGAACAACGCGGATCGTTCCTTGCTACCATATGAGATCACTGCTCACTGTGAGGAGCTCCTGAGAGAACAGAAGGCCAAGTACACGAGAAGGGGCTTGCTTCATGAAGAGTTATTGGCTTATGACGACCAAAGCGACTACGCCATTGATGAGCATGAAAGTGCAAGGGATTTCCTCACCACAATCACGAAGTACGTGGGCGGTCTAGCCTCACGTATGGCCAAAGCACGTCTCAAAGCGGGGCTCCCGGAGTGTGAAGATGACCCAAAGATTTCGGGTGAGCGTTTTGACCCTTCTGGGGAAGATGATCCGAGGCAACGAGTGGTGGACCAGGTCGCAAAGGTCTCTCTACCAACGCTGAAGATGTTCATAAAGCTTTGTCTGGACAAGTATGCTAAAGCTCACGTCGAGGCGGGTCATGCTGTGGGAGCCGTTGGTGCACAGTCTATTGGAGAGCCTGGAACTCAAATGACGCTGAAGACTTTCCATTTTGCTGGTGTTGCTGGCATGAGTATTACTCAGGGTGTGCCTCGTATCAAGGAGATTATCAACGCTTCAAAGCTTATCAGTACGCCCGTCATATCCTGCCCTCTACAGAACCCCAAGCAGATTGAAGCAGCGCGCGTTGTTAAAGGTCGGATTGAGAAAACTTACATCTCCGATGTCATTCGCTTTGTCGAGGATATGTGGTCTGCTAAGAGGGCAACGCTGTGTCTTTCAGTCGATACGGAGGTGCTCAACGACATGCACCTCGGCATCGGCGTTGAAGATATCGCCACCACAATTTGTAAAAACAGGAAGTTGAAGATCCGTGGCAGCGATGTCACCGTCGCTGGTGACTGCATATTCATCCAGGTGACCCATGACACCGGCGGCACAGGAGGACGAGGGGCTAGTGCCAAGAACAAAGTGACACTTGACGAGGGAGGATCAGACTTATTACTCAGAGTCAATCACTTGAAGCGTGCTTTACCTACGCTAGCTATCTCAGGCTATCCCGATGCCTCTCGTGCTATCATTCAGACTTCCGACAACAACGAGCATAAGGTACTTGTCGAGGGGTATGGTCTTCGAGCTTGCATGACTACCGAAGGAGTCGTGGGCACTGAAACCACTACAAACAGTGTCATGGAATGTCGGGAGGTTCTCGGTATCGAGGCTGCTCGCTCGACTATTGCGACCGAAATCGGTGCAGTCATGGGAGACATGGGTATCGATCCTCGACACATGCAACTTCTCGCTGATGTGATGACATACAAAGGGGAGGTCCTTGGGATTACCCGTTTCGGTTTATCGAAGATGCGAGATAGCGTCTTGCAGCTCGCCTCTTTCGAAAAGACCACAGATCATCTGTTTGACGCTGCAGCCGGTATGAAAACGGATAAGATCGAAGGTGTCAGTGAATGTATTATCATGGGGCAGACGATGGGAGTTGGTACTGGCGCATTCCAGGTTGTGAGACATCTGGACCTCAAAACAGAGGACTTGACTGCCAAGCCAACGGCCTTTGAGGACGCTTGGAAGTGGGATCAGACGGAGAGGCGGAAAGCCTATGCACGGGCATAAAATGATTCTTGTGGTTCTTTGATTCACTACTTAAAGCATGCATAGCCAGATGGAGTTTGTTTGAGGTTTGAATTTTGGGTAAAGGAAAATATTCGAGTACGTGGTTTTGATCATTACTGGAAAGGGACGTTGCTTGAGATATTAGACAAAATACAAGTGCTCTCATAGCCTCGAGCTCGTCTTACAGATGAGCCAAGATTATTCCAAAACAAAGACCCTACTCGTCCCTTCAAAAGCCGTGATCTTCCCGCCAACCGCCTTCGAGTCACCGAAATATTTTATACGATACTGGCCACCAGCAGCCCACTCCTCTGTCTCCCAAACGATCTCCGCCTCGCTCGTCCCAAGAATCTGGCTGGTCTTCCTCCAGTTGAAGATCAAACCCCAGTCACTGTCGTCCCTAACTATAACCCACTTACCGGACTCTGGATCAAGTTTTTCAACTGCTGCGTAGGTCTGCTCGAGACGGAGGTTGTTGCGCGGGTTCCCCGCGATAAACTTCACGGAGACCTTGGAACCGATGGCATATGATGGCTCTGCATCTGTTATAACGTCGCCAAAGGATTTGAAGACGGGCACACCGTCGTAGACTACGCCGGTGATGAAGGAGAGGGATCTGTTGACGTTGTTGGGAGGGAATGGTCCGGGGTCAGGCTGAGAGATCGAGGATGCGCCGAGGTATGGGAGGTGAGAGAGAGTTAGGTTGATATAAGCATTCAATGTGAAGGGTCCGTAGAGCGTGGATGCACCTTCGTATCTTTGAATACCGTATTCCTCCGGCGTGGATATGTAGTGAGTGTAGCTATTCGCAGGACCTCCAATAACGACTACCGGATCAACGGCTGATGAACCAGAGAGTGCCATTGAAGCTGCGGAAGCATGAACGGCTTCTTTCCAACGCCGGCCGGCCATTGTCGTTGCCTCTCCAGGACTCACGATGATCACCAACTGTCCAACTCGAAATACTTGTACATCAACAATGTTAGGGGTCCACTGATAAGGGGAGGTGATTTCTCCAACGTCAAGCAGGATTGGCTTAGGGAAGTGACATCGCTTTTGTTCCTTGCTGGGGGCCTTGAGTATGCCGGACACAACTTGCCAGATAGGCGAAGCATCTGGCGCGTTGGGATCATTTTGCGTAAAATCAAAAGCACCGGGACCATCGGACGTGCCAGCAGCAAACGAATAGCCCAAAGCTGCGGGGCATGTACGCACGTAGCTCCCGTTGGAAAGGGGGAAACTAAAGTTGGACATATCTTTGAAGGTATGGAAGGACTTGACAGATGAACCAGTGACAGGCTTTCCTTCCCTATCAATGTTGTCATACAGACGCCTAGCAGGCTCGAACTGTCTCTTGCCAATTTCGTAGCAAGACGACGCTCCGTTATCTTTGACACGGAAGAAGGGCCCACGAGCATGACAGTATTGACTTTTGCCATCACTGCATGTACTATTCCTGAAACTGCACTCTTGGCCGGTTCCATCTTCGCACCATGCACCCAGGACATTTGGACTTGTGTCCCCAACATTGGCCTGTGAAAAACCGGCGACGAATCCTTCAGCGGCATTATCGTCTCCGGAAATGCTCTTTTCAAATATATCAGCTGCAACTCCTTTGTTGTCTCCTGAGATGAGAGTGTTGTTCCCTAGCATCGATGTGCCGTGTGTAGGAAACCAAGTAAGTACTCCGGTATTCTTACCGTCAGAGGCTCGTTGGAATCTCAATAAGGTTAAATCCTTTTCAACAGATCCATCGTCCTCAGTACTCATGTTGTACCTTGCCCTCTCTTCTTCTGGATTCGCAAGGTAGGCATAGAGACTTCGATTAATATTTGCGCCGAAAACCTTAGTAGACCCAATAGTCAAATATCCAGGCTGTAAGCTCTCATGTGCTCGCTGGATGGACAGAACCGCACCATCGACAATGGCCTGATAAGATTGCTTGTCAAACCCCTTGCTTGTAATCTGAGGAAGTAGATAGTTCAGCCAAGCTCCTGGGCCCGAGTGAGAGTGAGTACCGGTGACTGCCAAGTTGTGCTGTCCGTAAACCTGGAAATCGGGCCCTAGCCTCGCCAGCCCTTCCAATATTCCATACCTAATGGCAGTATCTCCTGATTGAGTGTCGAGAACAAGATAGATAAATCTATCTTCCGGGTGATCTATGTCTCCAATGATGAAAGCTCGAGAGTATAGTCTTTGTCGAAGACCCGATCCCAATTGTTTTGTATCTGCGTATCCCATCATGTTAATCTCGACAACGGGCCTAGTTAATTATTAGCATATAGCTCAACCTGAGCGGATGATGAGAAGATTACTACCCTGTTATATCCGCCTTCCCAACCCCCAATAGATACAGGCTCCCATTTGAGTGTTTTTGGTGATTCTCACTGCTACCATATTCCTCATGAAGCCTCCAAATCCAGCCTTGCTTTCTGCCGTAGGACGACTTCTCAGTAAAAACGGCACAAGCCAGGAGGAGAGCTATGGCAATACAGCCCAGCTTGATGAAGCGTCGCAGTTTCGAGCTGTCTGGGGCTAGTCGGGGTTGGTCTTCAGAAGGCCCGGCCTTCAAATCCTGAAAAGGGTCCATGATTTACGAGATATCAAAGTAATATGTCCTCTAATTTCCCTCTAAGAGGGATCGTGGTGAATGATTCAGGTCATGTCTTTGCTGCGTTGAGTGAAGCTTGAAATAGCTTGGACGGAGACTAGAGAGGTATGACGCTTGTAGAACGAATGATGCCTCAAGCGCAAGGCTCCAACTCTACAACTCACAAGTACATCCATGCAACAAATGGACTTCCTTCCAGTTCTTCTTACTCGATAACAATCTCCCAACTACGACAACGAAGCAGATAAGCAGGCCTCATTATGCCTATTTAATGCGCCTTCCAGCAAAGAGAGCTCGATTTCTGCGCAAGAACGCGCCCTCCATTGAAAGCTCCTCGAGACAACCACCCGCTTAAGTATCCTCGAGGTAACTCTACTCTGTACTCCGTCAGAATCTATACATGGTTCTATTTCTCTTTCTGTTACTGGTGCTATTACTCCTATCCTGAGTGTCCTCGACAAATGCCGGTCCTCAACTTCTCACGTAGCGATATTTTCCGCATCAAGCAGCAGTAGTGGCTGTTTGAGCGGCGGATCTTCAATTATTGGACAAGAGAGACAGACACACGTGCATTGCTTGCTTGCACACATATCTACCGTCCTACAGTACAGGGGCGTGCTCTCTCTCCATTCACGAAGTTCTAGAAATGATCTAGAAACAGAAACGTGGCGCTTACAGCAGCAGAAACCCCAAAAATGATTGATTGCAACATGCAGGAGAAAAGGAGGCTGACTGTCCCTTGCATGCAACACATAGTAGACAGGTACGGATACGTTGGAAATAATGATGAATGACATTGATAACAACACTGCAATACCTTCATAACAGCGATCTATTAACAAACGCGCCCTCTCGACTCCTACCCGAGCCTATACAGACCTGCTCTCATGCCTGCACTCTTGGAAGGTGTTTTAAGTTGTGTTCAGACTTAGACGCCTCTTGAAGGCAGAGAGGGGCTTGTTGTCTTGTTTCGCAGGGGAGCTCGGTCGTTGAGCCTTGAGGTAGCATCGCGCGGCAGACTCTGTGCCCGGCGCAGGATAATGCGGAAGGCTGCCCTATGGTACATGGCACAGGCTGCACATACTTACGACATAGGTACTCAACTCCGTACATGATATGGGATACATCAACATACTGCTTAGCACATACATAGGGCCGCACAAACACGGCAACCCCGAGTCTCAGACTCTCAGTTTACTCGTCCTGCCCTGCCCCAAGGACTCGGCTTCGGAGCTCGTGAATAGAGGAGCAGTTCGCGTCAGGATGACGCTGAAGTATGAAGTCTCGAAGATGGCCGCAAATACCGCACCCGGGCGCTTAATATCTATATACTTACCTACCGTAATCATATTCTTGCTATTCAGGTATATATGGGCATTTGGGTATGTATTTTAGAGGGTTGGGGTAGTCGTTTAAGTATCTAGGTACCTTGTTCTTCGTCCTGTCTCCTTTGTCATATCTATTATATATCCATATCTTGGATTCCCTCCCATGCCTGCCGCTCTATTTCCTTCTTCTGGACTGGCTCTGAGATGCAGATGCTGTAGGGCCAGAGTAACAAGTGTTATATGCAATTCTACGCACATCTCCAGCCGTGGACAGGGTTGTTGACATGGGGGTGGAGACCCCATGGGAGGTAGCCGTTCCTCTCCCTCCTCACTCTTCCTTATTCTTCCTCTTCCCCCTCTCTTCTTTCCTGTCCCGCCTCCTTGGAAACATACACAGTCTTTCCAAAATATACAGCAATGCCCTGCCACTTGTTCTATCTTTGTGCATCTGTTGCGCGCCGGTCTGGGAACTCTGGTTGCAAGAAGTAGCCCCGCCTCTCAACCAAGTCGTCACAAATACTTCCTATAATCATGACCCTTATCCCAGACCGTCTCTTACCATAGGTCTTGTCTTCTGGACGTCAAGCCTGCATTGATCCTTGGTTGCGACCTCCCGCTCCCCGCCCCTTGCCCTCTCCCCGAGCAGAATTCTTCCACTCGGCTGTGCAAGGCTCTTGGGATATTTCATTCCCAACCTGAGGGTCAAACATCATGTTGAGCCTCAGAGATATTGTCATGGACGCGGATGTGGAGCCTTTCCAATCCAGAGACTATAAGATGGCAAAGGAAACCGTCAAACTACATACTGCCTCCGACCGTTCCATCGATAAATCCCCCCAAACTCTCTCGCCGATCCTCGACGACAACAGTAAGGAGGTACCTATCGAGCGGCGCCGATCAAATCGAGTTACAAAACCTGCCAGCCACAACGCCGCCAGAGAGGCAGTGGGTTTTTATATTAGATTTCAAGTTGGAAGCTCGAACCAGCCAAGTACATCGGACAGTCCTCAACACTCGTCGCCGAGTGTCTCAGATCCCCGGCCGGATATGCCTATCAAGTATACGCCGGTGACAGGCCGCATTAGCAGGGCAAAGAAAGGGGTTCCTGTCCACATATGTGACCGTGACCATTGCCGAAAGGCGAGTTTCCTCTACGGACGATCGCGTTTTTCTTGCTGATAGAAGAGCTAGATATTTACACGAGCGGAGCATCTGAGACGCCATCAGCTGAGCCATCAGGAACCAGCTTGTCCATGCCCTTTCGAACACTGCGAGAAGGTATTTCATCGGCCTGATTTACTAGCTCGACACTTACAACGACAGTAAGCAGCCCACCGAGGGGTCTCTAGAGGCAGCAGAAGCTAATGCCGTACAGTGAAACCCAGGGACAGGAACCATGCAACCCTCCAGGCCCGCGAAGCAGGGCATCGTCAAATCCGTCAGATAGTCGAACACCGCCTTTAACAGTTAGAATAGCGTCAACTAGGGGCGAAAGTGCTATCGCAAACCAGACATCCACAGCCGATTATATGTCGCCGAGAACATCAGCAAGCACGAAGGGTTCTATGATGTCCTTTAGTACAATTACGGACAGTATTCTCGCTCGGAACTTCTCTCCTGCGCCCCCATTCGAGAGATCTGCACATGGTTCTCAGTTAGCTGGGGCAGATTCATCAGTATCTCCTAGGTTCGAAGTGTCGAACTATGACGCTTCATCCTCACAGAGGCCAGGGCCAAACTCACCAGATCAAGGAGGCTATTCACGACAGGCCCAGCCTGACTGCAGTGACATCTATTTCGAACGAACCAACGCCGATTTCCCGAATACTGTGGCTCTCCATGCCTTACCATTCTTGCCCATTCCGGAAGATACAAAAATACCTGATTTATCCCATACCCAAGGAAATTCACCGCGAGGATCCTCGGCATCTGACAGCTCTTATTCTACGCGGTCTGATGGTTCTCGGACCAGTCAACCATGGAGTCATCGAGCTCGATCAGGTTCCGTACATACTGTCCCTGACTGGTTAGCAGCTGATTCCCAGCTTTCACCACCATATGGGGTCATGAGTACGCCTCAGACAAAGTTTGATACCTCACTAGAGCAATTCGAAATGCCTCATATATCTCCACGAATAACCCCATCAAGTTCATCCCGCCAGCCGGACATACCTGACCCATTCGGAGGGGATCACATGGAATCAGTGGGTACTCCAGTCCTCACGACGTATGGTAGGCCATTGGCTCAAGATTTCTCAGCGTCCACTTCACAAGAATTTGACCCGAGATCGGGAGGGGCTGATATAAAACGGAAGGTATGGACGGAACCACGACTAGGGACGTTGCATATGAGTGCGAGCATGATACATTCAACGCCGCTAGACGACCCCTACATGTCTAGCTATTGGGAACACTTTGATCGACATTTTCCTATAGTTCATCGTGGAACCTTCGATCCTACGGAAAACAGCCTACTCAGCTCCGCAATGGCCGCAATTGGGACCCAATATCACAATACTACAGACGCTCGACAAAAAGGTATCGAACTCAACCATCTATGCAGAGGAAACATTAACCATGTAAGCTTGCCCGATTCTGATCCCCAGCATATTTTATACTAAACTGACCTCAGTTCCCGAACTGGGATCTTCGCACAATGCAAGCGATACTGCTCACTGAGCTGTTCACACGTTTTCGCGGTAGGCAACCCAATGTCAAGACCTCTAGACAATTTGAAGAGGTTTATAGAAGGGTAAGTCAACACTCTTCAGATCTTTTGGTAAAAATCCCATGTATCCCTGAGAACCCCAAAGGAACAGATCTTAGGGTCAACCGTGTGAAGAAACGTAACCGTTTGAATCTGATGATTTTGGCCTTGAAGGCCTTGAACGTGGCGTGCCTCGTATTATCTCTTGACAAATCCATCCAACTTACACAAGTTCAAGCTGACAACTACTGCTAGCTCCTGGATGATTCTAGCCAGGGCCGAAGCCAATTCTCTACCCACAGTACAGGAAATGATGCCCTCGTCGGTCATCAAAACCTACGTCCAACAACGCCTCAGTGCCACAAGCACTCTGACCTCCAGAAGAAGTGGGTTCAATGGATCGATGCTGAGTCTCGGCAACGTCTGTTGGCTTTCTGCTTCATGTTCGACGTTCACCAGTCATTGTATCATGGACAAAAACGAACAAACAGCCATCACCCCGAGACCAACCTGTTGTTCCCCCCTTGTCCTGACAATATCTGGAGCGCCGCCAGCGCATTGGAATGGCAAGCACAACAAGTCAACCATGCTGTCCAGCCACTTGACCAAATAGAAGACCTCTATCCGCAAGACGTTTCCAGCAGATCCTTATTTACCCAATCGCTCCTCACATGCTCTCTCGCCTCCCGATTCCCGACGCGCGATAGTTCAAAGTGCCCTAACGACCACTCTTTCCCAAATCACATACATCCTACCGTAGCCAAACTTAAATATCCGTTCTCCGCCTCTCCTCTGGCCCATAGCTACCTCGCCCTTCACCACACCCCTCTCCTCGATCTCCTAGCAATAGCGGGGGATACCTGGGTGTTTGGAAAGAAGATCGCGCAATCCGCCTTCTCCTCGGCACAATTACGCCTCAAGACATGGTCCTCAACCCTCAATGCCGCTATTGCGACCCAGCATGCCTGCCATATTCTTTCCATGTCCTTCTCCCAATCTCGTAACCATTGCCCATCCGGCCAAGTCCAGAGTCACGGTAGCCTCTGCATCTCCCATTACTGGGCCATCTACACATCCGCTCTAATCTGCTGGGCCTTTGGCTACCGGCACCAGCCTCCCGCCTCCGGCACGCCTCCGCACTCCAACTCATCGACCACCACCAAGAACCCAACAGCGGGTCCGAAACCGTCCCAAACTCCCGCCGATGAAAATCCTAAAGCCTTAGCCTACATAGATAGCATGTTAAAGCTCCCCGCCGAAGCTCTCTTGACCAGCAGAGCGCAGATGAGAGGCGAGACCGCAGATTTGATCGAAGCCGTGCGCGTCCAGCTGGAGAGCGATAGCGTGGGCGGTAAATGCGCACTGCTGGACGAGGCACTCGATGTCCTGACGAAGATCCAAGAGCCCAGGAAGAAAAAATACTTCTAGGGCGAGCTTCCGAGCTTCTAACGTTGTATGAAATACTTGGCTCTCTCTCCCCCCCCCCTTCTTCTCTCTCGCATATCCCCCGTCTTATCTTTGTTATGTTTTATATACTCTTTATTCTGTATACCGTTCTGCATTTTCATTCATGGATCTAGATGTATTACCTGGCGTCTCCTTTTTCATGAGGTATATATAATACTTGTGTACTCATTCCGCCTATCTTATATAGGGGTGGGAAACAACGATATAACGAGTGGACGAGTGGTAATAAAAGGATCACGACGAGATAGGTAGGTACTTTGCCGTTGTTGCAGTTTAGAGATTTTTACCCCGCCTCGATACCGTTCTGGCTGTATTATCTTATATGTTATGATTTATGTGTCATGTCTAAGTTATGAGGTGGGGGTAGGACTTTCATGAGTATGGATATAGCAAGAATAACGAGTGGCGGTCATATACCCCTCCATATACCCCTGCATATAGATAGATGTAGAAGAGATGAAGATATATAGAAAAGATTGGACGGCCACCGCTGTAAGAATATTATATAAAACAACATTAGTTTTTTTTTATCATGATATAAACTCATCAGAGAAACGTTGGTATTTACAGTACGCAACTTCCCAAGACATTCTGGTATCCCCGCCACCAGCTCTCTCGCAAAAAGGGAAACATGGCCCCAATGATGATGCACTCAAAAAAAGAAAAGAGACAAAAAAAAACAACAAAAAGTGGTATTTGGGCAGAAGACCTGACAAACTATTCAAAGACGGAACGCAAGCAGCAGCAAACGCGGTAAAACCCAGGTCGGCATCCGCCAAGTAAGCAATCTCGTACAGATAACCCATCTCGCGCCCATCGCATCCTCCACATTACGAACATCCAAGATGAGGTGTATCTGTCAATATCGTACACCCGGAGAAACCGGACTCCCGATCGGCCACGGCATTACTGTGTTCATCATCATCCTCCTCTCCATCGCTAAAGCCAATACACCATGATCTAATCTAGTCCTTTTTCTTGTCCGAGAACTTCGCCTTTAGTCTTCCAAAGATGCTAGTGCGTTTCTTCTTCTTGTCAACTACTGCAGGACTGACTGGACTATCTTCTGCCTGGCTACTTGGAGCAGTGGTGCTTGATTTTGCTGGTGTGCTGGTTGCCTCAGTGCTGGGTGCTGCGGTGCTGGTCTTCTCGGTAGTAGCGGCGGCCACCCCGGTGGTGACCGTAGGAGCAGTTTGCGTTTCAGTGTGCGAAGCAGGCGCCGTGCCGGGGGATACTTCGGGTGATTCGATGGGCTTCGACGGAGTTGCTGGAGCTGCTGCAGCTGCTGCAGCTGCTGGAGGCTCGGAGACCTCTGGAGCCTCCGAGGCCTTTGGCGCCTCAGAGACCTTTGGCGCTTCAGAGACCTTTGCAGCCTCAGCAACCTTTGGTGCCTCAGCAACCGTTGGTGCCTCAGTGGGCTTTGGTGCAGACTCGCCGACGGCAGTCTCCGGTTTAACCTCGGACAATAATTCCTTTTCGACAGCTTTCTTCTCCAACACAGCTTCTTCGTTCGCAGCAGCTTCTGGCTCCTGGCCGGACTCTGCGATAGATTCCTTGACGATTTCTGGTGTGTCTTCGGCAGCCGGTGTCTCGACAGCTGTTCCCATATCCGACTTGGTATTGATGTCGTTGATGGAGTTCTGCACAGTCTCTGGAAGCTTGGATATTACTGATTCAGCACCCCCAACAGCGACAGCTGCTCCTCCACCACCGGCTGCCGCCTCACCTGCGGTAACCTCCTTCTCCGACTTGTCGCCGGTTTCCTTTCCACCCGTGCCCTCGGAGGTGGATGGCGCCACGGGAACCTCACTAAGAAGTTCTTTCTCAACAGCACTCTTCTCCTTGACCTCCTCCGAGACGGCACTAGCCTCTGCACCCACGCCTGCCTCTTCTTGGCTCTCCTTCACAATTTCTGGCACCTTCGAAGACTCGAGAGGTACTGCTGCTGCAAGCTGCGCAGTAGTGCTCTGAGGACCAGCAGACTGGATAGTCGGGCTTGCATCATACGATCCAGCTCCTGTAGCTCCAATTGGTAAGCTTGATTCCGGGATGAGATTGCTTGAAACAGGTGGCAAATCGAGAATTCCGGTGCCATTTTGGTCCCGCTCAGTTTGAGGGGTGACAACCGGAGGAAGTACGGGAGCATTTCCTAAAGCACCACTATTCTCATATGATTCTTTATCGGTGCGAACACTGGAATCGATTGTGTTCCCTGTCAGAGTGCTCGATTCGGGAATCTGCTCCCCGGGAGCAACTTTCACGGGGTTGACGCCACCAGGAAAAGCTGGAAGAGGGGCTACGCTGAAAGTCGGCTCAGACTCACCCTTCGCTTTATCAGCAGCCACAAGCTCGGGGTCATCATAGACGCCCGATGCAACCGTGTTAGTAGTAAGCGTGCTCGAGTCAGGAATCTTCTCCCCTGGAGCAACCTTCACAGGGTTGACGCCACCATCGAAAGCAGGAAGAGGAGCTACGCCGAAGGTAGGCTCAGACTCACTCTTCGCCTTGTCAGCAGCCACAAGCTCGGGATCATCGTGGACGCCCGACTCGACAGTGTTGGAGGTAAAGGTGCTCGAGTCGGGGACCTTCTCTCCTGGCTCAAGCTTTATGGGGTTGACAGCGCCCTCTGCTGCTGGCAGAGGATTCACAGAGAACTCCTCCGTCTCGACAGCAGCAGGGGTCTCGGGAAATGCGCCTGGTACATCGGACGAGCTGGGGTGTTCCAGGGGCACATCCTTCGCCAATTCAGCGGTTGTTGACGTTGGGGCGACCGATGACATGATCCCAGCTGTTTCAGGAGTGTGCTTCGCGATTTGGTCTGGGGTAAGGACGTTGTTTAGATTGCCCGAGGCGTCGTTCTCCTGGGGAGCTGTGTGGTCGGTAACCCAATTGCCGTCGACGACGAACTACAACCGGAAAAGGAGAATTAGTTGATTGAAAGTCGCAACGGAGGAATTTCGTAGGAGAGAGTGGTGGGAGACGGGAAGCTTGCAGCTTATATACAGTAGCGGGGTTGGAAAATAGGCGACGTAAGATATGAACTATGGCCTGTGCGGCCAAGCGCACAATATGGATCTGCCTGGCTACTGTCCGTGCAGCTCCTTCGCAACTCCGAAAGGCTTCACCGCTCCAACTTGGGTGCGGCAAGGGCGTTCCAACTGAGCACGTAAGGCCAGAGTGGAGTAGGCATGCGATAAGAGCATGGGGAGCATTGCATTGCTGAGCACGAGCCGTGAAGCACGGCCTGGCGAGACATCTTCTGCAGAACAAGCGCCAGTAAGGAGCCACTTGGCGGCCTGGAAGCAAGACTCCTTGCAAAGTTGAACAGTGTATATCGAGTCGAGGATCCCGCACCCAGGGAACTCAATTGGTCTTCCCCTCCACGCACCTTGTAGTAGATCTTCTCTTCCGCACTCGGGAGAGTCACATCCTTCACGAAAGAATCCCCGGATTTAACGAGCTTCTCGCTCTTCGACCAGTCGTCGAAGGTGCCGGTAACATACACCTCGGAGGCGGGATGGTCCCTAATTGCGACAGCTGTTAGCATGGGCGGCGACGAAATTCGAGGTAGAGGCGCATTGAGCGCGCAAGGCGCCTACGACGACTCTGCGCTGTGCGCGCGCAGAGTCTGGAGAATGGCGCTCATGGCTAAACCTAGGGGTGTTAAGCAGAGGAGGCGGCATATACCATTTGAATACAAAGCTTCCCATAACTGCTTGCGAAAGACTGGAATCGGGGGATTGGAGATGAGTTTTCGAATAGCTTGGCAGGACGTGCGGATTGTAGATGGATTGGCAGAGCTAGCTGGCTATCAAGAGAGAGAAGGCCAGTCAATGCGAGGGTAGATTAGAGAGGTAATGTTCTATCGAAGGGATATGATGAGGCTCTGCAAGGTCGGATGTAGGCGCCCAATGCTGCAGATTTGCAGAGTTATATTTGCGATTGGCGCAGTTGGTGTGGGGTGATATAATACTGGGTTGGGCAGGGAGCCTTAAAGAGAGGCGGATTCAGCAGAGGGGATGAATGAATTAGCTGTTGTTGGAGGAGGGGGGGAGGGGGAGGGGGAGGCGAAAAAGAAGCTGCTGATGATTCGAGATGGGAGAGGCGGGATGGTGAAGGGTAAAGGGTGAAGGGTGACGATGACGCTGATGATGTAGTAAGGTAAGGTAAAGGGAGCTTAAGCAAAGTAGTGGGAGGTACACCGTAACTCGTACTCTGCGCAGCTGTCTTAGGTAAGCTGCTATAAGGTAACGGAGGAGGTGATACGTGATATGATATACGCCCAAGAGGAAGACCAGGGGTATATCTAGGGGCAACTGTTTTTGATACGCGGTTCCTTTTCCTCTTTGTCTTTGGCTTGTCTTGATTTGTTATTAATTTCTTCATCATCAAGCTTGGCTGTAGCCGGGAGCCTCAGGCAATTAAGGAAGATCAGATGCTGGACGTTGCGAGGATAGAATAATACCTCAGGCATAAATGGATATATCTCAGGCATCTATGACATAGACACTTAAGGTACACGGTATCCCCCACATGTGTCCGGTACAGTCCAGTACGGAGCGCGGTAGCTTCCAGGTTGTGAGATTAATGCGCATCCGTATTTATACACCTCCCGTGCACCCATCTCATCCATGGGCCACGATCCATCCATTCTCACGGCTATCCTTCTAGAAGCCTTCTAGAACACCACATCCCAGGCTTCCAGAACATCTGGTCCGCCAATCAAATAATTCGAAGCCAAATATCCAATCCGATCCAACGCGCGCCCCCCCAAGGTCCCGTTCCCCACCACTCCCCATCATCGCCTCTCCATACAGTCCCAATCCAATTATCCATTACTCCTACTTCCCTCTAAACCTCCCTCTGTCTCGCTCTCCCCCCCCCGCCCTTCTACCACGACTACTACGCTTCCACTACCCTTCTATCAGCTCGATCCTATCCCCGGTCCTGACCTTTTCCTGTAGCGAGACGCCGTCATCTGCCCCTCCTACAGTACCTTGACCTCCCCGTCCCTCCGCCTCACCTCACCTACAGCTTACCTTGACCTTACACCTTCCCTACAACTACACTCCACATCCCTCTCCTCTTCTCTTCTCGCCTCGCCTCTATCTCGGTGTGTTGTCCAGTCCCATCAACTGCGAGCTGCAGCTTACTTCGCTGGACGAGTTCCGCTTCTTCACTCTTGGTCCACCGCCGTGCCCTCGTCAGGACCTTGTGGTCCTACGTTTCTCTCCGCTGTCCTTCGCAGACTGGTTCCTGCGTGGGCCCTCCACCACTCGTCACATTCAGGTTTACTTGAGAGCTTTTTTGTGTAAGTGCTTGCTCGGCTTGCACCCAGGCAACATTCGGCTCCGGACTGACCGTGCTTTTACTCTCGCACAGGGCAGTCTACTAGACTCTCAGCGACCTTCCCACCTGCTGGCCTCAACAACCTCGAACCACTAGCCCGCCATCAAGACATCCTCGAATACAGCTTCTGTGCCAACCTTTTGGGAGAGCGCCTGAAATCACAACGCGTAGGATTCGTTTGGTCCTCTCCCACATCGTCCATACCATCACGGTTGATACATCCGGACCCATGATGCCTGGAAACACCTTCCCCGGTCGATTGGGCACAAACAACCCCTTCGGCATCACTGGTAGCGGTGAGAATGAGCAGGGAGGCGCCGGTGGCATCTCCAGAGTCGTAGAGGAGGATGAGAATGACACCATTGCATCGCCCACCACCCCGAACTTTAACGGAGCCTTTGGAGGCACCTTTGGTGGGGATGGAACTGAGGGACCACCGTCCTCCTACAAAGGAACCAGTGGCGAGGGATTTCCTGCGCACTATGGGATGGGACGGCGTACTTCGGTCTCGGCAGAATCGCTCAATCCTACAGCCTCGTCGAATGACAGTTGGACCCCTCCCTTCCATCCGAAGACTCCAGATCAGGTAGCCCGGTTGAAGAAGTCCATCTCGGGAAACTTCCTGTTCAGTCATTTGGATGACGAGCAGAGCAGCCAAGTCCTGGGTGCGATGGTAGAGAAGCCCATTCCGGCAAAGGGTATTAAGGTATGTGAAGGATCTCCTCGCCCCGACTCTCAAGTGGCTTGTAACAAGCTTGTGTCCCGTCCAATATCACTTCTCCTTCTTCTTCAAGAGATGAAATGTTTAGCTCGTTACTGACTAGCTCTTTCCTAGGTGATCACTCAAGGTGACCAAGGTGATTTCTTCTACGTGGTTGAAAAGGGGTCCTTTGATGTCTACGTCAATTCCTCTGGTACCTTGCAACCAGGTGCATCTGGCCTCGGTGACAAGGTAGCGACGATCGAGCCAGGTGGATCCTTTGGTGAGCTGGCTCTCATGTACAACTCCCCAAGAGCTGCGACAGTCGTCTCTGCGGAACCCGGTTGCACCTTGTGGGCCCTTGACCGCATCACCTTCCGACGCATTCTCATGGACTCAACGTTTCAACGTCGTCGCCTCTATGAAAGCTTTTTGGAAGAAGTACCCCTCCTCTCCACACTCACTCGCTACGAACGATCTAAGATCGCCGATGCCTTGGAGATGCAGAAATACCCTGCTGGAACCACGATCATCAAGGAGGGCGATGCTGGAGAGGCCTTTTACCTCTTGGAGAGTGGTGAGGCCGAAGCATACAAGGCTGGTACAGAACATCCTGTGAAGCACTATACGAAGGGTGATTACTTTGGTGAGTTGGCCTTGTTGAACGACGCCCCGCGCGCTGCGAGCGTGATCAGCAAGACCGAAGTTAAAGTGGCCACGCTGGGAAAGGATGGGTTTCAGAGATTGCTGGGTCCTGTTGAGAGCATTATGAGAAGAACAAAATACGAGACAAGCCCAGAAACGGCTCCAATCGGTCCATAGAAGGACGGCTGAGGTGTCAATGGTGTCTCTGGTTTGGTAGTTTTGAGGCGTTCAGATATGGTTACCTTCATTCACGATATACAAGTGGCTTCATGGCTGGGATACCTTTATTGCAAAGAGCTCAATGACTCAATCAATTTTCTATTCTAGGCTTGCCACAACGTGGTGGCAATGTGACTCTTTCCGGGTCTCTCATTGCATACCTATCCAAGCCCTCTGGCCCAAGCCCAATCCGTAGCTCTTCCATCTGCTTGGTCGCTAACAAGGACATCGTGACTGCTATCCATGCTGGTTGGTAGTTTCTCGCTGGGTCAACATGCCGAATCCGATCGTAAACCAAAACCACGCCGTTCCCTGCACGACTATGATGCTGTGTGAATCCGCTTTCTGCTGCAGTGATGCTCCTTCACGATTGCCCCAAAGATGATGAGCAACATAAGTTCTCGACGACATACGGTGCTTCCAGCCCTCAACTAGCGCCCATCCTCCTTCTCTCCAAAATCTCCCTCCGCAGCGCCTCAGCCGCAACCTCCGTCTCCAAGACGCGCGCCACGCCCCTCTTCCATGCCTCCTCCAAGCCCTTAACCTCCGCCGCCACTGCCTCCTGCGCGCCCCTCCTCTCCACAACCAACAAATCGATCTCCGTCTTCCGCTCCGCGAGCTCCCTCTCCAACGCTCTCAGCTCGTCCTCTAGCTGCGCGTTCCCTACCAACCAGCTATTCTTCCCGAACTGCTCTAGTAGATGTAGATTGTTCTGCCGCGATGCGAGGTACGCGTGTGCGGTGTAGGCGCGGGCCAGCGCCGCGCGCCATGTCTGGAGTGTCTCGGGGTGTTTCTCGTCCGAGTGAGGAGAGGTGGCAGGCGGCTCGACGGCCTCGTACCGTGAGAGGTCGATGGCTTTCAGGGGCTGCTTGGCTTCGATTCGTGAGAGCTCGGCTTCTATCATGGGGCTGAAGTGGTGTTCTGAGAGAGGCGGGAGGGAAGGATGGGTTTGGGAGTCGTGCGACGAGGGCAGCTCGGCGTCGATCAGGGCTTGCGCGGCGGCGCGTTCGGCGGGCGTGGGCTCGCGGTCAATGTATGGTAGGGAATCGTGGACTGCGGTGGTGAGTGCCATGGTGTGTGCGGAGCGGGCTGCGTGTGCGAGTTGTTGAAGATCTTCTTGAAAGCATCTGCCTCGTCTTGCCTTAAGGTACCCGAATCGATCTAGCGGCTCTACAGTGTGGCTAGGCCCAATCCGGATAGCTCCCGCGGCGGCTAACGTCGGGGAAGCGCTGCTAATGGCTGCAGACGAGGGGCGGGAGTGTATCTCTCACAAATAGAAGAAGTCGGTTTTCAACAGTGGGCGACGCAAGGCTTTCACCTTTATGTTCCAATCAAGGTCCGCGAGACTCTTGACCACCGTAGCATCTCAGGTGTCTTCTAAGTTCCGTCTCCCAAGCACCGCACAGCGAGCATCGTCCTTCACACCCTCTTATCGGCGACCCCTCCAACCCTTCACTCCCAAAAGCAACAGCTACCTGACCGACGCAATCCGCTCCCACCAAGCTCGAAAGATGGCTCCTCAACTCGACGGCTACTTCAAGCAGGTCGATGCTCTCTCCGACCACTTCATCGAGCGTCTCCGGAAAGCAGTCGCCATCCCCTCCATCTCCGCAGATGAGGAACGCCGCCCCGATGTCGTGCGCATGGGGGAGTTCCTCGCAGACGAGCTTACGGCCCTCGGCGCCGAAGTGCAGAAACGGCCTCTGGGCAAGCAGCCGGGTAAGGAGCATCTGGATCTGCCGCCTGTGATCATCGCCCGCTATGGGAACGATAAGAAGAAGCGCACCATCTTGGTGTATGGACACTACGACGTGCAGCCTGCGGGGAAGGACGACGGGTGGGCCACGGAGCCCTTCGAGCTTACGATTGATGACAAGGGACGTATGTACGGCAGAGGCAGCACGGATGACAAGGGGCCGGTCCTGGGATGGCTGAACGCGATCGAAGCCCACCAGAAAGCGGGCGTCGATTTCCCAGTCAACCTACTCATGTGCTTCGAAGGAATGGAGGAGTATGGCTCAGAGGGCTTGGACGACTTCATCAATGCCGAGGCCAAGAAGTTCTTCGCGGATGCAGATGCGGTCTGCATCTCTGACAATTACTGGCTTGGAACCGAGAAGCCTTGCCTGACATACGGTCTTCGTGGCTGCAGTTACTACTCCGTCGAGATCTCAGGCCCGGGCCAGGATCTCCACAGCGGGGTCTTTGGCGGTACGGCACAAGAACCCATGACTGACCTCACGCGCGTGCTTGCGAGCCTCGTCGACACAGATGGCAAGATCCAGATCCCAGGCCTCGCGGACCTCGTGGCTCCCCTCACCGACGAAGAGAAGTCGCTGTACAGCGACATCGCCTTCACCATGGACGACCTGCACGAGTCTCTCGGCAGCAAGACCACCATCTTCCCGGACAAGGAACGCACGCTGATGGGCCGCTGGCGCTACCCCTCGCTCTCGATCCACGGCATCGAAGGCGCCTTCTCGCAGCCCGGCGCCAAGACCGTCATCCCCGCCAAGGTCAGCGGGAAGTTCTCCATCCGCACCGTGCCCAACATGGAGCCCGAGGATGTCGACCGTCTGGTCTTCAAGTACGTGGATGACGTGTTCAAGAAGCTGGGCAGCAAGAACACCATGAAGTGCTCGCTGTTGCATGCGGGCAAGTGGTGGGTTGCGAGCCCTAAACACTGGAACTTCTCTGCGGCTTCGAAGGCCGTGGAGAGGGTGTGGGGCGTGAAGCCTGACTTGACCCGGGAGGGTGGAAGGTATGTATCTCCTTATGCGCGGACGGGTTGGCCGCGTAGATATAATATGTGCATCATGGAATTGATTGCTAACCTTGGGCCTAGTATCCCTGTCACCTTAACATTCGAGCAAGCAACGGGTAAGAACGTGCTTCTGCTTCCGATGGGGAGCTCGACAGATGCGGCGCACTCGATTAATGAGAAGCTGGATAAGAAGAACTACATTGAGGGTATTAAGTTGTTGGGAGCATACCTGCACTACGTTGCTGAAGAACCAATTACCAATTAAAGAGCAAATAAAAAGTGTCAAGGATCAGTATTGATTGTATTACAGCAGTTCCTCATCTATGCATCGTGTGATAGTTCTGCTTCCCATGCACTTTTTGCTTTTTTCCCATTTGACATTGAGGTCATGCTGGCCCTGCCCCTGCCCCATACGCCGCGTACACCAACCACTACAGCAACGATAATCTATTACCTATTTCCATCACGCCCGCTTGAAGAAGTATACGTAGGCGAACTTCTTCATTTCTTCGACGTCAGTTGCCTTCACAACCTTCTCGTCATTAAAAAGAACCCAGTCCGGGGAGGCTTCACCGGGGATTTGCTTTCTGACGAAAGCTACATAATGCCTATCAACACCGTCAATAGCATGATCAATATGGATGGCTAAAAAAGTAGCCCAAGATAATAGACGGAATTGTAGAACTTACCCTGCATGAACACTGGCACCTTTGTGACAGACGATTGAGTCCAGCTGGAACTTGGCAGGTAGATCGCTCTTTCCAGGAAGCTCCTTCGGGCCAGCATTGTCTGCAACCGGGGCTTCGTCTTCGAATACGCCTTGAGCATCTGGATGATTGAAAAGCCATTCGACAGCTTGTTCCATGTTGCCGCCAGTCTCCTTCAGAGCCTGGCGTGCCTGGGGTGGAGCAAAACCCATAGCACCCAACGTCTCAATCTGCTCAGGGTCGGCAGTACCTGATTTTGCTGCTCCACCACTACCAAGGTCCAGGGGCGCGTCAATGTCAGGATCTTCCATATGTGCGAAGAGCCACTCCATGGCTGCATTTGCATCCGAGTTGCCAGTGGCATGTAATGCCTTTTCGCAGCGGTTCCGAGGAAATCCCATACCTTCCAGTTGTTGAGCGGCTTCCTCGTTGGCAACAAAGGAGGGTTTGCTATCGCTGGCATCTTCAGGCAGAAGCTCTTCCGAAGGTTGATGGCCGGCCGATTTGTAGTCATCGAGGAGGAAAGGCTCGTCACCAACGACAACTGCCACGTTGACCTTGGTGGGAACCCAGTTGACAAGAACAAATCGACGTGCATTGACAGCCAAAACTTCAGGGAAAGTCTTGAAGAGTGACCGCTTTGAGAATCCATCCTTGCTGCCACATGCAGAGCACGTGAGCTCCACGATTTCTGTAGCTGTGAAACTGTCTAGGCATTGCTTCAACGTTACAGGTTCATATTCGTCCACTTCGTTGCCATTATCGACTCCATCCTCAGTTGCTGTCTGTTTTGCAGCCTTTTTTAACGGCACTGGGATAGAGATGTTGTCCTGTTCATCGGTACGATACCGAACCTTTTGGCACTTCAGGCATTGTAAGCGTTCTTCCATGACAAATTGGAAAGCTTTCGTGGGGTCTTCCAAGGTAGATGTGTGTTGCGAACGTGAGATGAGCTGGAAGATGTGAAGAAGAAACTCGAAGGCGTCTTGCTGCCGCATTGTTGAGAACTCAGCATGACCTCTTCCAACCAGGTGCTTCAGCATTGATGGCGCAAGTCCCCTCTGAAATGGGGTGTCCGACGGATCGGATGAGACAACGTCACGGTCAGGGTGAGAATACCGGCCGGATAGTAATCCATCTCCTATTTTCCGCAATTGTGTCTCGAGATCCTGGGCTGGGTCTTCCACCACAGGTAATTCTTCCTTGGGCAAGTAGTAACGCTTCTGAAATTGTGGCAAGGCAAAGAGGCACTGCAGAGTGCTAGCAAGGTAACAGCTATTGCCGATATTTTTCAATCCTGTGAAGCCCTCGCCAAACAATTTCTTTAACTCGTGGCCTTCATCATCAGTCATAGAGAACTCCCAACGTAGATTTTCATCAACTTGCATCTCCATCAAGCTCTTCTCCGTCTTCTGGCGGTCGGCAAGCATAATGCCCCAATGGGCGAGGTGAGTTCCAAGGTCGTTATCTATTCGCTCCTCGTTACACTCATAACAATAAACGTCTGCCGTGCCATCAGATGTGATAGATCCTAACTTGACAGCTACCGGATGACCAGTGGTATTTTTGTGTTCCAGACCATGGGAGTTACCACGAAGTCCTCCAAATTGGGCACGGCCACAGCCTAAATTACCACATTGGAGGCAAAGCCAGAGATTCTCCTGAAGGTCACAAAGAGAGCAGTGACCGAGGTCTTGAGATTGGATCTTTCTTGGAGCTTCCTGCTGGAGGGTGAGGATGTGCTCGCAAGTTGTGAACTCCTGCTCCCAAGCCTTGACCTCTTCCTGCCGAGAGAATGTGTTTGCCTTCATTACTCCATCCACGACGGCAGGAAGCTTGCCCGCAGATTTGTCAACATTGTCAATGTTGCATTCGTAACATCGGACACTGGTGTGGTAATCATATCGATCTGCTTCGGTTTCGGCCGCAATAGCAATCTTGGACATTTTTTGCGGAGGTTCGTCACGCACTACGACCTTTCGAGTCCTTCGAATATTCAAGACTAAAGGATGGTTCCTGGTGGCTCGGTGGAGAGCTGCATGTTGACGGTCGCCTGTGCAGCCTCCGTTGAAGCAACTTAAGCAGACGTCCAGCCCTGTAGGATCATCCTGGAGGGTCCGTGTTAGTATATAGATCTATAAGAAAAGTAGGGCCACTATTCAAGCAAAAGGCCAGCGGGCTAAGATGGCAAGGTAATGAAGAACGTAGCTTACAATCGAATCAAAGCACTGTGTGCAGTCCTCTCGATACACAGACTGGTTTGGCCGCGGAGGTCTTAGTGCTGCTCGCGATGTCAGCATGCAACCCAGAATTAGAAGCTATAGAAGACAATAGATCGATTCCATTTCGCATGCCAGCTCCGTACAGTGCACAAGCCTGAGCTTGGGGCGTTTGCGCTACACGGGGGGAGCTTCGGGCATCGTGTGCCAGGAAGCTTCTTGTAGAGATAGTGGAACTATGTGGCAGAAGAGCAAGGCTTGTTTGAGCTTACATTCCAGATTAACATGCTTGCAAGACATATTGCACGAGGTCGAGGAAGGGCTGGATCGCGCGCGTGTTGTGTTTCTGAAGCTGTTGGAAGTTGAACGAGGGGTAGTTTTGTCCAGGCGCGTGGAGGGATTCCATTACGACAGGGACCAGACAGGTGCGGGGTTTAGTTTTTCCGGGGCGAAAGAGCGGCCGGTCTAAACACGCTTTCCCTAGTTCCAGTTGATACTCTCCTTTCATTTACTGCAAGTACCTATAGATAGGTACCTTTTACTGAACGGAACAGATACGGTGGGTAGATAGTACCATTATTAATTTTGCATTATTATTACGTTACCTCTACAGAGAAGTTAAGGTATCAAAGGCCGGTAGACCGTGGTCTAGGTAATGGGGGCTCTCGGTAAGCAGGTCACGTGATACCGAACTAAAACTCAATACCTCAGGCCACCACCGTCTCCGGCCTCCCTTGGGGCAAGGGGAGACCAGACATTAATAATAATGAATGTGACATATTTGGAGAACCACATATTCCACGCCCGTGAATCCCGTGATTTCGCCTTCCTTCTCCACGGCAGCTCACAACAGCCAATCACGGCCCTCCGCTGCCACCATCTTCCCGCTCTTTCCAATCTTTGCCACTGACTGTCATTCTGCGCTTCCCCGATTGGCTTAGCGCGCCCCGATTCTCTTATCCCCGCTTATCAGATCTTTCGTCAATAACAGACCTTACATCCCTCCGTACATATTCCGTACCTCTTCTCGCTTTCTTTCTCAACGCATAATCCTTCAACACCACCATATCCTAATTGAACCATCAACGAAGCAAGACTCTTCCACACGGACGACTACTGCTTCATCACTACGATACCCATCACACCTCTCAGAAGCATATTTGCAGCCTCAACGATGTTTAGAAGAACTCTGTCGACAGTACCACGGGTCGCCTCCCAAGCGATCTCGGCATCAACTCGAGCCGCCACCAGGCCCGCAACCCATCAGATCACATCCCCAGCCGTCGTGTCAGGCCGAAGGCATTACCATGAGAAGGTGCTGGACCACTACTCTCGACCCCGGAATGTTGGGAGTATGTCCAAGACCGATATGGACGTGGGAACTGGCTTGGTCGGCGCGCCAGCATGCGGAGATGTGATGAAGCTACAGATCAGAGTTGACCCAGCCACAAACACCATCTCCGATGTCAAGTTCAAGACCTTTGGGTGCGGTTCCGCCATTGCCTCGTCATCATATTTGACCGAATTAGTCCGGGGTATGACTTTGGAGGAAGCTGGCCGAGTACGGAACACAGAGATTGCCAAGGAATTATGTCTTCCGCCCGTCAAGTGTACGTGTCAACCCGTATTTTGCCATGATGACTAGTAGCTAACAAGTTTACAGTACATTGCTCCATGCTTGCCGAGGATGCCATTAAGTCCGCTATCTCCAACTACTACACCAAGAACCCAGGCGCCCGGACCACAAACCTGGGTGGAACTGGCGCAAGCATGCCGAAAATTGATGTTGAGACGGTGATGGAGCCAACCTCTGGTCAACCTGCAACTGCGTGAAATGTTTGAAATTGTCGGAGTTGGTGGCTTGTCGACGGGTGGGGTTCCTAGGAAGAATCATCAATCGTTGCAGTGAAAACGTGGAGGATGGCCTCTCTCTGTTCGTTAAGGTTAACCAGCACCTCTCCCAACGTGCGGAGCCGGAGGTCAAGGTCCGGGGGAAAATTGTATAGGAGATTCTATAGACTCCTTGTGCAAAAACGAGCTTTTCACGATGTACAGTACAGGTGCCTCTCTTTTTAAAGCAGCTGTCGATAAACAATAAACTTATGTGCCAATTGCCGATGGAAAGAAGATGTGTATAATGTGCTCTTCGTCGTTATTACCGTGATGCCGGGACTGCAAATTCTTTGTCCTCGGACATAACGTCTGCGGAGTCTATCCGCCGCGTCCCGCCGAGGACGTCTGGAGGTCTGGATCTCAAGGTTCGGGCCTAGTGTCGCTTAAGTCCAACCCCTGTCTGATCTTATCGCAAAAATTATTTTTCCTCTCTCGGTCAAGTACAGCAGCAACATATTGGGAATTCAGACTTGTATTGACCGCTGCTGAAAGTGCGATGCCGAAACGCACACTCGAAGATGCTGAGCTGGTCAATGGCGGCCAGCCGGTAGTAGAATCTACTCCCGCGTCGAAGAAGAGTCGAAAGGAGAAAAAGCAACGTGCTAACGAGACTGTCGCACAAGATGTGCCTACAACAAACGGGGCCGAGAAGGAGGAAACAAAGGAGGAGCGGAAGGAGAGGAAGCGATTGAAGAAGCTAAAGAAACTCGAGAAAGAAGAAGCCCAAAAGAACACCGAGGCCGAGAGCTCTGAAACACTCGACACGACACCGACATCCAATACTGAAGCGGTGGACGAGAAGGCCGCGAAGAAGGCGGAGAAGGCGAGACTGAAGGCATTGAAGAAGGCTAAGAAGCAAGAGGAAAAACAGGAGGAGAAGCAGGACAAACAGGAGAAGCAGCCCTCGACCGAGAAGATTGATACGCCAACAGCCGCCTCTGTCTCGACTTCGGTCCCGAACAATAACTCCGACAGCTCATACACCGAGGATCCCAACTTGACGGCTCTTCCACAGGCGGAGATTGATAAATTTCTCGCAGATAACTTCATTACAATTGCCGACCCCCAATCTACTTCCGCAACTCTTCGGCCTATAACGAGTTTCGCGTATTTGCCAATCACTGATGAGTCCCAGCGGGCTCCTTTCAAGGCATTCAAGGCGCCGACCCCAATTCAAGCTGCCTCATGGCCGTTCTTATTATCGGGCAGAGACGTGATAGGAGTAGCAGAGACAGGTTCCGGGAAAACGATGGCCTTCGCCGTACCTTGCGTTCGTGCCATATCGACACTGCCGAAGAAGCAGAAGAATACAGGTCCTAGAGCGGTCATCGTGTCCCCGACCCGGGAACTGGCAATGCAAAGCTACGAACAAATCATGAACCTTGCTAAGGCTTCAGGCTTACAAGCTGTATGTGTTTACGGTGGTGTTCCAAAAGAAGAGCAACGCAGGGCACTGAAGACTGCTGACATTGTGGTTGCAACTCCTGGTCGTCTTAATGATCTTATCAATGAGGGATGCGCGGATCTGAGCAAGGCCAGATACGTCGTCCTCGACGAAGCTGATCGTATGTTAGACAAAGGGTTTGAGGAAGAAATCAGAAAGATTATCAATACAACACCATCCCTTGGAAAACGACAAACTCTCATGTTCACAGCGACATGGCCCGAATCAGTTCGATCACTAGCTGCCACATTCATGACGGCCCCTGTAAAGATAACCATCGGAGACAACCCTACTGGAGACCTCCGCGCAAATACTCGTATCGTGCAGAAAGTCGAAGTTGTCGATCCAAGGAATAAGGAATACCGACTGATGCAGCTTCTCAAGCAATACCAAAGTGGTGCCCAGAAGGATGACCGAATCTTGGTCTTCTGTCTCTACAAGAAGGAAGCAACGCGGGTCGAGGGCTTCATCCGCTCAAAAGGCTTCCGCGTCGCCGGTATACATGGCGATCTCAGCCAGGAGCAGAGAACGAGGAGCTTGGATGCCTTCAAGAAAGGAAATACGCCTATTCTTGTGGCTACAGATGTGGCCGCCAGAGGTCTTGATATACCTGCAGTGAAGCTGGTGATTAATTGCACGGTTCGTGTTCTCGGATTCCCCCCCTTTTCTCTAGGATATTTTTGTAGTAGCGAGACCGCCTGCTGCACGCGGCACATGTCTTAGCTCGTAGATCATGCTGAAATACTCCTGGAACCTGCTAAAAGAAGTCATGCTAACATTCCATTCCCGATTGAATAGTTCCCCCTGACTGTCGAGGATTACGTTCACCGAATCGGCCGGACTGGAAGAGCTGGGAAAGATGGCCTAGCAATTACATTGTTCACGGAGCATGACAAGGCCCAATCCGGAGCGTAAGTAGTGCCCCCCTGATTATAGGTACTTTCACTAATACCTCCGTAGTCTGATTAATGTCCTGAAGGCGGCGAACCAACCGGTTCCCGATGAGTTGTTGAAGTTTGGCACTACAGTGAAGAAGAAGGAGCATGGTGCATATGGCGCTTTCTTCAAAGAAGTTGATACCACGAAGACGGCTCAGAAGATCAAGTTTGATTAGATTACATTAGAGTATCTTTAACGCTATCATGTATTATCTCATCCTCGGACTGAATGATAGCATTCAAGAAGATATGCGCGCTCACTAAAGGCACTGCATGGCTATTGGTTAGAAAAAAAGGTTTTGCGAATAGACGGATGTTTTGGACTACTCACAGGATCATCGCTAAAGCGCCCGCTACGGCTGCCCCCTTTATGATGTCGAGTATGCCGCCTGTGAATGACGATTCCACCTGTGTTAGCACAGCATATGCGCCCACCCCTGCAGCGATGGTCATCGGTTTGGGGAAGACAGCCCCGAGTTCAAGCCGGGTACCGTGACGCCTCATGTAGGATGCAATGAATGCGGTGCTCCAGATTATGCGGAAGAGCATATTGAGCGTATTTGCCCAGACCAGACCTTCCGCCCCGAGGTCCAGAACACGCAGGAAGACGTACGCCGCACCGGCGAACCCGGCTGAGAACGCCAGCATCCAGAGGGACTGGCGGTTGACCTCAGACTTGGTCGCTACGGATGACACGAAGGCTTCCGTCAGGCCGTTGATCGCAAGGAGGGGGATGTAGAAGCAATATGTAGCTAAGACGTTTCCGGCTCCGGAATCTATCCATGCTGATCCTGCGACGATCTTCAGGAGAAGAGGTGCCATTTTGGGGCCTATTGCAAGCACACAGACGGAGAATAGGACGTACGCTCTTAGTAGAGTATGTAGGTTCTTGCGAGCTTTCATGTTGTGGTCTCTGGGGGGGGTTCCATCCACGGAGGAGAGAAGCTTGCCAAAGTAGTTGCGGCTACTTTCCTCAATGGGTTGGAGGATCAACCGGGCAACAAGACCACCATAATTGTTGGCCAGGGTATAGACGCCTTGAGCTGTTTGCGAAGCAAGAGATGCGATAAGGAATGTATCACCTTGCGTAAGAACATGCTTGACAATTGACTGCTGGAAAAGGCTCCCGCCAAGGATCAATAGCGGCCGTGAAAAGTAGGACAGGAAGTAAGCCCCATCTTTGCTATGGTATTGTCAGTCTCTTGTCTTCTCTGGGTTTGATTTGATTCAAACGCTACCTAGAATAGATTGGCTTGAGGGCTAAGGAGAAGCCACTTCTTGAGGCAATGCCCCAAACATTCCAGAAATAAACAACTAGCAGTGATATAGCATATGCAGATTGACCAAGCGCAAATGGCAACACGCCAATATCCCGTCCATTCCGGGCTGCCCAGATGGCGGAGCCACAAGTTGTTAGACATCTTAGTATTGTTGCGACAGATTCCGCAGCACCACGGATCTTAAACATTGACTTCTGCTGGACAACAACGAAGCAGGGCTCCGACAGCAGTTCCACAAGAGACGCGATGCCATAAAGCTTCAGTGCCAGTTGGAAGTAAGGGACGTCCAGGATCGTTGGGTCGCGAGAGCGGAGAGCCCTCAGATACCAATTGGCAAGGACGAGAGCGAACCCAACACCAAGACTGATGGAGATATATGAGAGGTTCACAATTGCCTGCGTCCTCCCCCCAGCAGTCCCCCCTTCCACGTGACCAGCAGGAACCTTCTTCTCGCCATCCTGCGCGGAGGTGTCATCCGCGGTATCTGGCTGTCGCTGGATTGCAACGCGGAGGCTTTCTCGAGCAGAGAAGAGCACCGAGATGGAGTAAACTTCCAACTGTGTAGAAATGCCAAGGAGTTCCGGAGAGAGGTAGCGAAGGAGTAGCTGGTTCACAATGAACGTCAGTGCTCGAGACCCGACTTGCAGGCCAATTAATAGGGTAGCGCCGCCGGCAGATGTCGATAGAAGAGGGATCTTCTTCGCCACAGAGCCGCTGCTCTTTGTTACTGGCGGCACCGATTTTGAGCCCTTGGACGCCATGCTCTTATGTCATGGTCCTGTCAGGAGAAAAGACAACTCTCATGGGATTATGTTTCTCCTTGTCCGCTTAAATCTGATAGATACGCACCGCCGTCTCGGTAACTCTCCCCCTTTTCCCTCCAGCCAAATTGTTCGACGATTTCCGGGTTAGAAAGTCATAATACTGCACCGAACCCAGTTATAGTTATTAGATAGGGCATTTCAGAATTGACAGCGCTTCTGACTTGTAATGCTTATACATATGTATATATGAAACATTATCCAAGGCTAGTTGGGTTCCGTGGCGTGAGGAATCATCTATATAGCGAGAGGGCAATGGCCAACGATGATGGATGATGGTTCAGAGATCAGAGGTCAGTGACCAGGAATGATGAATTGAAACATGCAACTCAGCAACAAAGCAGTTGCTCCAATGGCGCAATGGTAGCGCGCAAGACTTCTAATCTTGAGGCTGTGGGTTCGAGTCCCACTTGGAGTGTATACTTTTTTCGCTTAATCTTTTCCTCTTTTGCTTTTTGGCCCTCAACGACTCAACATATATTTTGCATTATATAGGGACCTAAGGTAAATAATTAAATGATTTTTTTTTTTTGGAACTAAAAGTCTTATTTCTAGACTGACATTATCTCGTAAAATTTCTCTCAAGCCGGGTGCAAACTCCCACATTCCAGGGGTCGGCCGGCTGAACGCAGTCTAAAGCCAATGGCCAGCATTTCTACCGGTGGAGATTCAGTAAACTCTCAATATAGCTTTTTGTATCGATGCCAATTCCTTGTGCCAGCCTACCTGGTCCAGCTGCCCATCCTGTATCACGGCCTCCCGATGACCCGCTCGCAAATATACTGGAAGACCTGGCACCAACATTATCGCTCGCTCTCCGAATCAAAAAGATTTCCTTCCCTGTCGGAGTATTGGAAGCGGTTTCAAGGAACGGATGTGCTGGCCCTGACTTAAGACCCGATGCTCCAGACGTTAGCCCAGAAGCTCTTGGGGAATTAACTCCGTTTTCGTCGGTATGCCCTGGAGTTTTAGGTTCGAGGCCAGGTACTCGTGTCCAGACAACCCACCAGCCTCGACTGGTCTTGCATGTACGTTCCATCTCGATGCTGTCTGTTGTGGCAGTGTAGGTATTGAGAATTTGCATGTGTGTATTCAGTGCTTCGATACGAGACCATGGAGGTGGCTGGTATGACTTTGAAAGCGTCTGATACGGATCAGGTATATTGGGTATGGTTGAGGTGACAGTGAGCAATTCCGGATCCCAAACAAGGTCATATATTGGATTATTGGGGCCCCCTGTGTCGTTGGAATTGATATCTGGTTTAGACGCCTGAAGGGAGGTTGCGGCGAGCAACGGCTTTATCAGTGGCCCAAACTGGTAATGCAGAGAACGGTATAGACTTGACAATCCAAGAGCAAACGTTCTCAATTCGAAGAGAAGAACAAAGATGAATGGCCTATTCACATAGACAACAACTTGAAGCTCCTTTGTTCTATTCCGATCCTCACTCTCGAACGACGCAGTGGATTTTCCTATGGGTTCAGATCCAGGAGTCTTCGGTGGCTCGCCGGTATTTCCCAGATCAGCGCTAACCTCAGCCTCGTCATCCCGTGCATTCTTTTCGCGCTCCAATTCAACAGTCAATGTCCGCAAGTGTAACCTTGAATTGTAGCTATCGTTGTTGCCGAAAAGCGTGTGAATATCAGCGTCAGCATTGGGCAGATCCTCTTCGACCTCCCCTTCAATGTCACCCATAAGTCCTATCAGATAATGACCCGCAGAGTCGTCGCGAACATCCATGGGCTTCTCAGATGTGCCGTCAACGTTCGCCAGACCGTTGGAGGCTGCATCCTTAGCTGAAACATCTGCAACGATGGGCGAATTTCGTTCGGCCGCTGGCGCTTCACCAGGAGGTTTATCTTTGCTTGATGAGCCACTGACAGACCAATGTGTCCCATAGCCGAGTTTAAGATACTGAACAAATGTGCTGCTCTTATTTGAGTCGCTATCCGTGTTCGTCTGACTAGACTGTCTCTGCACAGGGTCCGGTCGTGATTCTTTAGCTTTGTGCTCGCCTGGAGGATCTCCTTCGCCAATTGGTGTCGGCGATACTGTTCTCGTTGAGCCTTGTCGAAGAGTACTCGGTCGCCGAGGAGCTCCGTTACGAAGGCTTACTTCATGTTCTCTCCCGGAGTCCTCTTGGGCCGCGGGAGATAGTTCCTTCTGTCTGGTCCGTAGTGTTCCTCTTGATTTCTTGTTGCGACGATGGGTGGTGGAATTGTCCATTACACCGTACGCATGAGGACCCCACCTGTAAAGATCCTCCACCCAATGCGAGACATCACGAAGGGATTTCCTTGACAGTGCGCCAGTACCTAGAAAGATGGCACCGTCTTCTGCGGCTGGGTCATCTCCAGAGCCAAGCCAAGGTTCGGTCGGTTTTGTTCGAGGTTGTGTATCTTTGCCTGCATTTGTTTCTGATTCCGGAGATAAACCCCCGTCTCCGAACTTGGACACTATCATGTCAACCAGCCCATCCACCCGACCAACAAAACCTTCGAGAACTTCGCGTTCTCCTCTACCTCGAGCTCCCTCGCCGGCTTCACCCGTGCCCATTCCTAGCTCCCCGCATGCTGCAATCTTGATTCCTCCGTAAAGACTGTTGGCTGGATTTCCATGCATAAGCACATTCCATGTCGACAGAAACATATCCCAATAACGACCAAGTGTGGTCATGAATTTTGATCGCTTTGTCCGAGCGAAGAGCGCACTCAACGAAGAGGCATGGTGAAGAAGAAATATCGAATGGGCTTGAAGAAGATCCCCGAGGAGCAAGACCGGTGGTTTGACTTCGCGCGACGAATATTCGATCGTTCGTTGCTCGCCAGCTGCTTTCCCTTTAGTAGCAGGTGTCTTGATAGTGCCGGGTAGGATTGTCAAATTGATCGACTGATTAAGTATTGTCAGCGATTTAAACAGGTTTCCGGGTGATATATATCTCTACTAACAGCTAAAATCCACCAGCCGGGCTCTAATTCATGAAGTATAATGCGCGACTTCTCTGTTTCGACTGTGCTCACGGATTTGCCGTCTGAAAAGCTTCGACCAAATTCTACCATGCCTTGGGCGAGTCCGACCTGCCTCAACTGCTCATTCTTCTGCTCTCGAGCGGCATCTTGGGCAGACTTGGGGTCCAGCGCAGTCCGCTTTCTCGTCCGATCTCCTCGCGAGTCGGTGGAAGAGTAGTAGTAGACGATTTGATTGTCGAGGGTTTCGTCCGTCGTGCCTAGTGAAGGGTTGTAGATGGCCAGGAAGCCCAATTGGGCCGGGACTACCCTCTGGGATAGATCTGGAGTATGAGACATCGCATCTTTGGAATGGTGTCGGGGAGAGTTGTTGGAAACTCAGACATCCCGTTGCCGTCTTGCGGTCGTGTCCACCCTCGAGATCCCAGGCAAGTGATGTATTGTAGTGGGGCTATGTATAAACGCCTACTGCGGACACCCCGTAGGTACCCGAAACCTAAAATGAAGTTACAATCACGTGAGGCATTTCTTTCCTCTTTCTACCTCTACCTGATCTGCAACTGCATAATAGTTTGTTTAAAGGAGAGAGGTTTGAATGTAAAGGCATTTTCTTATAAGATGTACGGAGCGCCGCTTGCTAGGAGCTAAGTCATTTGCAGTTGATTTCCCAGGTCAGAAAACTTCCAGATGCTTGCTTGGATCACCTACCTACTAACACACTGCGAGGTGCCATGATACCGAAGCCCCTGTTGTAATTCCACAAACCAAGTCCACCTATCTTCTCATGAGGAGCGTACCGAGGGGATCTCGAAATGTACCTTCGTGTCCTCAGACACGTGGTCCGGAGCTCAGCGTTTGCCCGCCTCGGCCCCTTTTCTCGCAGGTTCTACAGCAGCAAGACATCAAAGCCTCTCCGGATCCTCTTTTGTGGATCTGATGACTTCAGTATTGCGTCTCTGAGAGCCCTGCATGAGGAACAGAAGCGGGACCCTCAGTTGATAAAGTCTATTGATGTACTCTGTCGCCCCGGAAAACCATCCGGGAGGTCCTTGAAGACTATTCGAGAAGGTTGTCGATGAATCTATCAGGGTCAAAACATCTCAACTAACTGGTATCAGTACCGATTAAGGCTGCTGCTCTGGAGCTAGGGCTCACGGTTCACGAGAGGGATACTTTTACCGGCTGGGAGGTCAGTATCTTCTTATCTTATGTGATTGTTTCTAATCTCTCTATAGTTACCACGACCCCAAGGTGAGCCCATAAACCTGATTATCGCCGTCTCATTTGGCCTATTCGTGCCACCGCGGATCCTGAGAAGTGTTGAATATGGCGGCCTCAATGTCCATCCATCTCTCCTGCCCAAGTATGAATCCCCCCTGACGTCCCCAGGCTGCTTTTAATCCACGGGAACAGTTTTCGTGGGCCTGCTCCACTCCAGCATACCATAATGACAGGCGTCAACTCCACCGGGGTTACGCTCCAGACCATGGACGAAGTCTCGTTTGATCACGGAATGATCCTAGCTCAGACACCGCCCAACGGGCTTCAAGTCCCATCACTGGATACATGCACATACGAAGAACTTCTCGAATTCATCACTCCGAAGGCGGCCGAGATGCTAGTGGAAGGGATCCGCGACCGGGCCTACGTGCCTCCCCTGAAAGCGGTCGGATGGTACGAATCCGACCAGCTGGTGCCCGCCCCCAAGATCACTCCCAAGCACCGACATATCGACTGGGAGGGCTGGGAAGCCTCCCGGATCCACCGACACCACCGAGCGCTCGGACGGCTCTGGAACCGCGTCTACGTGGACTCCCACACCGAGACTACGAAGCGCCTGATCTATGAAGATATCGAGGTCGCGCCCATGCCGGACGTCCTCGCCGAATGGCTCGCTGAGAGCAGACCCGACGCAACGGGGAAGATCATCCCGCAGCAGAGCGACAGCCTCGTGCGCTTCGTGGTGTATCAAGACACAGCAGGAGCGCCGAAACCGCTGCCGTATATCGTGGATGGGGATGCGGTCGTCTTTGCGGCGTTCCCTCCCAGTATGGGGAAAGGTATCCGCGTGAAGGAGATCACGATGGAGGGCCAGCGCAAGAAGGCTGCTAGTAAAGTAATGCAGAATTTTCAGGGCCGCGAGGCTTGGGAATTGATAAAGGGGAGTGGGGAGAGTTTCGGGGTGAATCCGATACCTCCCCTGGTCAAGAGGGCTTAAAACGACAGCACCAAAAGTACATTAAAAAGGAATTAAGATCCTACTGTGTTTATCTAGTTTTTTGACCTTGCCTTCTGTCTTGTATTATATATATACTCCTGTCAATATAGAACATGTGACACGAATATATACATCTTGACAAGAAGACTGCATTATTCATTCAGGGGTGTTTAGGCACATTTTATCAACTCCTTGAAGAATCACCATAGGTTCAATCGTGATGGCAGAATTTGTGTAAATGATTTAAAACGCCCTCCCGAGAGCATTGGCAATGCAGCAACGTATGTAAGGACCTACTACCTCGGTCTACTCATATCGACACGACGGCCGGTTCCTAATATTTCGCCCATCTATGGTTTAACGCCAAAAAAGAAAGAAGCAACCTTCTACAACTGCACATCATTGTTGAGGAGTCTAACCTCCTCGCCGGGCTTGAAAGCCGGCATTCCAATATAAGGGCAGCCATCGCAGCGGAAAGCGTCTCCCAGGCTGCAGTTTCCACACGAGCCGACCTTTCCCTGGACTGTGAAATCAACCTCAGCGAGATCGTCTGCGCCGAGCTTCAACGTCTGGAGCTGGGCATCGGCTTTCGATCGCTTTTCTGCATCTTCAGCGGCGAGCCTCTCAGCAAGGCCGCAGGTACAGTCCTTGCATGCTCGGCGGCGTTTGCCGACTCTTGGGACGCACTCGGGGGCTAGGGAAATTGATTAGCACACAGATAGGATAATCAGTAGGAAGAATAGCAAACTTACGAATATTGACAGGTCTCTTGAGATCCTCTTCCGTGAGAAGATTATCCTCATCAATCAGCTCGTCATCATCATCTTCCTCGCCAGTAATGACAGGGGTTCCAAAGTCATCACTGAAATCCACAAAGCCTACTCCCTGAGGCTTTGTCTGCGACATGTCTACGCTCTTCCTCTTCCCATTCAGCGGGACAGTTGCGGCTGTCACTGCGGGCCCCGCCTTTGAGACGGCCACACTTTTGTCCTTCCTCCTCAGGCGCAAGGGCACGGCCTCACTCGCACTGTAGTCTGGCTTCACCATCGCATCGCCCTCGGCGACCAATCCAGCCAAGATAGCTTCTTTCAGCTCCTCGCTCCCGACAGCCTGACCAAATGTGCCATCCTGCGCCTGTAGTTTTCCGCCCGCTTTGAGCGCCTGCACGATCCGCGCAAATACATCTCGTCCCAGCAGCTGTGTAGATTCAGTGCGTGTGCCGTCGGCATCAGTCAGGATCATAATCAGATCGTAGGTTGAGTCTGGGAGGGTGACGAGCCCCGCGGAGAGGCGATCGAGCATCTGCAGATCCGTGACAGTACGGTCGTAGGACCCCAGAACCCGTCGGAGGATCTCTTCATGGCTGGAGGTGGATGGCGGGGCAAGCAGAAGCGTCCGTGGGAGTGATTGTGTGTTGAGGGGGGAAAGTTTGGTGGAGGTGGCTATCGGACTGAAATCGGAGGAGAAATCGATCGAGGGAGCCATGACGACCCGCGGGGGGCAGTATTGTACTGCGAGGGGGGGTTGAATATTTTTGTATTATTTGTCTCCTCGCGACAAAGGAATGGAGATTATGGGGAACGAGGATGAGTTGAAGAGATGGAGACGAAAATGAGGATTCAAGATGTGAATTACTAATGGCCGTACGGAGATCAGTGTATCGTGGAGTTACTCAGTCGCGCGGCCGCTGATAAATTCTTCTCCATCAAACGAGGGGCATGAGGCGGGCGCTGATTGGCTGGGGTAAGAGTCAGAGCCAGTGGCGGCTGGAATGGCCGAGAAGTGACGGAGATGGTCGACTGATAAGAGGGGCGAACAGGCAAAACGGCAAGGTACTTGCGATCAGGCGTGGCTTGGGTGGTGGCAGAAGTACCTCGAAGTACCTATCGTAAGGTACCTTACTCTTGGGTTTGCTGGTCGTCTTGCATGAGGGTTCTCAGTAGGTTTCTACCTAGAAACACACCTGTCGTTTATTCTGCAGACATCTGCAAGTGGCCCAGCTTCCCTGGTACCTTGGCTCTGGCTGTGTCCCTGCTCGTCGGAGAAGTACCGATGCAGCAACACGCATCTCGCCGGGACCCCCGGTCCTGATTGGCCCATTACGCGGCGCCCGTGGTGGCATGAGGACACACGACAAAGGAGAGAGGGGTGGTTCTTCTAGCGTGGCGCTAACCCCGCAATAAGCAGCATCGTCAATGACGTGAGGCATGAGACTCTATGAGAGCTTCCACGTATTGCTATCCCGAGGCCACAAGGTATTCGAGGCTGTATCTAGGTAGGTACATTGAGCATTGTTGCTGTAGCTCTATCAATTACGGTAATAGGCAATTGTGTGCAGCATATGCGAGAATATACCAATATGAACTCAGATCCCCCTTCTCTAGCAATCAGGAGGCTCAATCGCTACCTGATCTTCGTAAAGCGAGCATCTCTCGCCACCTGCACCTCCCCGTCCAAATGGTGCCATATTTAGGTAAAGGACAGTACGTACCACGGTACCTTAGCTATGGCACTAACCTCCCTTACCTCAGGTATCATCAGGTCTCGTGAGTCTCGTGACTCGCCTGCACCCCTCTATATATTGACTCCTGCGATCCCCTCTCCCATCTTCTCTCATCATCATCTCTCTCTTTCTTCCAACGCATCTCAATTGTCCAGACATCAATCAGAGTCTAGAACTCTCAAGCTCCAGCCTCAGTCCGCCAAATCAACACCTGAACCATACAATCAGTAAGCAGCCCTGTCTCTATCTCGCTGTTCTTGATGCCATTACCCCACTCGAACCTCGCTCGCACCCATTGTGCAACCTTCCATCAATCGCCCAACATGTATCCATTTCCATTCATCAATGTCCTGCATAGGAGTTCAATTTGTATCTGGAGTGCGTACTAACATTGATAATGATGACAGTGGGAAAGTCACACAAGTACAACGACCGTGACCATGCTGGCCTCGCGGACGGCTCAGCTGTTCCCGTCGAGCATTTGCCTCGTTTCTTTGCCAAGTCCGGTTTCATCGACGCCGACCCGAAGAAGGCCAAGAAGAACGGAGCAGGAAAGGGTGGCTGGTAAGTTACACTTCCCACCATTGTCACATTCCAAGCGATGGCGGACAAGAAGCAGGGCTGACAAGAGCAGGGGCGTGGATGGGGAGGAAGTCCAGGATGAGGGCTTCAATCTAGCCAAAGCACGCCGTCACTCCAACAGTAGCAGCTACAGCGCTGGCCTGAAGGACTTCAAGACCAAGTTCGAAACCGTCGAGCCCGAGCCGGTTTTCGAGGAAGTTCTTCACGGCGCCGAAGAAGACTACCAGGACCTCCCGGAGACCCGTCGTGTCAATACTGAGAGTTCCGAGAGCAGTCTCGATGAGGATTACAAGGTTAAAGGTGTTTGATCCGGAGTTTGGGATTCAGAAGTGTTGTCGCTGTTATTGAATGATACCAGGCAGACGGGTTGATTGTTGTCTGCAGGCGGATAGCGGGGGATAGACTTCTGAATCGATCTTGTGGGTTCGATGAAACTGGCTGTCAGGAGCATAAGACCAGATGTACTACTATTAAGCTTTAGCTATACCAAAGGCATAGAGAATTTTGCCCAGTAAACCTGTTCAATGATGTGCTGGTGCATGTGTTAGCGCCCCTTTGTCATTGCCCCTTTGATTGATCTTACCAGCTTGGGATTGCCGGCTACTCCTGATTCACAGAAAACTTAATTAGGTACACGCTGAGCAAGTGAGTCGTGGTGATCGGTATTATCGCATGAGCCAGAAACTCCAATCCCCCCTGAGGACATCCCCGCAAAAGAGAACCCCACCCTAGGTAGCAACCCCAGTACCAGCAACTATAAATAACTAAAGAATCCAACATCTATCGCGGGGATCTGAATCCAAACATTTCTTCGATCTCAAGAACTCATCAAAATCACATAGATCATCTCAGTATGCCTTACTCGCTCAAAGGACGAAACGTCCTCGTAACTGGAGCGTCGCGGTCAGTCCCCCCCGCCCCCGGGGAAAGGAGGGGCGGGGAAATCCCACCACTTGCTGTTATGCATTCCAACAAAATACTCGCGGTTACATACATACATATATATCTATTCCACATTTTCCTTGACTTTTCACCCCCACCCTCTTTCCGGTATATCTATTTATCTCAACAAGTATGAAAGTTCCAGGGCTAATTAGCAAAATACGTATGAGATTCACCAGCGAAATCACGAGCCTGAAATCCGCGGAGAAGAGGATGTAGGTAAGCTCGTGCTCTTTTACTTGGGTAGTGCTGAGAAGGCGGATGCTTTGGATTGGGGATGAGTAGATATGGAGTCTGGATGGATGGTTGTTATTTGCGCCGGGGGGGAAAAAGGGGGGGGGGGGTTTCTATTTATTGGGAGTTAAGGTATGTTATGTGTTTGTGGTGGTGTGAAACCATACCTACTATGACCTGTGACTTTCCCTATAGAAAAACAAAGAAGACTTTCGATTCTTGAATAGATGGAGATAGTGGTGAAGATAGAAGAAGAAGAAGATGGGTACTGAAGAGCAGGTAGCGGATAACTTCAAGACCCATCCATATCCTTCACGCAGCTCCACGGACTCGACATTTTAGTCTCCAATGCCGCCGTTCCTCCTTCCTCTCCTTCCATGCCTCTTCCTCACTCAACCACTCCCCCGCTTTTTCTTTTCAGGACTACACCTGCTCGCTTCTCAACCTTCAGCGAACACATCCACCGCTAGCTGGGACACCTGTTTCGTAGTGAACGGCAAAGCGCAGACGTATCTACTCGATCTTCAACCAGAATGATGAGGGCGGCGTGCTATTCATGCGTTCCAGCATCGCGGGGAAGATCGCGGGCGGGAACAGCTTGCCGGATAGTGTGCGCAAGGCGGTGCAGCTGCATCTGATGAGGTGTTTGGCGGCCGAAGGGGAGGGTGAATGCGGTGTTGCCTAAGCTGCTGCTTACGAAATGGGTATATTGACCTTCCTTGACCTCCTTACCTACCCTATTCTGGGACTCTGGGAGAAAAAGGGGAGGAGAGGCTGATCTGTCGGGGTGGGAAGAAAAGGGGGCGCGATATCCGCAGGAGCAGATTAGGTAGGAACATGGAGGAGAGAGTGTAGGTATCTCAAGCGCGTGGTGAGGAGTTCTGGTTCTGGGGCTGGAGAGCGGGCTGATGAACATAGTAGACGGATCTCGAGGTCTGCGCGCAGGCGTGTGTTCGACATAGCGGCGAATTCGTCGATGACGGGGCGGAATGATCACTGTTGGTATGTATGTCTTCTCTCTTTCCTCTCCTTTCTTTTATGACAGGGGAACTTCGAGATGTGAGATAGGGGCTGGCTGAGATGGATGTAGATTCGGGATTGGCGCAGGGTTGCGTGGCTTCTTATGAGGTTATGATGGATGGAAAGAAAGGACTGGATGAGTGGATGAATTGAACACAGCAGAGATATATATCATTTATTTACTGATATATTTACCTTTCGACGTACCTACCGTGCTATCATCTCCCTATGAGACCCGCCTTAAGCTTCGAGTCGCCCCTGAGCTGCCCATGAGAGAATGAAAGGTAACAGGACCACCACCTTATTTCAAGACCTTGATATTAGACCAACGTCTATAGACCAGCACTCTTGAAAGACAGAAAATGAAGGATACTTGAAAAAAAATCTGGTGCAGAGGACCGAGGTAGAGTAGGTAAGCAAGAACAGAACTGGAAGTGAAGTGTGAAACGGCGAAATATGAGTCATCTCTGAACACGGGATCTCGCAAGAAAGGAAGTTGTGTAAGCAGATTGGGTTGGTAAGCAGGTAGAAAAGATGAAGCTGAGATGGAGATGGAGATGGAGAAACGGTGCGATACTGTAGTGTAGTCCCACGCAGATCAATGATCCGGAGTATCTTGAACTTCCCCCGTTTGGCCCTCGGCCCACGGAGAAAGCAGCCTCGGGATCTATCGTCCACGACGCTCACTCAGCACAGCATTGACCCATTGACCCATTGACCCATCGAGACAGTTGGAGACGGTAGAGATCATGAGACGGCTTGAAACTTAGATTGCTTTATTGTTACAGTACAAGACAGATGATCCCGTGGTACGGATCTGCTCGATTTGACTAATCGACATAGGTAGAAGAAGCTAGAAAACAACAAAGCCTGCCGCTGAAGAAATTCGACCGTTGGCATAAAATGTGCTCGTTCATCGTAAGGTAGATTGTCCTAATAATAGCAAAGACAGAAAAAACACCCAAAAAACCAATCCCAAGTCATATTCAGCGGACGTACTGTATACTCCGTCGCCGAAGTTCCCCCGATTTCAACGCGTAGATGATAATAATTTACATGGCAACTTTAGGTGATTTTTTCGTCCCGAATATGTCATCGACGAGGCCACCCAATACCTCTTTCAGAACGCTTGGCTCCTTGGACGCTTTGGAACTTGAGAAGCCTGCTGCCAGCCGCGCAATATCGAGCTCAATGGCATCGTTGCCCACAACCTCACTCATCGGGGCAACCACAGGGACGTTGTGCGGATGTGACGCAACGATGTGGATCTCTGGGCTGGGGACAGCCGGGTCGAGGGTCTCGACCATATGGGCCGAGTTGGCGGAGCGGTCGGGGTTGTAATTATCCGGGAGCAGAGGCACGCGGAGTCTGGCGAAGGGGTTTGCGGGGGGAGCTTCCGGGACCTCGGGGAAGAAGACGAAGTCGATGGTGGAGGAATCATGAGCCGCTGGCTTCGGGCTCGAGGTCCGGAAACCTTGCATCAGGGGAATGGTCTTGGGGATTTGAGGGCTGGGTCGTCGAACAGTGTGGAAAGCGCGCGAGTCATTCTCAAGGCGGTCGGCAAGCTGCAATGGATGTATCATTAGTTGTCTGAATGAATAGGAAGCTTTGCAGAGATGATAATGGAACTCTGCTCACCTCTTGTTTGCTGCCATTCGACCCCGATGGTCGTTGGCGATCGACAAGGGCAGATTGGCGAGCCGCGCTGGAACTCGAGCTCATGCTGCGCACTATGCTGCGCGCCGCATAGCTGGCTTTGTTAACTGGAGGAGTGACTCTGGACATTTCAGATGGGCGCGCTGGGTTGAGGAATTGACGGTGAGATCACGGTGTGCTGTGAGCGCAAAGCGGAGGGATGGAGAGGAGATATAGAACAGCTGTAGGGTGCTGTGATAATAGACGATAGAGCTCAATAGGTAGGGAAGAGCTTGTAGATGTCTTCTTCCGTCGGGTGTTTTTCAGTCTTCTAGAATTAGATGATGTTTTATCTCATGAGATGCGATTGGGGAGCAGCAGTATATATATGTGTACAGGACATAAGGTAGGCATATAAGATTGTCCCGAGGAAGGGAAGGTAAGACAAGCCAAGCGGATTAGAAATTGTTGAGGGCGGGGGGAGGGGAATGAGTGACATGATCTGATATTGACGAGTGCGGTGTAGGCCGGGTAGTGTTCTGGGGTGATTCACTGATTGGGGAGAGGGAGTCACTGCACCGTAAGTGACCTTCGCTATGTCATTGCTTGCTCAGGAGTCAGGAGGATACACGGCCATACGGAGTAGGCGGGCTTGGAGCTCCGTACAGACCCCGTAGGCGCAGACCCCGGGTCCCCGTAGCCCCCCGTACGGCAGAACCAGGGGGCGCTAGCCGGTTGGGGTTAGGTATCAAAGCCTAAACTCCCCACTGGGCCCGGCAGAGAAGGCACGTGCCCCTCAACGCTTGCGTACCCTTTACGGAGATACCCTCGTAGCTCCGACTCTCAGTTTCCCCTTATTTACTTCATCCCCCAGGAAGCCCATCTTCTGTATTAATAATTCTTCACATCGAAATGAACCTTCTACGACGACTACCACTACCGTGGACCGGAAATGCCAAGGCAGGTGCCGGCTTACCCAGCTATATCCGGCACTTATGAGGCAGGTGTTATAGTAAGGTAAAGGTAAGCTATACAAGTATGCACCAATACCTACTACCTATGCATATGCACACATGCAATGTCACACATCTCCCCTCCGTATGGACATCTACGACCCACGGCCGGTGACAACAGAAAGCTCCGCTCAGATCTTCAAAGGTATTATTATCTATCCCTAAGTCAAGGGACTCAAGGGTCTCTTTGCTGTGCTGTGCTGTACAATCAAAATCCCCCGTGCTTTCGCTGGTGCAGGTAGCAGGTCCAGTAGTACTACTATGTACAGCCAAATGGCTTCCTGATCATCCTGAACGCCGCGCCAAGTACAACAAGATGCCCACTCCCCTCCTTCATACTCCACCCCAGTGACATGCCATGCGTGCGTGACCTCCTCCCAGAGAACTACTCCGTAGACTCCTATGCGACTCTTCTCGCAACCCCCCGCTGTCTAGATCGCTTGTTGATCTCCTCTTTCCTCCTACAACGCCTCACATGCTGAAGTGTGTCCACGCCATTTGACAAAAGAAATGTGCTCTCTAGCTTCTTCCCCCCTCTCTCTTAATCGGTCTTCCAATGCCCGGTGAGGGAGCCGTCTACATCTTCTTTCCCCAGGTACAGCTCCAATGCATATAGTGCCATCGTGGCTGCGACATTTATCCACCGCCAGATGTTCCCTCCGGTATCTCCCCCTTGCGTGGTCCACCACTCAGTTCCGTTTCCTTCGGCCGACGTGGTAGAGAAGTGCTGCATCAATAGGTTCGTGTACACTGCGATCAGAATCGAAGGACTGAACCAGCTGAGGAAGCCAAGGATCTTGCCGGCCCCATCACTGTCTTCAAGGCTAGGCTCCTGGGAGAGAGCTCGAGCCCCAGACTCCCGGACAGCAGGGATGATTCGCGTAGCTGCATAGAAGACGAAGATTCGGTACGCTAGCGAGATAATCACAGACGGGGTTATGGTCTGGAAGGCGGCGTAGAGAAATGTAAACCCCGAATGTACAGCTGAAGGCAGAGTCGACAGTACATACATCATGGTTGAATATGAAGCCATGATGATCGGAGGGAAAGGCGGAAACTCGGGCTGTTGGGGGTGTGGCGGGGTTTCTGTCGCTGTCGTCGGTAGGTAATCGGTGAAGATCTGGTATATGCATAGAACCACATATGCAAAGAGTAGTGAGCTCTCTACTGGGTTTCCTCTTCCACTCCCGATTCCCCACGCACACAGGAAGACCGCACAGGTTATAGTGACCCCTATCAGAGTGGCATCCACATTGCCCACCTCTGGGAAGGTCGTGATCCGCCAGAGGAAATAGACGGAGCTGGATATGATCGAGGCCGACAGGATGAGTAGCCCGATCTGTGAATGGTCAGAAATGTAACAGATGATCAAGGAAGGGAACATACCATCCAAGCATCACTACGTCCCCTGTTCACAAACCATCTGGTGATTTGCCCAGCAGCCTGTATAACTAGCAAGCTACAGAACCCCTCAGCCAGCTGGAAGAATGGTGTCGAGTATCGCAGTAACTTGTCCCAAGAGCCCACAGTCAGCATCTCGAGCAGACCTCCCGAGCCAAAGATCCACTCCTTGACACCCAAGTTCTGGGCTCTCTTCCCGTCGAAAGTTCTGGCAACCCAGTCCCCGCTGTTATTGGCATCAACCGCAAACCGGTTCATGCTCCAGATCAACAGCCCCGGTAACAACACCCATTGTGCCATCGCAAACAATTGTACCACTGCCCATCGTATTCTTGAGCCGTCAGGCGTAGCTAGCTTGATCCCCGAGTAGAAGATGTACATCCAGAAGAGGCTGACCGAGAAGGCCAGCCCACACTCCCGCCCCCCGACATCGAAAGCTATAGGTATGGAGAGGATGATCGAGAGGAGGAAGATGGCCGAGGACAGGACGCGAAAGAACCACATCAGCGCAGTCAGCGCCGGGGCGTGCGTTGAACCGCGCCCAGCTTGGTGTTGGTGAGATGGGGCGCCTTGTATCGTTGCTGTCACGCCGCCGAGGAAACCACACCGACGAACGTGTGCGGGATGGCCGTCTCTCGAGGCTCCTTGGTCTCGTGTCGCGGTGACGGCGCTTGGTGGTTGCGTGCCAGGGTTGTTCTGGTTAACAAAAAGAGGTGCCCTTATCGAGCGTGTCGGTCAAGGCTCTCCTGATCGTCAAGGTATTTATCCTACCCGCGTCCAGGCGAGGGGCTTGCGGGAATGTCGTCGCGGTTGAAGGGCTCCTTGGATCTGCGGGTATGCGTGACTATTCGAGCTCGACCGATGATGGAGTATTGTGATGCATGTAGCACGCAGCTCTCTGGCGACGATCGTGCAGAGTTGCAGAATTTGCCTGGGTAAGGTAGGTGAAGGCCAGGGAAGCTATTGTGGCAACGCCCTCTCCTGTCGCGTGCTGCGAGAGAACCGGGGCCTTTTGAACACACGGGGGGGGGGGGGGGGCCTGGCCTGTTCTTTATCTCAAGATGTCCATCTTTTGATATTGAGCATATCGTTATTGTTGTCTTTTTTTGGTTATCTGATTTCTCTTTCTTTTAATCTCATCTTAAATTTTAAATTTTTATCTCCCCCCCTTGCCCCGCCCCCCTTTCTCTCCTCCCGCCTTGCTGAAGTCGATTTCTATGCCAGCCCGCCACAAGATCAGTCATCAATATGGCGATAACCAAAAGCAAGATCTTCTGCTTCACTGCTACTGCGGGAAACTTTCTCTTCACCCTCAGCCGCTTTGCAAGCCGATCACAGTTACTGTACGTGCCGTCGAAAATGGCAAAGTTCCACGAGCTGAGGCAATCTGGGTTCTCCGTGATAAACCTCCGTAGTTCTGCCGCCAAGGGCTAGTTGCCTAGCGCCCTGGCCTGAGCCTCGAGGTAACTTTTGATAGGACATATCTCAAGGCTTAGGATTGTACAAAGGTGAAAACTGAACCGCTCCGCCTTTCAAAACCCACAACCACAGATCACCCACCCTTGCGCATCTGTGAATGCTTCGCAGTCTATCCAAGATGGCAGAAACGGCAGCAAAGAGAGTCAAGACCTCCCCGGTCACCATTGGAACCCACAATGGCCATTTCCACGCCGACGAAGCCCTAGCAGTCTACATGCTCCGTCTGCTGCCCACCTACCAGAACTCGGAGCTCATTCGAACGCGCGATCCAGCCCTTCTGGCGACTTGCCACACTGTCGTGGACGTGGGCGGTGAGTACGATGCGTCGGCCAATCGTTACGACCACCACCAGCGCACCTTCAACACCACCTTTCCCAACCGCCCAACCAAGCTCTCGTCCGCGGGTCTAGTGTATATGCATTTCGGCAAGGCCATCATTGCGCAGCAACTGGGCGTCGCGGAGGATGCCGAGGAAGTCAAGGTGATCTGGGAGAAGATCTACGAGAACTTCATCGAGCCCGTCGACGCGAATGACAATGGCATCTCGGCATACGACCCTAAGGGTATCGCGGCTGCGGGGCTGGAGAAGAGGTTCCGCGACAGTGGTTTCACGCTGGGGGCGATGGTCTCGCGGTTAAATCCGAACTGGAACGACCCCGTCCCGTCGGATCCTGTGGAGGCTCAGAAAGCGGAGGATGAGAAGTTCTTGGTTGCGAGCACAAGGATGGGCGAGGAATTTTCCAGGGATTTGGACTACTATACGAGATCATGGTTGCCGGCAAGGGACATTGTGCACAAGGCATACGCAAAGCGGTTGGAGTATGATCCCAAGGGAAGGGTTCTGGTGTTTGATGGACTTTCCGTACCCTGGAAAGACCACCTATACACGCTCGAAGAGCAGAGTGGTGGTGCTGCCGAGGTCTTATATGTTCTCTACCCAGAGAAGCCGACTCCTGATGCGAAGTGGAGAGTCCAGGCTGTCCCAGTCAGCAAGGACTCTTTCGAGAGCAGAAAACCACTGCCTGAAGCTTGGAGGGGCATCCGGGATGAGAAGCTGGATGAGCTAACAGGCATCCCCGGGGGAGTATTTGTTCACGCTGCGGGATTCATTGGCGGCAACAAGACGTTCGAGGGTGCCAAGGCAATGGCTCTGAAGGCACTTGATCTTTGATATGCAGAAATCTGGACATTGCAAGGCGTTGGTAGGAGAGGAAAAGTTACATTTGGCTAGGTAGGGACATGTTATGACCACAGAGATATTCGCTCCGCCGTCAGCAGAGCAGAGCAAACAATAGAACAGACATCCCAGAATCTATCGCTTGAAAGTAAACCGTCTCTTTGAGTCTTATTTTTGATTCTTTTTTTGATTTTTATCTTTTGCCGTGAGCAACTTTTGCCTGCAAACCTAAGAAGGCCTTAACAGCAACAAGCTAGCTGTACATAGAAATCTGAACCCGTAGCCCATAACCCAGTCGAAGCCTCGAAACGCCTGTGCCATCAATCATAAACACCCTGTTGACCCGAACGAGCACATCCAAGACCCCGCCTATCTCCTAATCGGAATGCCTTCCTTCGCAGGTGGGGGGCTGACGCTCTGGGCCGCTCCCGCACCAGCCTGATCGTCCCTCTCCAACTCATCCGCCGTTGTTTCCCGGTTCAAAAAGCTGCTCTCCTTCACAGGGCTGGCGCTCTGCGCTCCGGCCGTGCCCCCGAGCTGGATATTGCTGTTGCCGCTGCCGCCCTGGCTCGCGTTGCCGACGCTCGGCGATGACAGGTGCGGGATGTTCTCGGGGAGAGGGTGCTGCGAGCCTACGCTACCCGTGTCGACGGAGCTGGCCTTGCCGGCTTTGGAGAGCGCATAGTCGCCGGAGTCGAAGTACTTGCGGTCCTTGAGGTGCTTGGCTAGGTGGTCGGATTTGGAGGGGAGCTTGCCGTAGAGGCGGAAGAGGCGTTGCTCGTCTGGGGTGAGGGACTGTGTGACGTGGGTTAGCGGGGTGTCTGCTTCTCGGAGGATGGAAATCTATCTATTTGGAGGCGTGCGGGCTGGTCACTTACGCTGATGTCAACCTTGTTCTGCTTGTGCGGGTTCATTGTGGCGGTTTGGGAGTGTTCTGTGCGTGTGTTGTTGAGAGGGGTGCGGGCAGAGGGGATGGTGGGATGGCTTGGAAGTTGAATGGTTTTGGGACGCTCAGTATCGTGACTCGAAGTTCCTTTTGGGCCCCCGTTGTCCAGTTCGACGCAGGGAAAATGAATGAATCCTTGTCGATGGAATTGGCCCGACCACAGCGATATTCGGAATACTTGGGAGCACTGTCGAGGTTCTGGTTCGGCGGTGCGTAGGTAATAAGCCGTTTAATACTTATCGAAATCCAGTCGAAGATCTTCCAAAAAATACTCGGTAGGACACACAAGGCTCTTCAGGTAGTTTAGGTAGTTCGAAGTGGAGAGAATGACGAATCCGAGAAAGAACTGGAGATTGTGACCACTGACTGACTACAGATGCTTGCAGTTGTCGTTGGCAGCTAAGGGATAATAAGGTTATGGAGGAGGGGTCCTTCGTCTATCTATTTATTCAGGACGTGGGCTTATTCGCTCACTTGGGGAGAATTGTCTCTCTACATATAATATCCCCCTCTATCTCTCTCTCTTCCCCCTCTTCCTCTTTTTCCTCCCCCTCTCCCTCGATCTGAATGGCCAAGGACTAAGAACGACGCATAGTTCATTGATTATCGCCAGGGCCCGTCGCATATCTGCCCTTGCTGGTCTTGGAGGTGCTTGATGATTGCTCCAGAAGTGTCCCACAATTTTGCTCTGCTTGCGTAAAGAATTCTGCTGAGACAGATATCAATTGGTCGTGCAGCATCACAAGACACCAGAGACAGACTCCATAAGTCCATGAAGTATTGGCCTCTATTCTGCGCCCGGCTCCCGCACCATCACAGGATACCTTAAGTGCCAAAAGTCGTGCGGTCTCGATCTCGATCTTATCCCAAAGCACCGCTGGCTCACTACCCCGCAACGAACCAGGCTTCGCTCCCTTCTTTTTTACCACTTTTTAATCCGCTCGAACAAAATTTCTGATTCGTGCAATCATCCCCAGCTCCCCCGACCACCACTCATCTCTCAAGACGGAGATAAGTAAATCCAGAAAGTGTGGCTGCTCTTTAACTGTCCTCCACTCAGATGGCTGGCAAAACCTACATAGTTGAGCACCTCGATGAGGAGCTCGGGCCCTGGTCTGAGTTGGAATATCTCACCATAGCCAAGGAGTCCAACCAGGCTGGTGCTAAGTTCTGCTTATCATCAATCCCTCCTTCATTGACTCTGCCAGAGGCCTTGAAAACTGTCCCGGGTTTCACAGCAGACGGACGAAGCGTTGAAACCTTGTATGCAGATAACAAATCTCGTGTCTGCTTACTTGATCCAGCAGCCACAAAGGAACTGAGCCCAGAGGATGGCGAAACATTCGATGTTTTTCTGTTTGGTGGGATTTTGGGTAAGCTTGCGTTTCTACCAGGATCTAATCCCACCTCATACTGATATTGCCCAGGGGATGATCCGCCAAGAGGTATGAATTAAAATACTTTTGCGCACTTGGTCAACCGCATGGTTCTGAGAATGATGGAGATTAGAGATCTTTCTCTATTCGCTCTGGCGAACTCTCAGTAGCAGTTGATCTTTGAACCTCTTGACACCCGCGCGTAGACTGACCAACCTCAAGACAGAACTTCGGAATTGAGGAAAAAGGGGTTCGAAGGACGTCGCCTTGGGCCAAAACAGATGACGACGGATACCGCCGTAAGAGTGACCAGACTTATAGTTCAAGAGAAGAGTAAGTAGACATCCTTGCACTCATACGGAATATCTAATGGCTTGCCCGAAAGTTCCCCTCGACAAGATTCCATATGTCGACAACCCTGAACTTCGCATCAACAAGAATGAGAGTACCGAGATGCCCTTTCGCTATGTGAAGGGTGAAAATGGGCAGCCCATAATGCCAGATGTAGGCAATCTCCAATATTATACAGCCAGGATGGCTACTGACAGGGTGATGCAGGGCATGGTTGAGCTGATCAAGAAAGATTCTGAAAAAGGGTTTGGAGACTTGTTCTGATATCTGGCGACTACCAGGATACAAATGAACAGAGAATCTGGGAAGATAGAGCAGAGTCTTTTTTAATTGGATTGAAGCATTAATTACTCTCAGACAACTGAGAGTCTTCTTATGTATGTACATAAAAGCAGGGATACAAGTTGTACGGGGTTAGATAAGAAACACTTGGCTGATGCGGGCGCCTTAGCTAGAGGACTGGCTTTACCTTCGTATGAGTTTCTGAATGCATTCCGGAGGATTATTCAGAGGGGATATACTTGAATCTCAAGCTGCCCTATTCCAGTGCCTCTATTCGTAATTTTCATTCTTGTACTCTATCATATTTATTTACGTTGCTTTGAACAAAGCCCCGTCTAAGCCATGTGGCGCTCGAACTTCCCGCGACCCTTCGGGTAATCAGTTGCGGGCACGCCTTAAATCAGAGGCCGCGTGGAAACCAACTGGACTTGAACACATCTCACTCTCTTTCTCAGGATAACGGGGTATTGTCACAGTACCAAAGATAATACGGTCACAGACGCTGGCGCCAGCTTCTTTTCCTTTATGACCGCTGCAATCGTGGTCGCAATCGCAACAGCGCGATCTCGATAGCATCTTCCTCGCCCACCCCCTTCGCTCCGTGGCCCTCCGCAATGCGGCTCTTTACTTCTTCTCCGTCTCCTCGGGGGAGGAGGACTGTGTCAGGGACGTCGACACTATGGTGTCTACTGTCACTATCACTACTTCCTTCTCTGGGCTATGCAGACATGACAGCAGGCGACTATTTCGTCCACTCTCTCCCCGGAGCTCCAGCGGAGCCACCCTTGAAGATGCACGCCGGGTCGGTTTGCCTGGGAATACCTGCTCATAAGGTCTTTGCTAACTTGTGTGCGCGATAGCCATATCCAGATCACCCCCGATCACAATCGCAACATGTTCTTCTGGCACTTTCAAAACAGACACATCGCGAACAAACAAAGGACGATTATATGGCTGAACGGAGGACCCGGATGCAGTTCAGAAGATGGTGCTTTGATGGAGGTTGGTCCTTACAGGGTGAAGGACGGTTCGAACGGCCCAAAACTGGAATATAACGAGGGTTCGTGGAATGAATTCGCAAATATAATGTTCGTCGACAATCCTGTTGGAACGGGCTACAGTTTCGTAGACTCGGATAGCTATACTCACGAGCTGCCCGAAATGGCAGATCAGTTTGTACAATTTCTGGAAAAGTGGTTTGCTCTCTTCCCGGAATATGAGCACGACGACGTAAGTGGGTTCCGATTTCTTTTGAGACCAAAACATTAACACTTGTATAGCTATATCTTGCGGGAGAATCATATGCAGGCCAGCATATTCCTTATATTGCAAAGGCTATCCTTGACCGAAACAAAGCCGGTGCGGAACATCCTTGGCAACTAAAAGGAATGTTGATCGGGAATGGATGGATCGCACCTGAGGAGCAGTACAAGGCGTATCTCTCATACGCATACGAGAGGGGTTTGGTTCAGCGGGGTAGCGATATTGCCAAGAAACTGGAGGCTCAACAAGCCGTGTGCCTCAAATTGCTCAACGAGCAGGGGGGGAAGGACAGGGTGGACTTGTCAGAATGTGAGCAAATCCTGCAGGACCTTCTTCGAGTAACCCAAAAGAAGGGTTCAGATGGGAGGCCCCAATGTATCAATATGTACGATGTCAGGCTCACGGATAGCTTCCCGAGCTGTGGGATGAACTGGCCACCCGATTTGGCTAACCTGACGCCTTATCTTCGTCGAAAGGATGTTCTGGACGCTCTGCATATCTCTCCACAAAAGAGGACTGGATGGACGGAATGCAATGGCGCTGTTGGAAGTGCTTTCCGGGCAAGTAAATCTAAGCCCTCTATTCAGATACTTCCAGACCTCATTGCAGAAGTCCCTACGCTTTTGTTCTCCGGAGCTGAAGATCTTATCTGCAATCACATCGGTACCGAAGAGCTGATCAGTAATATGGAGTGGAATGGCGGAAAAGGATTCGAGATCTCCCCAGGTACCTGGGCTCCCCGTCGCGACTGGGAATTTGAGGGAGAGCCAGCTGGCTTCTACCAAGAAGCCAGGAACTTGACCTATGTCTTGTTCTATAACTCTTCCCACATGGTCCCATTTGACTACGCTAGACGTACGCGCGACATGCTTGACCAATTCATGGGTGTTGACATCGCTAGTATTGGCGGCGTTCCGACAGACAGTCGAATCGACGGCGAGAAAGGCCCCGAGACTTCAGTCGGCGGTCACCCCAATAGTACAGCTGCGGAAGAGGCTGAGAAGGCCAAGCTCGAAGCAGCGAAATGGTCTGCTTACTACAAATCAGGTGAGATTGTACTAGTGATCGTCGCTATCGCCGCAACTGCATGGGCATGGTATATCTGGAGAGAACGCAGAAAGCGCAGCGGATATAAAGGTCTGTTCGGAGGGGATACTCCACTATCATTTGCTGGTGCTCGGGATGGTCTCAGGGGCGGAATGGGCCTCGAAAATCTGAGGCATAAGCGATCATCAAGTAGAGACGTCGAGGCAGCGGATTTCGACGTGAGCGAGTTGGATGAGCTACACGTGCAGACGCCGATAGATGGGGTGGATCACTATAGTGTGGGAAGTGCTAGTGACGATGAAGATGGAAGGGGTGCAGCGCATAGCAATGGTGGTGCTGCTGGCAAGCCGGCGGAAGGGTAGAAGATTATTTTACAGACATCGAATAAGGTTAGACACTCTCAGTTATAAGAAGAGAATAGTTTTTTTACAGAAGCGCGGGTGAGGCCGTTCATTCTCATTTTTCCCCTTATCTATCTAGCTCTCGTCGGCCGTGGTATTCATCGCTGCAGTGTTTCCTCCTGAACGCCTGTACTTGCATATCCCTGATTCCCCGCCATTTTGCAAATCGTAGCGAGGCTAAGATACCATGCATGTGCTGCTTGCATCCCTCTGACGGTCTAACCTTCGTACTTCGTACTGCGCCCTCGATACTCCTCCCTGACTCCGAAACTCTTCCTATCTACCGCTTCTTGACAGTTGGTCTGGGCTTACACTCATCACCATTGACGGGATGCATCATGACCTTATTCGGATACTGGGGGTTGTTGGCAGCGTATCCCTTGCTCCAGTCATAACTGACAGCGTAGGCGAAGATAGTGCCGTCCCGGTTGAAAGCGCTGGCAGAGATAGTGCCGCCGACTGACGGATATCCCTTGAGTCGGTGCTTGGCCACGCCATCCCAGAAATGGAAAGTGCCGTCGGATCCAGCGGTGCTGAAGGTGCCGTGTTGGGGGTGGAAGGAGATCGCATTGACGGCGTAAACGTTGGTCATGTTGTTCTGGGGTGGGTCTCGGTGGCATTTGAAGGAGAAGTTCGAGCTGGAAGGCGTGAGTTAGTATGTTCGTAATTCATAGTACAATCGTATCGTGTAGTGCATACCTTGAGTCTTTGTCTTCAACGTATTGTATAGCACATCTTCCCTCGATACTCCCAACTGCGAAACCCGACGCGTCGGGGAAACAGCTGACAACCCTCGTCTGCCACTTCAACGGACTCTGAATGGTTTTGTAGAACTTGTCCGGCACGTTGAGGCTAATCACATTGATGTATCGATCCGCTGTGCCAACGACCAAAAGCTTCCCTTGAACATCCAGAGTATAAACGCGCTCTTGACACTGCACAGTTGCGACAGGCTGAGATTGGCGCAGGTCCCAGTACTTGATGGTCTTGTCCCAAGAGCCCGTCACCAACATCTCCTGGCCACCCTGGGGGTTTTCGAAGAATCGCACAGCGCGAATGGGTTGGTCATGGGCCGCGACTTGCGTTCCTACATTCTGGCCCGAGCCCAGATCGATCATACGCGCCGCCTTGTCTGCTCCTCCACCAACCACCTTGGTGCCGTCCTGGTAGAGAAATTAGTAATGATATTCTCACCTTCAGCTATAGGGAGCCCTCAGATTGTACGTACCTTTGACCAGTGGCAGCTCAATACAGGAGCTTCATGGTCAAAAAATGCCTTTCCCTCGCTGCCTCCAGTAGGTGAGATTTCATAGATCCGGACCTTCTTGTCCCATGAAGCCACGGCAAGATGTTGGGATTGTGTCGAGAATGCAATGTCAGAGATGCTATCTTCGGGTGGGTTGTTCAGCGCCACATCCTTCGAGAGGTCTCCTAGAGTGTTATTTTGTTGCGTTGTACTGCTCGAGCTTCCAAAAAGCCCAGCCATCTTGGGCAGTGGAGGGCAATTTGGGATCGCAGTCGAGAATGGGTGTTTCTAGAGCTGTCTTTTATTCTCTTGCTGGTACAGCTGCCATATGAGGAGTGCGCGCGCTTGTCTGCCCGTGTGTTGTTTGTTCGCGGTTCAGATGATCTCAACTTTTGATTCTTCGAAGGCGGTCGTCGCGAAGGCGATCCCGTGGCGACCAATCAGAGCGACACGCGAAATGCCGCGCTAGCTCCCCCGCGCTAGCCTGGCCCCCATAAAAGTTTCTGGATTTTCCAAACTTCCGTCTTTCTTCCTCCAACCTCCTCGCTCAAAGGATCGCATTCGAAGCACACATACAGAGAAATCCTTCGTGGATATCTCGGCCAGCAATGGCTATTCAATGCTTGGGAGAAAGTCCTCGGACACCCTTCTTATAGAAGGACAGCGGAAACGCGCCGCCATAGAAGCACACTGCGGCTTCTCCTCTACCAATTCCTCGTCACTTCCTCCATCTTCTTGCCGTTTGTACTGCAGTCCTCGTCGACCTTCGGACCGGAATTCTAGCTGAGGAGACCACATGGATGAAGATACGAGTCCGAGCTTCTTGTGCGATGTTTTCTTGGGCTGAGTGAGACGAGATTGCGGGAGGCAAGTGGCCTGTTCTTGGACTGATGAGGATGCTCTGGTAGTTGGAGGCTTTTTCGTCGAGATCGATAGTTATGCGATTGTCCTCCGTGCTACGTGAGTGGTATGGGGGGTAACTCGATGGGGCTTATTCTTGGTGCGAGGGGTTCACCCTTCTTTTGGGGTCCATAGCTTATGGTAAAGCGGAGGCGGCTGTCACGTATCGGGATACACTCTGGGGTCTTCTCTCATGGGAAGATACCTTCTGATACGAGGCACGCGGCCTTAGAAGCTCTGTCGAAGGAGCTGGACTCGAGCTTGTTCAGGTGATGATTACCAAAATAGAGTCAAGCACTGATGTGTGCCCGTGTAAAAGCGGTGCCACTCGTTGATGACACAAATTGCGTTATGGTATCTGATGAACTTTGGGAGGCTTCTTGTTTCCTGTTTCCTGCGTCTTTGGTTCTCTGCGTACATAGACGAGTACTTCTAATTTACATTATATTATGCTTCGAAGCAGAGCTCGGCTTCAAGCCATGTCACCCTTGACATCTTCATCCATCATTTCAGCCATAAATCATAAGGTTCGCTCATCAACGCCTTCCATGGTATCATATGCAGTGCTCCTCACATCAAACCGCCCAACACGACTTTCCCAACGCCAGCCACTTCGCTCTTCACTCCGCTTCTACTGCTCTCCTCAAATTCTTTCACCACACCTTGTATAATAAGCTTTCGAACCCTCGCATCGGCCTTCGTAAACATTTCTGCTACGACCGGATTGCACTCCCGGGGCGAGGAAACCAACTCCATAAGTCTCGTATAACAATCGATCAAAACGTCGCACAGCGTTGCGAATGTCTCATAGAAATCGGGATCGAAAGGCAGCGAGGGCGTCAATAGATGTGTATATTCCTCTCCGGGCAGAAGGTCATTCTCGCTGGTTGGAAACAAGGTAACCTGGTTCGAGCTACCTGCGGAAACGCTTCCATTCGTGGACTTCGAGTCGGAATGATCGTTGCCCATTGGAAGCCCTATTTCTGACGCTGCGCTTGATCGACGTCCCTTGCTCGCCGTCACAGTTGCACGCTTGAACATCTGAGGGAATCTGCCTCGTGATAATGTGGAGCCATCCGGATGTGTTTGCTGGAAAGCCTCGAACTCTGTGAAAAGGGCGTTCCATGTCTTCAGGTATTCCACAGCATTCACACCATTCAATTCGAGAGCTGTGGGCAGGGAGAGACCCAGGAGGAGATAATTCGTTGCCCGCCGAGCCAGTTTTCGAGGATCGAAGGAAGGCATTCGTTGTAGATCAGGCTTGTTGAATAATAATGTGTTGAACCAATATACTCGTCCCTCATGACTAAAGTACAATCAGCAATTATATCTGGCAGAGGTGTGGGAAACCGTACGCTTTTCTCAAATAGTCTAACGTTGATATCCTTTTAGAAGACGTCTCGTGAATATGTTGATATGTGATCGTTTCCAACGTGGGGATCCCAGGCTGTTGTGTGGGCACAAAGAGGGAAGGTCCACCGGGACCCATAGCCTGGAAACCTGTCGTCGGCATGGCGAGCATAGTCAACCCGGGGGAGATAGAAGCAAAGGAAGCTGTGCCAGGAGCAGCAGATAGCCCAGCTTGGGTGCTGGCGGCTACCTGAGTAGCTGTCCAAAGAGCAGACTAGAGCTGAGGTTGGAGATCCTGCCAGACGGGTATCGGTCAGAGTTGACGACGAAGTCTTAGCCCCTATCTCTGATGACTAGCAGCGGTCGAGCTGTTCCGGCGCCGATAGCAGCTTTCTAGAGACTTGCTGCTGGATGAGAAGGGGGAGGATTGGCGACAGAAGCCGGATAGCCTGGGGGTTGCAGAACCGCGGAGAAGATCCGCAACAGGTGCCGGGGATATGTGCTGGATGTCGATTGCAAGCGGCAGAGAACAGTACTGCAATAGAATCTGAGGGATGCTGGTGCCTCTGAAGGTGAACAATTGAACAGTTGAACCGACGTCGTCCGCAAGAAGAGATGGTGGGTGGTAATCGTGCGTCCGGGAAGTATTCAGTTCACAGTGCTGTAGCGCTTTCGAGCCTAGTTCAGGGATGATCGCCAGGGGGGGATGGTTCGCTACGGAGGAATAGCAGTGTGGGCAGCGGGCTATACGGAGTTACAAGATAAAGTGCACTACAGGATGAGGGCCATGACTGTGGGGAAGAAGTGTCTCTCACGGGGATTTATGCTTATCATAAAGATAATCCTGCTACAGTACTGTACATGCTGCATATCACAATCCACACATATATCTAACAGTTGAACCGCTGTGAACCTGGGCGCTTTCAGGGGAATCCCCCCCTTTCCCGTCCCTACACCGCGCTAGACCCGTAATGGCGTAATGGAGGGCGGTGAAGACTGAGGGGCAACTTCACCCTTTCGCGCAATCTTTGATTATCGACACAGGACAAGGACTGAAGACCGCCCTGCCCTTCATACAGTGCCTCATCCCTCAGATCCGCAGTCGAAACGGTATCTCCTGCGCCCTCGTCGAACTCTACAACAAGCCCCTCGCCCCGCCATCTGCCATGTCCGGGAAACAGCTTGACGACGGTGCCCCACCCGGCGAACCAGCGCCAGAGATACTCGAAGGCAGGATCTGGGTTGATGGATGCTGGGACTTCTTCCACCACGGTTCGTTGATCGCTCCCCTCGACATCAGCCGGCTATGACTGCGCATGCTAATTCCATCTACAGGCCATGCGGGCGCCATGTTACAAGCCCGGCAATTGGGCAATGAGCTGGTCGTCGGCATCCATTCGGACGAGGCAATCCTTGAAAACAAGGGACCAACGGTCATGACTTTAGAAGAGCGGTAAATTCGCATTCGCCTTGCACACTCGGGATAGCTCGCTGATTCTTTCTCTTCAAGAATCGCTGCCGTCGATGCCTGTCGATGGGTCACTCAATCGGTTCCTTATGCACCGTACGTCACATCTTTACCCTGGATCTCCCACTACGGCTGCAAATATGTTGTGCATGGGGACGACATCACATCTGATAGTAGTGGAGAGGATTGCTACCGGTTTGTGAAGGCTGCTGGTCGATTCAAGGTTGTGAAACGCACCCCGAGTATCTCAACCACCGACCTTGTTGGAAGGATGCTACTCTGCACACGCACGCATTTCATCAAATCATTGACCAAACTCCTAGCTGGAGAGGAGGGACCAGGGACTGAAGAAGAGCGAAAAGCTGAAGGGGCGGCTCTGACGGAGAGAATGCGCCTTTATGCTACTGATGAGACCGGTCTCCACCCGGGATCAAGCGTGTGGTTCTGGACTGCTTCTATCGAAGCAAGAGAACATCACACAGAAGAGGAGAAGGGCGTGTTCAGCGCATTGTGTCAAGGATCCAAACCCAAGCCAGGCCAGCGTGTAGTCTATGTCGACGGCGGGTTTGACCTCTTCTCGTCCGGACATATTGAGTTCCTTCGACAGGTCATCAAGGCCGAAGAACAGATCGGAAGAGATCAAGGATGGTATACCAAAGAAGCAATAGAGGAGAGAACTGGCAAGGGGGCAGATTATGGTCCAGTCTTTGTTGTTGCTGGGGTCCACGACGACGAGGTTATCAATCATTGGAAAGGAGTCAACTACCCCATCATGAATATTTACGAACGAGGTCTCTGTGTTCTACAGTGCAAGGTTAGTATCCTATATTATGCTTCGATTATCTTGCTGATTTTCTACAGTACGTAAATGCAGTGATCTTTGGCGCTCCCTTCACCCCAACTCGGGCGTATCTTACCTCAAGTCCATATGGCGTCCCTGACGCTGTCTATCACGGCCCTACTAGTTTCATGCCATTGACGTATGATCCTTACACCGCGCCTAAGGCAATGGGGATATATAGGGAGATTGGACATCACAACTTCGCAGGTGTAAACGCAGGTCAGATCGTGCAGAGAATCATGAAGAGTCGTGATATGTATGAAGAGAGGCAGCGGGTCAAGGGGATCAAGAGTATTGGCGAGGAGGCACAGAGAACAAGGGAGAGGTTAGAGGAGGAGCAAAGGCTGAAGGAGAGTGCTGCGCGGCATAGCAACTAGTCAATAGTCCTTCCAACACGTGGGATGTCAAGAGCAGTGCTCGGGCCAGGAAGATAGTCATTTGCAGAGTTGCAGAAGGAAGCCGTTGATTCAATTAATAATAATGAGGCCAGATTGGGAATCTTCTTCCAGAATTCGGGGCTTGTCTTGAAATCTCTTCCGCTGTTGATTATCTCTGACCACTCAAAGGTGGAATCGGCGGCACAATGAATCGCTTATCGTCGGCTTGTTGTGGAGAATGCGGGTAGGGTGGTGGCGGCTCTCAGATGATATGTCGTCGATAACATGAAAAAATAACGAAGTTTGATAAAAAAAGAAGGGCGTTGCTAAAAGAGAAACAAACGCAAACGGCTTGGCTTTGGGAAAAGACCGTCAAGCTCAGTGGCGGTGGTGAAGCCACAACTAAGACCTGGAGGCATAGGATGGGAAAATGCCTGAAGTCATCGGTAAGAAAAGTCTGGTTCTCTGTGCCCTTTGCTCTCTGCGTCTTGCTCATTACTCTTTACTCTCCTCCTTGACTATTTCCCCTTGTCTTGATTTGGACACGGCCCCAAGTCAATGTGTAGCATTGTAGCTATCCGTGGCTCTTGGTGGAGCAGCTAATGGAGTAAGGCTCCCGCGGGCCCTATGGTAGCAAGCATACGGATATCCACCCATCACACTCCTGCCAGGTATTTGCAAGTACAAATACCAACGCCCTCCCCCGGGGCTATATACCATTTACCTGCCTTATCTATAACCCCAGTTACCGTGGGTAACCTTGATTGTCTTTTCTTCTTCTCGTCCACTCTTCGTTCCCTCCTCTAGCTTTCACATATCAGTTGCTTCCTCCCCCTTCTCAATCATAGTCAGGGCCAGTCAGTTACTTGTCCGTCATCTTTTACCCTTACCCAGCGGAAACAAGACCATCCATCATGTCTCCCTCTGCCGTATCGTCGACTCCTTCTCCGGGAGTGCAGGCCTCTGAACTCACGGCCTCTGCTGTTGCCCAGAAGATTGGGGCCAGCGCAAATCTCCAGCCCTTGGACGCTTCGAAATTGATCTTTACCAAGACTCAAACTCCAATGGCCGTACCAGAACCAGGGGACCCAATCATTGCTACTTCTTCTCAATGTACCGACCATATGATCACTGCGGTATGGGACTCGACAGTGGGCTGGCACGCCCCTAAACTACAACCATATGGGAACCTGTCTCTGCCTCCCACCGCGTCTGTCTTGCACTATGCTACTGAATGCTTTGAGGGTATGAAGATGTACCGTGGGTACGATGGAAAGCTGAGATTATTCAGGCCGGACGCCAACTGTAAACGCATGGTAAGCAAGGACACCACCACCCAATATGTGTATCCGTGCCAATCTGATAAATCCCCAGCTCGTTTCTGCCACCCGTATTTCGTTGCCAGCTTTCGATCCGAGCGAGCTGGAGAAGCTAATCAAGGCCATGATTGCTATTGATGGGCCGAAGTGGCTTCCCAAATCTCGACCAGGCACTTCCTTGTATCTTCGCCCCACGATGATCGGCTCCGCAGGCGCATTGGGTGTATCTACACCAAAGGAGGCAACGTTGTTCGTGATATCAACTTTCGTAAGTATATTATCACACTACAGTACTTTGTTCATAGCTAACGCAAAAGCTAGATGCCGAATTTGAGCAAGCCTAAGGGCTTGAGACTATTAGCGTCTCAGAATGGTATAAGAGCTTGGCCTGGTGGGTTTGGGTACGCAAAGGTATGTTAAACCTTGAAGGTCTTGTTATACGATGGTTAATATTTCATAGGTCGGAGCCAACTATGGTCCTTCACTCATGGCTAACGGAGAGGCAATTTCTCGAGGCTACGATCAAGTGTTGTGGTTGTTGAATGGCATGGTCACGGAGGCTGGCGCATCGAATTTCTTCGTAGTATGGAGAACGAGGGAGGGGGTGATTCAATTAGTAACGGCTCCTTTGGAAGACAAAATCATCCTTGATGGCGTTACAAGACGAAGCATCTTGCAATTGGCACGCGAAAGACTCACGATCGAGGTTGTTGAGCGAGCGTATACCATGGACGAAATTGTGGATGCTATTAAAGAAAAGCGCATGATAGAGGCATTTGCTGCCGGTACAGCTGTAAGCCTCCTCCCGGTCCCTTCCTACCTCGGCGCTAATTAATATTGATAGTACTTTGTCTGCCCCGTCTCTGCCATTAATTACAGAGACCAAGATTGGCAAATTCCCATGAATCAAGGCGACAGCGGCGACTATGCAGCTCTGATCAAGAGCTGGTTGATGAATATTATGTATGGGAGGGACGAGCATGAATGGGGAGTTGTGGTCGAGGAAAATGAGGAGTTATAAATCACGTGTCTCTGGGAACTTGGGTAATTACCTTATGATGCTCCGTGGCTGTCATGCCATGGCGTTCTGGATTAGATCTAGAGGATGACGGCGTTTGTTCAATATGTTCTGGCAGAATTCCGGCTAAATCAAAGCTCTAATAGAACCGAAATACCTTTCGAATCGAAGAAACCCCCCAACAAAGGTGAACCAGATATAGACGCCGCGGAAATTTGAATATACCAATACTGGCTCTTTTTTCTTAAAGGGCAGTAGTGGCTTTTCTGGGTATTACTTCAAGTGTTGGTTCTGCTGATTGGACAACTGGTGAGTAGGTAGGTAAGTACCTAAGTTTATGTTCCTGGTCCTTGGTTTCTTTTCGACAATTGAGCGGACCGTCTTACAATATGGCAGTTGTCTTAATATTCTCCTTACCTAAGATGTTTCATCTTTTACCATGCCAGTACTCTTATTTCTATTATTATATACAAGCTTAAACTGACGCACTTAGACGAGGCTTGCTATAGGTGCTATAGAAAGAGCCTCAATCTTTCCAACAGGTCACAAGCTTTGGGGCTGGCAGCTATACTCGTCTAAGGCGCCCCAGAAAGTAGCCTCCCGGGTTCTGTGGGCCATTATATCATTACCCGTCCGTTCTCAGGTGGTGTATGGCATGGATTTCGATCGCTAAACCTTCTGGCAGCGGGATCTAACCCAAGCGTACCAAACCTCAACACCAAAAATGGATGGGACTTAACCTTCAAGGTGATAGACTGGGGGGAAATTGGGAAATAGACTGCTCGTCTCGCAGCCTGGAAGCTGTCAGTTCAAAATACAATGTAGGCGAAGGAGCAAGAACCTCGTATATCATGGGCTTCTTCCCCGGTCATCATCTTTCTCTCATCTCTCTCTTTCAACAGAACCACACAAGAATCCGGTCTCAGACTTGCGAGTTTCAAGAATACGAATATCCCAGAAGTTCACCTGAAACTCGTCGTCACATCCCTACTCCAATAAATCGGACCGCTCCCATGGTTCCCGAAACCCAGGCTGGGCCTTCTCGAGGCCACAAGCTCAACCCCGCCGCAAGGAGCTTTTCCCCATCACCTAACCGGGCGACTTCCGTCCTCGCCCAAGAGTCCGTCGCCCAAAACTATGCCTGGATGATTTCCAGCTCCCCTGCCCAATACCAACCTCCTTCACGGCATCTGTCGTTCATAGGAAGACAGTCGAGACCAGTTTTGCGGGCACTCTCTGAACCCATAATCACTCCTCCTCACTCGGGTGATTCAAGCCCTAGACGCCAACCGAGAGCAACCTGTATAGGTATCGAAGAACCTGACGTCGAATTTTTTGGATCTCCCTCATATGGTCGAGGGCGAGCTTGGTACAAACGACATCCTCACACAGAAAAGATGCACATGATGCCGGTCACACCCCCAGACGGAAACGCCGGTCCCTCAACGAATGATCAACCCCGTGTACGAACTGGTATATTCTTTCCAGCCGATCCCAGGATGGTATTCCACCCGCCTAGCGGCGATGTGGGCGCTGACAACCCACCTCCTGGACACACCTACTTCAAAATGCCCGCGAACGATGACGACGACGGTTGGGAGGAGCTCGCTGCTTCTATCTTTGAGCAGAATAAGGCCAACAACGAAATGCAACTTGAAAGTCAGAAAGCTCACAGCTGCGCCCGCAAAGGATCGGGTTCTTAATTGGCATGACGCCAGCCCGCGCAAACATGAACTTGCATATAACTGGAGAGAAGAAGACAGGGTTACGCGAACCTAAACTGGCGGTGGGGTTATGTGATGTGTTAGGAGATGGATGGACGACCGAATGGACGACCAAAAATACCGCAAATGGGTGAGAGAGTTGCCAACGTGCACTTTCAAAGAGACGTATGCCATTGAATGTACTGCGGAGAACGAGATTAAGGACTTGGGCTATTTGTGTAGCTAGATGTCCAATGCATTGCTGTTAACTGATTCCTCGGCCCTCGTAGATAGTATATAGCTAGATGTGTGATTGTCCGAGAGCTTACCATGTTGGAGCACAGGATACTGACATCACCAATCCACTCCCTGAAAACGTTCAACTCCCCTGTGTGACCCACCGCAACCTTCCCCAAATTCGGCAGTACGCATTTAGCCTTGAAAGATTGCCTGGAGAAGTCTGGCCTGCTCCATCTTCTCATTAGTGTCCAGCTCCTGCCAGAGAAGAAGTCAGTATGTTGAAGAATATCCCGCTACGATGATCGACATACCTTCTCTGATGCCTTCACCTTCTTCAATACATTCATTCCAATTCCTGCAATCTCCTCGTTGAGCTCCTTTGCCCTAGCATCATGCTCTAGGTCCAACAGCTCCATCTCTCTCCTGAAACCCGTGCCTCTCTTCCTCTCCCCGATTTCACTGGCCGGAAAGGCTCTTTCGCCGAAACCCTCCACGCCAAGCTCGACGAAATCATCCTCCAATTCTTTCCACTGCGCCCAGTAACCAGCCAACTTGGCCTCGTCTTTCTCAATGCTCTTCTTGAACTGAACAATGCTCTTGCCGATCCGCACGATCTCGGTCACCCGTTTGCCCTCGCGGGTGAAAGTGGTTTCGATTTGCTCTTCAGTAAGCGGCGCATTGAGTGTCTGCGTCGTGGCCGAGATGGACTTGAGGAAAGTCTCATCCTTTGATCTAGATTCTGCAAGCCTCGTCACGAACGCCTCGTGGACGTTGTGAAAGCTGGCTTCGAGGTTGGTGTTAATAGAGTTACGAGCTTCCTCGAGGCCATCTACGAGAAGATCAGCACGTTTGGAGCACCGAGGAAAGGGCATTGCTACCTGCGAACTCATCCGCTAGGTCTAATTCTGGTGTGGATTCCGGAGTAGGAGTTCTGCGCTTGGATTGCTTTGTGCCGTTGGCTCCGGTGCTCCTCTTGTTCTTGAAGACAACAGCGGCTGAGACCCTCTGCTTGCTTTTGGGAGCTCTCTGGACAGCCCCAGATTCTCTCATGGGTCGTTTCATTGCAGGACCACCTTTGGTTTTCATGCCGTGATCACGTCGGGGGGTCTCTTGAGTAGCTGGGACCTTGGAGGACTTCTGTTGAAGTAGATGAAGGCCGGCTGAGGCGCGCTGGCTCTTGTGACCGCGAGTTGTCTGTCGCGCCATGATGGCTTCCTCTAATTTTAGGTTCGTCGTCACCTTATGGGATTAAGAATCTCCTGGCCTGCCTCCAGCGGAGAACTTTTGTTCAGACAAGACAGTTGTCGTAATTTCTATGCACCACTGGTAGGATACGATCAACAGGAAGGAGTTGTGAGGTCGGTAAAATTGAACACGAGACATTTCAATCTCTCGAGATTCGAAATGACAGACAGACGAATTAGAGATTGATAGGTGTGAACTACAGTAAATAACCAGGAATCCAGGGGTTTCAACAACTTCGAAATTGATGGCAGAGCACAATGGACAAAGAGAGAGTAATAGACGCAAATACCCAAAGCCTCCTGCATTTGGAATATCCTCACCAAAGTCATTGACATACCTAAAGCCTAGGTGGCCAACATCTTGTATGCCAGGTCCCCAATATCTACTGAGATCATACAAACCCAAGACTGAAATACGTACGTTACCGTGTCGACTGGAAGATATAAACCCTTACCGCCATGTTACCCCGAAGCCTCTTCAGAGCCCCTTGTTCTCTAAAGCAGTAGTGGAGCATTCAAATTGGGTTTACCACATCAAATTCCTCGAAAGTTCTACTCAATCACTGTATGAAAACCAACGATCAAAATCGGACGATCCCAGTTCCAAGGTAAGTATCCTCTTTCCTCAGCCTGGGATATTCTTCATGCGTCAAGACGCAATCTCTGTTCAATGACTTGGACAATCTCCTTCCAGTCCTTCATGGCACCGTCTCCAACGTCCCCGCATGCCAACTCCTTCTCCTGGGGTCGCAAGACCTCGAACCAGCCCTCATCCTGCTGCAGGTCTTGGTTGTTGCCAGAGACACCCCACTCGCCCTCCAATAGTGCGATGTGTCTCTTTGTAACTGGATGTCTCCACATAGCCGTGTTCATTGCTGGGGCCACAATAATTCTCTTCTTACCCCTAGACGGCGCCTCTCCATTAGCAGCAGCTTGACCCGGATCTTCAATATCTCCTGTCGTATCCCACGCTCGCACCACGCTTGTTAGCAAGTTATCACTGAAGCCACAGGTGAGCTTTGCGAGTGTATTTGCGGATAAAGGAGCAATGACGAGCAGATGACTCCATCTTCGCAGCTCGATGTGCAGTATGGGCCGGCCCCTGCTCCAGGGGTGCGCCCACTCGTCATCGTCGAGATAGATGCCTTCAACGTTTCTGTACTCTCGGAGAAAATCGACATGAGGTTGCTCGGCGCTTTGACCAGCGAGGAAGTTCGCGGCGGACTGGGTAAGGATGAGTCGGATGGCGAGGTTGGGGTGATGGGAGAGTGCGTTTAGGATATTTGGGATCTTGATGGTGGCAACGGAGCCGCTGGCCGCGAGAAGCAGATGATGTTTACCATCATGGTAGTGATCGGACGCTGCGAAAGGAGTGCTGGCGGAGGTTTCGGGGACATCCTGTCCGGGCGAGGTCATTTGCAACATATCCTCAGTCAACTTGGAGAGATCTGTGTTCTTGCCGAGCAGGATTCAGTCCATTGAGCAGCAGCATGGTTATGAGGGAGGCAGTAATGGCCTTTATCTATCCAACCACTTACTGGAAGAGACGTATGGAGAGTAACTGTAGCCTCTGTCGCCACCGTCGCAGCCAGCCTTGTCTGATTGATTACTGAACCTGTGATTGGTCAGCCGTGGATTGCAAATAAACTCCATCTCTACCTCAGTACATCATCGTTATCGAACAGACCATATCTTCACACAACTGTGAACATCACAACAGACAATATGTTTGCCAGACCGTTCTTATCATCGGTGAGTCTACCCCAGCTGACTTGTCTCGTGGGGGAAACTAATCCAGACGGATGCAGGCATTGCGACAAGCTGCTCGCCCAGCTCCAGCTTTCGCCTCCAAATCCTCCTTTAGAATTTCACCGATAGCCGCGCGGTTCCTATCCGCCGAAACACGACAAGCAATCGACAAAGCCGTCGCATCTGCGCCCGTAGTGTTATTCATGAAGGGCACGCCGGAGACACCACAATGCGGCTTCTCGAGAGCTAGTATCCAGATCCTGGGACTGCAGGGTGTCGACCCCGCGAAGTTTACAGCGTTCAACGTGCTGGAGGATGATGAGTTGAGGCAGGGTATGTCTAGAGAGTGGATGATGGTTATCTGGTATACTGATGAACTGTGTTAGGAATTAAGGAATACTCGGAATGGCCCACCATCCCGCAGCTTTACATTGACAAGGAGTTTGTTGGAGGATGTGATATCTTGGTGGCAATGCATCAGAACGGGGAACTTGCGAAGATGTTGGAGGAGAAGAAAGTCCTTCTGCCTGCTGAGAGTGAGGGGTCAAAAGAGTAAGAGAACAAAAGAGTGAGGGATCAAGATAGGGAGGATAATACCAGATGTACAGATAAATGCTTTAGAGGTGTATTTTTATCGAACCTATCGAACACTACCGGTACAACTTACGAGACTTCCAAGAATGAGTATCTAGTTGCTCAAGATCAAGTTCATGTGGGAATCAAGTTCATGTGGGAATCAAGTTCATGTGGGAATCAAGTCTATGTGGGAATACGATTGGACACCGAATCATTGAGCTATATCAGATGCATTAATGACCTCCATTTTTACCCCTGGGTATGAAAGACTAGAATGCAGACCTCCTTCCGCGTCCTCCTTATCCTTACACGGTGTGCATTTCTGAATCAGCGTTTCTAGAACTTAGCTAGCCCACAAGTCTCAAGCAGTAGTTAAGGGATGAAAAGCTCGAAGTGCAAAGCTTGGTAATTTGTTTTTTTGTCTTGATATAAATACATAGAGCTACGATAGGGCAGCACACGAACAAGGTTGGTTCCAAGTCACTACATCATCTAGAAGAGACATGGTCAAGGGACTTTTGCTTTCCCATCCACAAAATTAAATCCATGTAGGGAAATCGCCTCTCGTAGCTGAATAAAAAGAAATCCCATGACTGATACAACGTAAGTGTATTGAAAGAGACGCTATGCAGAGCAATGTAGATGATATAACATATACCACACCAGATTAGGCTGGCAACCAGGACATGATAAGGAGATACGCAGAACAGGGGTATATCAATGAAAATGTTTGACAACAGGAGAGAGAATTCAACAGTGGATTATCATAAAAGTAAGTGGTTACTTTTGGCTATTCAAGCAGCGGATACAAGCCACGAATGACACGAGCTGGGTTTCCGCAGACGACTGTAAATGGCGGAACGTCCTGTGAATGAATTAGGACTTGTTGACATGAAATGGAGATGTGCTTTAGACGTACCCTTGTGACAATGGAGCCAGCTCCCACAGTACTGCCTTTGCCTATTATCCGACCTGGCAAGATGGTAACACCGCCACCAATCCAGCAGTCTGACTCGATGATAATCTTCCGCCCCAGAGTTTGTCCTTTAGAACCAAGTCTTCTCTTCGGGTCGACTGGTAATGTTGCAGTGTAGATATTGACATTCGGGCCAATATTACATCTATCACCGATCTTGACCTCGCAGGTGTCAAGAATTGTGCAGTTCTTTCCAATCGCGACGTCTTGTCCGATGGTGATGTTGTAACCATAGTCGCAAGTGAAAGGCGCTTCGACCACAACGTTGTCGCCGACTCGACCAACTGGAGTGACGGGCGAAGCTTGTGTTGGAGACATTACATGATCACGAGGTTGTAGAATATCGCGGAATAACCTTGCACGCTCCTCGGGAGACACGCCGTTGTTAGGATTGGTACTGCTGTTGAAGCGCCAGCAAGCTCCATTGCAACGTTCGCGTTCGAGAACGAGTTCTTTGTCAAACGGAAAGTAGTGCCGCCCTGCCAACATCTCCTCTTTCTGGGTACGCGGCCGGCTCGTAGAGGCAAGATTTGACAATGCTAATTGCGCGGCAACTTGGGGGTTAGCATGAGGACTTTCGGAATGTCCATGCGAATGTAATATCTGCGGAGCAGTCGAGGATTGAGCTGACTGCGGCGTACCAGTGTCCGTATCCTGTTTGGTTGGCTCGAGTACAGGAAAAGAACGCTCATAGATGCTCTTGAGACCATGATCAGGAAACGAACTATTTGAGGCAGTGATCGGAGTTGGCGTTTGCATGCCGAGTGATGTTACAGATAATCGATTGTTCTCGGGGCTGCCAGTGGAAGCATTGGCGGTTCCTGATCTAGATTGCTCATCTTCCATGCCAGGTTTCCTTCCATGCTGAGGATCAACGCGTAAGGTCTGGCCTCGATAACCCGGCAGTGGCTCTCTCCGCGGCTGGTTTATATGTTGGGGACTGTAGGATGGCTGGGTATAACCCGTACTCTCATATTCTGTCTTTGACTGCAAAGGTATCGGGGCTTGTTTTTGCTCTGTCTTTGGCCACTGGCCGCGTTGCTGATATCCAGAGCAAACGAAACCACCACGGAGACAGTTGTTGCCTATAGTATGGGTTAGTTCAAGTTCAACGGCAAATGGGCAGATATAGAAAGGGGGGAAACGCCCGACGTAACTAGGCGTGGACCATTGTTGAATGCCATCCAGGGTTACGTACATTCTGGACGCGATTCGTCGCACTTCTTTTTACGTCTTCTACAAGTCATACACCCCGTCTTGGTGCGATTGCTAAAGTTCCTTTTGCGTTTCTTCGGATCTGATTGTGCGGACATGTCTCTTCTCTCGTTTGCGTATCCATTGTAGGGATTCGTGGATCTGTCATCCTCTCCTGGACTTGTATTGTCATAATCTTGATGCTGCTGAGCATCCATGTCTTGGGAAGCTCTTCGCAGTACTTCACCTAGGTGTTCATCGGAGTTGATGTGTGTCTGTGAAGGGTACCGCCGTGAGTGCCAGGGTTCGCTTCCCGGTGCTGCCTCTCGACTCTCCTCAGCAGGAGTAAGAATCTGCCTATATTTGGCATCTGCATTATAAGAATCCCTTGAATCAGGTTGCGACTGCCCTCGCGGGCTATTATCTCGAGGTCCCTCAGACTCGGTATTTGCGGTAGTTGGGGTCTGCTTTGTTGAAGACGGTAAAGCGTGGCTGTGGTACGAGTTTGCAGATGCTGAATTCTTTTCAATGGAACCAGACCTCTTGCGCTTGTGTGCCGAATCTGTGTCAGAGTAAGAGGTTGAATACGGGTATGACGGCCGATCTCCATTGGCCGGTGGTATCCAATCTTCTCTCTCCGTAATCGTCGTAGTAATGGTGAGCTTCTCTTGCCCCGGAGGGGGTATCCGGGGTTGCCCTCTAGGCCTCTCTTCAGACTCTCTTCGTGGAGCTCCGTTGCCGTTCACGCCATTGACCGATGCTACACTGGCGGACTGCTCTTTTCCATTGACAGCAGTAAATCGAGAACTTGGTGGCTCCGCAGGGGTCACCCCTTGTTCTTCTATAGCACTCATCTCAGACCTATCCTGTGTTCTCACAGGAATATTCTCCTCTGGCCCAGTACTTTCCAATATTGTCCTAGCTAGGCTGACAAGATCCTGGTGTCCAGGTGGTATCTTATAAGTCGCCGTTGTGACAGAAGGCCCCAGTTTCCTGGTTGATGGTTCTATCTTTTTCGCTGAAAAGCCAGAGCCTTATCGAGTGCGTCTCGATCCAAACACACCAAATGACGGGTTTGCGCGTGTTTATAAACTCCTACCGTGGTGAGCTGAGGGATATATAGAAGATTCAAAGAGCCAGGAGATTTCTTCCTCGGTCATTAGTTGTGGTCCTGGTAAGAAGCGGTCCCGAGACACTGGAGGAAAGGTCCAGGGAAGGACTAAACCGCGAGAGAGACCTTCGGGTGAGCGTGCTTTACTTGCTTCTTGCGAATGTCGACCATTGACTGAGTCCGTCGTGAATTCAGATCTCACTTCCAGCCCAAATCACGCCCGTCTCTCTCTACAAGAACCCCTTCAACTACTGCTCCAACCGTCTTCTGCCTCCTCCGTGCTGGTCTTGTATCAGCCCTGAATCGCTCTATCCTGAAAGACGTGGTCAATCCTTGGAGAATTGTGCCCCAGGTAGCCCAATGGCGAGAAAATACTACCACGAGATAGTTCCAGTACCAATTTGATTTCTCTCTTACTCCAAACAAGGCCCGTCAAGGTGAGGTGAGAGTGGCAGTGGTGGTGGCGAACCTATCGGTTAGGTCGCCCGCCTTGCGATGATCCCCAGAGAATTCGTATTGACCAGAAATCCAGTGGAGTTATTTGAGTCTGTCCCAATTTCGCGCAACGGAGCGAATTACTTCGCAGTTGTTAGGACGGTTACTTGTGTTGTGAAATATCGATCTTCGAACCTCAGTTCACGTGGCCTAGCCGCGATAAAATTAGAAGGGACGGGAACAGAATTGGACCAGCCAAGTCATCTACGCCGTGCCGTTGCCGCTACGATCTCCGCCGCGTCGCCAAAATCGACAATCAAATCAATACCACGGAACAGTGTAGGAGTCGGAGCTGGTCGCTTGAAGGATGCGATTGAGTCTCGAGCCTGGGGCGCGAGGGAAGGGCGGATGCGAGTACTTTCAGACCCAGCGGGTTGGTAACGGACTGCAAAGAAGCTCAGACGTTGGGGTTTGGCCAATATATTACCGCTCGTCTGTGGCACTGTACTGACGACAAGGGCCTCTTAGTTCGCGCGCTTCTGGCGGGCTGGTCGTCTAAGAGTTGGACAAGTTGGCGGTTCAGCTTACGGTACGGGGCTGCGTCAGACCCAGATTATTACTTATTTAATCGAAGGGCTTATGTACATGCTACCGGCTGGGGGCCACTGGCCAGGAGGACGACCCGTCGACGGCTTGGTGGATCGACAGCCACCCACTCAGCTAGTTGGGCCGCAGCTTGAGACTCGACCACGGATTTTGTTTGTTTATTATGATGGGCTCGAGGAGCGTCAAAGGGAGGGGGGATCCTGGCGGCCGGCCATACGGAATCGATAAATGGCCCAAGACCGCCTCTGTCCTGGATTCGGCCGCGGGATTGGTGGTGGAGGATGGCTGATGGGATGGGATGGGATGGGACGGGATTGGGGATTGGGGATGGGGTGCAGAACGCAGACGGCCTGTTGCTATGCTCCTCCGCCTCGTTGCTCCTCGGAAAGATGGGAACCTTTCCCAGAGGATCCAGACTCTGGCGCCGGCAGGTCGGGGCTCGAGTACAAGTTACAACCTTCAGAGAGTCGAGGGGAGAGATGGACCAGGTTCCTTGCCTACACTCCACTCATCCACTATGAACTGAGCAGCTGAGCGGCTGCTCACCTTGCACTGCATCAGTGCGCCCTTCTGAGGCACATCACATTCGCTGCGTACTACCGCGCCGACTACATCCCGGCTTTGGCGCTTTCATTGGCCTCGCAATCGGACGCTCTTTTCGGCGGTTATCTCAATCGGGCAAGGCTGCAATAATTCGAAGCCAACCTTCAAAGCCATGCTCAAGCCCAGGGACTATTATTATCATCAATATCACGGCCCGTATATCCAAAGATTGTTGGAATTTGGCGCACCATAAAAGAGGTCATGCGTTTCTGCAGTCTGGTGGTGGTGGAACACAGAGAAGCACCATCGATGCAGTTTGGCGCGTGATTTTACGGCCCGTCAGCCTCCTTTTTGGCGCGTTGGTCAATTCGCAGTATGAGACATCTCCGAATGTGACCAGCAGCAATTCAGCCCATTCGAATGAGCAAAGAGATCGCACTCCTCAAGAAACTACGCTCGTGCGGACTCCTACAACTCCGGTCCTTGTCCAAGAGATCTCTCGCCAAGCGGCGCATGAAGCTGCTCTGATGATCAGACCGAGCAGTAGTCGATATCCGAGGTGTGCGGGATGTCGAGTAGTCGCCCCCGGTCATCATCATCACGGCCGCCGCCTGCGTCTCTGGTAAGTAGCGGTCCCGAGACACTGGAGGAAAGGTCCAGGGAAGGACTAAATCGCGCTCTATGAAACAAACCTCCGAGGGGATCAGTAACCGGGATCTATGCCCGGAATAGACCGCCCAGGATTTGGAGAAACGGTGATAACAACCACAACCTCGGGCGGGTTGGTCGCGTAAGGACAAGTCACTTGTTGGCCGGTAGTCTTTCGGCAAACAGGCAAGCCACCAAGGCGAAGGCATGGGCGAGCCTGCGAGGGATCGATCGAATCCGCTTGCAGCGTCAACCATCCTCAATTTGCCGAGCTGCGTCTACACAGGATGATTGAAGCGCTGCTGAGAGGTCCCCGGGGAGTAACCAGAGCAGGGGGAGACAGGGAAGGTTATGGTACATGTACGCAACGCACCATACATCTACCTCGACAATATATCTTTTGCTGTTGACAAGCTGTATAAACGGCAAAACCTGCCACAACCATCTCGAAGGTGTGAAAGTACTTGCTACAGACGTTCGAAATGCGACCGTCCGACAAGGTTCATACATCGCTGTCCACACTCTGGATGGGTAGGTAAAATACGACGTCAGCACGGAAAAGGTAGGGGAATTGGGCGCGAACACTTATAACAATAGTGCTACCGGCAGATGTTCCGCTCAAGCCTCACGCTGATGATCAACAAGCAAATTAGGGAGATCCGGAGGCTCCTGGGCACCATGAAGAGCAGAAGCGGCCACGAGTCACCACCAACCAATAGAAGGCCTCTTCCAAATGTATTTTTGTGTACTCCGTACCGTGCCGCGCGAGGCACTGATATTGCGAATTTACGATTAAGCGCGGTGTGGCCGCTTTGTCGTCTTCTTCGATGCTCCTTCTAGGCCGGTGTCTTGGAAGTTATTAGAATAACGAGGCGTTGATTCAAGCCCGTAAAACTTGGATCTGTTGGTGGGACTGTGCCTCTGGTCTGCATCTCTCAATACACCTAGACGTTAGGTGTGTGAGCGGATGGTCCAATAAGTCCAGTTCTTCGCGAGGTTGCGTCTGCAAGTTTGGATCACATCGTGCACACTCTGGCTGGGATTGATCTGTGGCCTCGTGATTGAGCCTATGTTCAACCCTCTCTCTCCCCCTTCTTTTGCCCGGCTGCAGCTGGCAGCTGCAACACACCCTTAGCCGCCAGGGATGAGCCCGCCCTTCTATGTTATCATCTATCATTACATGGCAAGCTTCCCGGTATACGGAACCACTACTGGATGACCAGGTGGCCGGCCGTTGGCTTTCTGGGTTCGGCCTCGCGAAGTGGACCACATTTCGATCGCGGCAACTGGAACCCCACCACGTGATATGGACTTGTACTTCACCTGAGGTTGACGACCTTCCCAGACATTTCTTCTTTCGAGATCAGTGCTCGTACATAGTATGAGATCTAAGTTGCGCCGCACAAAATCTTTAAACCAGACATAGTGAGGAGACGATTTCTCTTGTTGCTAATAATATCCAGGACCCATAGCCACCCCCTCGGGTCTCTTAAGCGCTCTCCCAGATCTACCCCCTTTTTTAGACGCCCAGCGATCCTCAACGCTCCTCTCTGCCCTACAGATCTCACTCGATTTAGAGCATTTTCTATACTATCAGAGCGGCCGCCAACGTCGGACCTGCATTTCACCCGCCACAATCTTCACGAACCCTCCTTTAAGCTTGAATTAGCTTCTGTACCTGCAGCTCATCAGTGCCGCCCGAGGTGACTTGATCAGCGTCTCGCTCACCAAACCCTGATGTATATGTGCATCATCGGCGAGGATTCCCGGACTATCTGTGGCCTGACCCAGGACTTTGGTAGTAGGCGCCTGGACGATCATCTATTCATAGAATCCGATCGAGGTGACGACGGAGACAGCGTAAGGCTGATGGGCCAAGGAGACGAGGCTAAGCGCTCATGCAGGTACTCACCAACTTGAACGTTGAAGGTAAGTCAGGGCTGGCGTCTATTTCACTGTAGACCCGACAACATGTATACCTTGTCCCTTCGATCCAGGGACATGAGAGGCCAGTTGTGCGATGAAACACGACCAGGAGTACCAGCGTCTCCAAGATGCAGGCGAGTAACATCCCATCTGGTTATTCCTTCATGTTCCCCATCTACATGGTTTTGAAGTAGAGCTTTTTATAGACTTGCCAATCAAGAAGCCTGTGTGGTGCAAGCGCTCGCGAAGTACTCATATAATAGCCTTCCCACGCAAGAACTGCATGCGAGCAAGTATGATACGGGCGAGAAAGATATTTTCGATTTTTTGCGAACACCCTCTGGCCAGTTGCGACTATTATTAGTATACTCCTGTTTTTCTTTGGAAGTATCCTGGAGAAATGACAGCCAACATCCATAACCATGTCCGCAGCCTAGCAATATTCCGATCCAGATCTCCCCTGAGTCCTGCATATCTATACTTACACCGTTCTTTCTGAAGCTCCAGAACCGAATGAGTGATAGTCACAAGACCTTGCATGGTGTTGGTATGGTGAACGCCATGAGTCAATTCTCCAGGTCCTGTTGGTTCATGAAACTCATTGTAATTTCCAACTCGATGCTTTACTCCTGCTGTACCCCTTTTGTTTCCTTGCTTGCCCCACAACTAGCTCATGTCCTGGTCTTTCTACTTTTGCAGAAAAATTGATATCCTTGATTTCTCAGGTTTATGAACAGCCTCCTGCTCGGAGTTCTTTCTAATCGTTCTGAATGTTGGAGGAAACCTCAAAAGATCAAAAAGGGAGGAAACCCGTTATGCAAATGATAGGTCCCAACGACAAGGCCTAGAAGATGAGGGCTATAGGTTTGTTTGGCCTCTTCTCTCCCCACATCTACAAGGGAAAGACTAACTATCGGTCTTCTCTGATCCCCCGAATTTCCAAGAAGCATTCTGCCCGGAATTCACCCTGATCGTTGTGGGAGTTGTAGGAAGCTCGGACAAATCAGAAAAAGAGAAGATTCGTCATTCATGGAACGAGACTCAGCAGACAAGGCTTAGAAGACGAATCTCTGGCATACTATTATCTTTTGATCTTGTCTATTGGACGCGCAGCACTCGGTGACAACTCGGAGCCTGGGGCCCTTCTGTGACGCGTCGCTGAGGCATATTGGATGGTTATGACTTCAAAATGACTTCAAAAAAAATTTGAGTTTAGAGTCCTTTTGATGCTCATCTTTTCAGATTCAAATTCGAGACTCGATGGTGGGGCTTAAACTGGAGGAAGAAGATGGATATGGGTCTGAGTTACGTTCAATCTCCTGTGGACCTTTTTTCCCCCTCTTTTTTGTTCCTCTTCTCTTTTGCCACAATAACAGAAATCCTCAGCGTTTTGCCTCAGGAAACTTCCAATCACCTCCTACTTTGTGGCATAAATTTCTGCTCGGGTATATGATATCTTTTCGTCTCTCGGTATTGAATGGAATCAATTCTCCTAGTCCATAGTGCCTGGAATCCTATTGAAATCTATGCGAGCCTCTAGGGGAAGAGAGAAGAGGGTGAGTGCCATCTGATTGGAAATCGCTGCTAGCTGAGAGGTAAGGGAGGAAGACTACAAGCGCAGTGATTCGATATCAAGTTCGGGAATGCGCTCCAATCGACAGTCAGTCGGGTGTATGGATAAACGGCGAGGGTATGGCAGGAGTCTCGATAGAGAAGGTCTGCGAGATCTTAGGTGGAAGTGGAGTCTTCCATTTTTCTAGACGGATACTTTCTTGAACTGCAGAGTCCAAAGGAACTTGGTCCTCTTAGTGACTTGACGCTGATTGGCGATCGACCTCTCAATAAGGTATAGCATCCCACCCCGCCCTCCACGAAGGCAAGATCGGTAACTGTTCCGAGCCCTAAGGGTGGATATGGATGAAAGGTGGAAGAGCGCGGCATGCGAATCGGGTTCAAGAATGCGAATCGGGTTCAAGAATGGGGATGTCTGAATTTTACGTGAACTTCTTCGGTGATGGGAGAAACTCATCTCCCGATCGAGACTCCCTTAGCAGAACGAAGACAGGAAGAAAGGAGTTATGTTCGAATTATGTTCTCGAACTTCCGACGGCACATCACATGTTTGTCTAGCCATCTTCTGGAATGCGCACCAACTCCCATCAGCGAGGGAGCGATCCTACAGAACCGTACCGGCGGCTTTCATTGACCGTGGAGGACCAGAGTGTCGTGCTCCGTCTTCAGTAGTGCAACACTGGATAGGTAACGTTATCGTTCGGGGCGACGATCGCTGAACTCAAAATCAGCCTGGACTCGTGGATTCTTAGCCTAGGAGGTCGAGATCGGGGGCCGTGGGGCGCCAGCCGCGTGGGTGAGTGGTCGAGACAGCCGGCTGGGAATGCTTGCGCGGAATCCTTGAAAGCTTTCCCCAGTTTGGGGGGGCGCCGATCGGGCAAGGTTGTCTCGGATGATGGGCATTCTGTGTTTACGCGTCCAGGATGCTTTTGCTGACATGGACTCTGGAGAGGCCCAGCGAAGTGCATAACACAGCAGGAAATATGATCGATCTTGGCCAGAGAGAACTCGGGAAGATGAGGTGATCATACGGGCCACAGATCGAAATGTCGCTGGGACTTGCCGATGCAAGGTAGGTACTTCCACGTGTATATCGCATGTATGCTTCCTATAATTTATATGACTTCTATGTGTACCAACGAAGTAGAATATGTCTGGTTTCTAAGGCATGTGTACCTATGTGACATACTCCCCAAGGTACCTACTCCGTACATATCCCCTGCGTACACTACACGCATGCAACCAAGGTAGCTGGATGACAACAAGAGATGCATTGCTGCTGATGAAAACCCAATGACGCTAGGTACCTGATGTTAGAGGTATTATTGCATTATTGTGCCTATTATTTGTTATTATACACCAGGCTTCTTGTTAAGTACAAGGTCCCAAGACAACCAAGGCAATAACAAGTCCCTAATTTCAATATAAACAAAAGAGGAATCTGGACTACTACGCGGCCCATCCATTCTATTACGTTTTAGCATCGAGCCCTGTATATGTGGAACGCGGAAGGGTGATGGCTAATCTGGTTAATGGCTAATCGCTGTTCGGGCGGAGAGGCCATGGAACTAGAAAAACCTTTTCACAATCCGGTTCACTAGCGGAGTCTAGGGATCTCCCACATCCGCCCCTGACTAATCTGGCCGCATCCAGTCTAGCCAGGTGCGCGGACCAACGAGATGCGCGGGATGCTCGTCTAAACTGCGCCTTGCCCGCCTAACCCGTCCTGGCATGGCGTCCTCCGCCCGTGGAATTCGCGAATCCGCCCAACATCCCTCCGACTATTTCTTCTCTCCCTCCCCCTGCCCTTTCGACCTTCACATTCTCTTTCAACCTTCATCCTTCAGTCTTCGACGACTTCGACATCTTCGATCGAGATCCCCCACAGAGCTTGACGCTCTCGCCCACTTGCATTCCTTCCCTGTATTGATTCTTACCACTCCTTCTACCCCCTTTCAAGCCTTCGATCTTCGAAGAGACTCCAGACAACAGTCTATTCCAGCCAACGACAAGAGCCAATCCTTCTATCCTCCTGTCAACCACAGTCCTTCGAATCCTTTGCGATCAATATGAAGTCGTCAACCGTTCTCGCTGCTTCTCTCCTGGCCGCTGCTGCCATCGCACAGCCGCACCAACACGCAAAACTCCACAAGAAACAAAACGACGATGTTGTCTGGGTCACCGACTGGGACTACGTGACCCAGACCGTGGGCCTCACCACCACTCTTTGGGTCTCGGAAGGATTTGTCCCTCCCACGTCCGCGTCAGCACACCCGGAGGTTCATACGACTCACTCGCCCGTCCACTCGCCCGTCCACCCGCCCTTCCACACACCATCCTCGTCGGGTGGGGCTGGTCAGTTCTTCCAGAGCAGTTCCTCGTCTTCATCGTCGTCCCCGGCACCTTCACCTTCACCTTCGCCTTCGACCTCGACCTCGACCTCTTCCTATGTGGCTCCTGCTCCCCCCACCACGTTGACCACATCGACCACACCGACTCAGCCAGCCTACACCCCTCCTAGCTCGAGTTCTTCAAGTTCTACCCCGGTCTACACTCCTTCCACCTCAAGCACATGGTCAAGCTCCTCTACCCCAGCTACAACCTCGGTCTACACTCCTCCTCCTCCACCACCACCACCAGCCACCACCTCCTCCGCCACACCTACATCTTCTTCTCCCGCTCCTGCCTCGACCAGCAGCTCTAGCGGCTCTAGCGGCTCTTCATCCGGTGGCCAGTGTACCGTAGGCAGCCCTTGCTCCGGTGATATCACTTACTACCAGACCGCATTGGGTGCTTGCGGGTGGACCAATGATGGAACTACTGAAAAGGTCGTCGCTCTTCCACACGCCCTGATGGGATCTCAATCCAACGGCAACCCATTCTGCGGCAAGACCATTACGATCAACGCCAACGGCAAGTCAACCACGGCCAAGGTCGTCGACAAGTGCATGGGCTGCGAGGGCTTCTCCATTGATCTTTCCGAAGCTGCTTTTACCGAGCTGGACAGCGAGTCCGTCGGCCGAACTGGTGCTACCTGGTTCTTCAACTAGGCCACCGACGAAAGCCCGTACTCTTTTCATGCTCAGTAGAGTGGATCTCTCGGTCGCTAGTCGACTTCTACGTGTCTCATGTGGCTAGATTACGTCGGCACAGCATGGATAAGGTTGCGGCGAGCATATTGGCGTCAGATGTCAGGAACAGCAACAGTTGATATGGCCTGCCTGGAGCACGCATCATGAGTGTTGGATGAAGAATCCCCCCTTTTCCTTCTAACCTTCTTTGTACATATCTTAGACTAGACTTTTGGGCGTCTGCCCCTTTTGCTATGCATTCGTTGCCTTTTGATCTTGACTTGCACGCGCTCTCATCTGAAAGTAGCCGTTGAGCATTGGTGATCCAGATCTTGTGTACTCCGTGGCCATAATGTACGACGTGGTTTGAGTTTAAGTGATACCAGCCCCCACTATTCGGTAGGTGTTATGGCAAAGTCACAATTCTTTACGTGAACCACGAGAAATCCCCCTGTTATTGAGAGATTTCGATCCTGCCCGACATAGAAATACCATAACTCTATATGCGCGTACGCAGAAATCGGAACTCCCCTTCACTACCGGTACCAAGTGCGCAGTGGAGGCATAATCACTTGGCCAGTCTATGATGAAGATCAGAATTTCACCAGGGCAAGATCAGAAGAGGGGCAGTATTAGGAAGTCCTTGGTATTTTTAATAATACAAGCAAGGAATCTTGCAAACGGCATCCCCGAGTCCAAGCTGCATTACCTATTATTTCTTCTGCCTCTTCGTGCTCTTATCGCTGACAGAACTGAGGACGCTCGCGCTCCGCTTATGGGCATTGTCGCTCTTCACACTAGGCGCGACGCTCTTCTGCCTCTCGCCATCCTCCACCTTGACCTCATCATCGTGATCCTCTTCCTGAGCCGCCGCATCCCCAGCACCTGGCTCCGGCTCTCCCCGCGCAGCCCTCTCGCGCTTCTCCTTTTCGGCCTTCTGCGCCTTGGCGATGGCGATCTCACCGCTCAGCTTGTCGGAGAGGGCGCGGTACTGGAGCATGCGGATGATGGACTCGATCAGGCTTTCGTAGACGACACCCGTGTCGGCGGTGGGCATGATCAGTCGCGGCGGGAGGCCGAGTTCGTTGAGCGTGTTGGTGATCTTCATCTGCTGCGCCGTGGACTTGGTGGTGACAGGTTTGGAGAGCTTCTCGTAGCGGAAGAGGGGGCCGCTGGTGAGGCGGTCGGTAGGGTGAGAGACACCATAGGTCCTCTCCTCTTCCTCAGTGAGCTGACGACGCTCGGTGGGACCCGGTGCGGTTCCTCCTCTCTTGCCGTTAGAGGCGCTGGCCACGGACATAGATTCCCGAACGCTGCTATCTCGGCGATCGAGATTGCCCTGCTGCAGTAGATTTGAGCCTCCAGGAGCGGGGCTGGCACCTTCGGGAGCCATCAGAGACCGACGCTTCTTCGATTTGTCTACAGTCATAAGTTGTTGGAGCAGTGATTGTAACCCTTGACTCGAGCTGTAGATTCCGATATTGCCCGTGCTCGGTGGCGCTTCAAGACGGGCATACAACTCTCTTCTCTCCTCATTCAACTTGTCTGACCTCGCCAGGATGCGCTTGAGCTCCAGTAGAAGACTCTCTTCCTCCTTGGCCTCATCTCTCGTGCGATGAAAGGCGTTCTCAGCAAACTTCTTACGGGCGGTCTCCTGCGCCGGGTTGAAGCTTAACATCGTCTCGTACATAGCAAACTCCGAACTGATCATCTTATCCTGAGGTTTGTGGACAATCATCATTGCGGCAGCTACCTTGTAATATCGCGCCTTCAAATCCTCTAGACTTCTTGTCTTTGGGACAGTCATTATAGCGCCCTCAACACCTTCCATGTCTGGCATTGGGGGCTGATATTCGTATCGATCCCATATCACCGGCCATCTCAGATCAAAATCTTGTGCCAGTCCCATCAGGTAATCCGTCTCATCTTTCGACCAATCCTCACTCTGAAGGTATAATTTGTACTGCTCATCGTCATACGTCGGAACCTTAACCCGCACATTGAACTTTGCAAACGTAGAATCGTCCATCTCTGCTTCGGCCTGAGCATTTGCCTGCTCCGTCTTGCCATCCTGCCCAGCCGGCGCAGGCGGTGCCTCGGTCTTCCTCCTCCAATGTCGCAAGATGAGATCATCCTTCCTAGCAGAATTTTTGAACGGCTTGAACTCCCACTTCGCAGCTGGTTTGCGACTGGCAAATCGTCTCTTCTTGAATGCTGTGACCTCGGGAACGATCGCAATAGGGTTGTCGCCTCCCAGGCTCTGTACTTCGCGCGCAAGGCCCTTTAAAGTCGACTTGGGGGCTGCGATCTTTTGCTTCTTGGCTGGGCGCGGACCAACATTGCCTGGTAGATCCAGCATATCGCGCACATCGTTGGACGTCATCTTCGATCGGAGGCGCCCTCCCTAAGAGAGCGCAGGCGTATTCGTGAGGGCTATGGTATAGACGTAGCGACTGAGTCGGAGAGCAGCACGGAGAAGTTATGAGATCGGATTTCGATGTTGGGTGATGGATGGGACTGGAGGGGAATAGTAGCGCGTCGGTTTGCTCGACTTTTGTCAGTATATCGTGAAGTACTCGGGGTCTGCTTAGTAAGCGAAGATGAAATCGCAACGAAATCTACAACACTTACCTTACCTATAGGTACATGGGAGTGATCACTTATAATTGTTGTGAGTACTGAAATGAAGATACATAAGGTAGCTTTTACTAATATATATCCTTCTTTGGCGCCTTGTTGGGAACTCGAGCGCGCTTTCTCCCATCCTACCTGTTCAGCAATCTTCACGTGACCCCCCTGTCTTTGCTGGGGAAGAGGGCAACAGTCGCGAACGTGGCAGATAGATCAAAAGGATCGCGCGACCAGTTCTCCCCTTTCAACTCCAGCTCCTTGAACAGCTTTCGCGGCTCCTCTCCCCTAACAATCATGCGCTTCGCATTACCTCTGCTATCGCTCGCCACTCTGCTGGTGCCAGTGCAATCCCTCTATTTCTACATCGACGGCACGACTCCAAAATGTTTCTTTGAGGAGCTCCCCAAGGACACCCTCGTCGTAGGCCATTACACCGCAGAGGAATACGATGAGCAGAGGAAAGTGTGGTCCAAGCACGACGGGCTGAACATCTTCATCTCAGTCGATGTACGTCTGCTTTCTCCCACCCTCCTTTCTCCAGAATTCAGAATTCAGATTCCAGATCGCTTGATCCCCACCCCCCTGTTTACCAACGCACAGCACGACAGACTGCTAACAGATAGATCCATAGGAGGTCTTCGATAACGATCACCGAGTCGTCTCCCAGAAAGGCTCCGCCTCAGGACGCTTCACCTTCAGCGCCGCTGATTCAGGCGACCACAAGATCTGCTTTACCCCCTCCTCCAGCTCAGGCTCGACGGGCTGGCTCTCCGCCTTGCATCCCATGGGCGGGATCAAGCTGACGCTGGACCTGGCTATTGGAGAGACGAGCGCCATCGAGAGTACCGACAAGGGCAAGATCCAAGACATTGTGCAGAAGGTGAAGGACTTGAATGGCCGATTGCAGGATATTAGACGCGAGCAGGTCTTTCAACGGGTGGGTGCTTGCTCTCTTCCCTTCTGGAAAAAGAAAATCTATATTTGGGAAATAATTAGGAGGCTTGGGACCTGATGGCTGCGATGCGATGCTAACTACTTTCTTTGTAGGAACGGGAAGCTGAATTCAGAGATCAGTCTGAAGCCACGAACGCAAGGGTAGTCAGGTGGACGTTGGTGCAACTGGTTGTTTTGGGCATTACATGCACGTGGCAACTCTCTCATCTCAGGTCGTTCTTTATCAAGCAAAAGTTGACATAGAGGAGTTATTCATTTGGGGCGTGGGAAAATCGGAGACTATGATTTACCTGGTACTGGGACTACAACCCGCATAGCTGATGTCGAGCAATGAGTCCTTTTGTATTAAAAGCTATCACATAATGAATTTCAACTACTATTGGACCAAATAACCTGTCGAACTTTTTCATTTATGGAACTATGAACTCGAGAACTTCAAGTCCCATTTATCTATTGCAGACCCATTCGCCTTTGCTTCGCTCCGAAATAGAACGCTGTACATCGTGAGTCCGCTCTGTGCAATCAAGACCGTTTGTCTCTGTACTGCAGGTGCCATGAAATGAAATTCGATGCTATGAGGAAACAAGAAACTATTATTAATCTTGAACTGGTGACAATACCCATACGCCGTGCCCGAGACTGGATATGTGGAATGCGAAGCCTGGTGTACCGTCGATGTGTATGTGACAAATAGCGAGAGTCGTATCTGCTAAGAGCAGAGAAGAAAGACGAGGGTGCGAGCTCCTTGTCTGTTGCAGGAAAGGGACATTATCTGGAGATAAACGTTTTCAGGAGAGCCTTTGGCCATGAAGGCCTAGAAAGCAGGGAGGTGGAGCAGTTGAGACAGGTTGCCCCGGGAGGCAAGATGGATTGGATAGGAAACAGGTATCAGCGAGAGGTATTCATCCTGCCAATGAATCAGCATTGATCTCACACACTTAAAGATAAGAGCGTAGACTAACCGCAGCAAAGAGCCTTCATCAGCTTCTGGATGCCTGTAGGTTGTGGGTCTGAGTTCCTCCCGTTCTGTGCTTGTGTGTTCATGTTTGGCTGCGCCGTCATTCTCTGGGGCAGGTTGTTCGAGCTGTTCTGGAATTGCGCCTGGGTTGAGCCGGTGGGAGTAGCGGCGTCCTGGAGTCCCCCCGCCGCTCCGCTGCTGCGTTTCGCTACCAAGGCGCCTTGGGCGTTTGGTCGATCGCGCGTCTTGCCCATCCCCGGCTTGATTGGGGATGGGGGCGGGGGTTGCGCGGCGTTTAAACGGGCAGCAGTCAGGTGGCCCGGGGTGCTATTTCCTCCTACCCTTGCGACTGTCCCATGCAACTCTCTCTGGGACGCTCCTGGCGCTGCGTTGGCCTGGTGCAACATATGTTGAGATGGATGCTGTTTCATGGTTTCCCAGCCCTTGCCATTGTTGAGCTTCATCCAATCGTACTCGCCATCCTCCACCTCGCCTGTGTTCTTCAGGGCCTGCGTGAAGAGCTCACGGAGGTAGTCATAATCAGGAGTGTCTTCGAATCCGAGGTTTCGGACATAGCTCAGATACTTGTTGAATTCCTCCGGGAATCCGTCACAAAGATCCTTGATAGCAGTCGTCTGCTTCTTCTCCCCGATCTTCTCGTATTTCTGTTTGTTGGTGGCAGCCTTGAGACCCTGCCATGGCAACCCTCCCCGTAAGAAATACATGAAAACATGTCCCAAAGCCTCGAGATCATCTCGTCTGGATTGTTCTCGACCTAGATGGGTATTGATACTCATGTATCTTGCAGTGCCAGAGAGTGATTTGCGTTCGCGGTACGGAATGTGCTGCTTCGTCTTCGGGTCTCGGTATTGCTTGGCCATGCCAAAATCTACCACATGAATTACATTTGCAGCCTTTGACCCTGGTCGGCCAATCAGAAAGTTGTCGGGTTTGATATCACGGTAGATGAGGTTCTTCTCATGGATAGTTTGGACTCTCGAGAGCTATCTACAGTCAGTACCTAAATTCAGGCTGGGAATGGAGGACGGACCATCTGCTTCGCTACCATTACGACGGTCTTCGTAGTGAACCTTCGGTTGCAGTGGTCGAACAGATCTTCGAGAGAGGGGCCAAGGAGATCGATGACGAGGATGTTGTGAAGGCCTTCTTGGCCGAAGTAGTAGACATTGGGAATACCCGCTGTTCGAGAAGAGATCAGTCCCACGCCCCCTATAGCTGGATATGGATATACTAACGGCAGCCCACAAGAATCTTGTATGTTCGATACTCGTCTCGTAATTGGGGGGCATCACTCTTTCGGGGTTCCTGCGTGCGATGAATGTATAAGTGTGTGTGTTCTTCCGGCTCGATAGGCCGTATCTGGATCTGCAGACCGCTCTTTGCCCGTCACCTTGGCTGTGGGTGGGATAAACATACGAATTTAATGGCAACTTGCTGGTTATTCAACAAGTTTGTCCCCTCGAATATCACACCAAAGGATCCCTCGCCGATCTTCTTGCCCACTCGGTAGTGGACACCGACGACATTGGAAGATGAGGATGCCATCGAATAGACTGTCGGAGCTCTTGATCGAGCTCGTCAACGGATTGAGCGTCAACGTCGTTCGTTGAGAGGGTCGTGACGGACGGTGAAGGGGAGGGCGAGGCTCGGCAGATGGAGTAGATAGATGGGCGCACGACCTGTGATAGGAGCGGTGTCAGTACGACAACGCTGGCTCCAGACGAGAGAGTGCCAGGTGCTGATAAGGATGGCAGCAGAGGCCCAAGTAGGACGACTGAAGGAGCTTGGAGGTGGCAGGAGAGAGATTGGGCGACTTACGGTACAGCTCGAGACGAAGCGAAGGCACAGCTCGGAGAAGCGTTGTTGTTGTTGTCGTTGGTGAACGGGAGTGCAGGCTGCGCTCGCAACAATGTGCAGTGTAAGCCTGAAGTATTGAGAGAGAAGAGGTTTATCACTCTCCCTCTCTCAGCGCGCAAGGTCGAGTCCAGAGAGTGCTCGAGGACTGCGGGTGCTCGAAGGTCGTTGAAGGGAGAACAACAACAGGTCGCGAGAAGGAAATAAGGAAATTGCAGAAATGCCAGTTGAACGGGGGTTACGAGTACGGGTAAGGCAAGGTACCTATACTTTAGGTATAGTATAGTAGGGGAAGCAAAACAGCATCCGCGCATTTTAAACCGACAAACCCTGCAGACAAATGTTGCGGCCTGGGGTGCCTGGGCTGTCAGGTTTAATTGTTCTTGCCTGAGGCATCTAATCTAGTCTTCCTCTTCTCTGCATCGTGACCTTTTCTTTCTCTTTTCCGTATTATTACTTCTTACCTATTCTTCGTTTCCCCCTCGTTTCCTACAACAACAATATCTGTTTACTCCCTCTTTGTTTTGTCTCTCAAAAGCCGGTTTCTCCTCTTGACACGTGCAGGTCCGGCCTTCTCATTGGACTCGACTCCTCTGCACTATCGGTACCTAGTAGTGCCCACAGGTCCTAACCGTCTAGAGAGTCAATCTTTGCCCCGGTTTGGCATAACAGTGGGCCATGGTACTCTGATGGGGGCATGGCGCTGTATATTGTACAAAAATAGCAGTGAATCTGTACGGAGTAGACATAAAATCCCGGAGAGTTTACAAGGCCGGTAAAACATCCAGTAATAATCATGTAACTCCAGTGACCCCCGTCTGCAGAACTCCCTTGTCCTCCTTATGTACTGCCAGCAAGCACAGGAGAAGCTGAGCTGGCCGCCTTCACGAACCATAGTAACCATAGTAGACAGCTTCACTGCTCCAGGACGTCCCAACCAAAGCATCCAGAGATTATTGCTGCCGGCCGGCTGTTCAATAATGTCAATCGCCCGCGCTCGTTAGTGCAAGGGAACGACGAGGGCCCCACGTCCAGGGACCCAATGCTCATTTCCTTGTGAAGTCCAGACTCGAGACTGTTGATTCCTCAGGACTCTGCAAGCAACTCATCCCGTATGGCTTGAGAAATTGAGGTGTTCTACGGAGGATATCTATCGGTGCTTATCAGAAAAGATTACAGTAATAACAGAGTATATTTTCCCCAGCCAATCAATGTTGTTGGCGGTCATCATCTTGTTCCATTTCTTGAGAATAACTGTACAGTTCACAAACAAATACACACATACAATTCATGTATGTGCTGTTCCCTATGCTAATGACTCCCTAATGCGCCTGCCGAGTTCCAGGAAACTTTTCATAGATATGTAGATGATTCATAGCAAAGCTCAATATCTCGTCGAGCTTCGGAATCTGCCCGTGCTGCTATCAAGCCTTTGCTTGGGCTTGTATCGTGGTTTAGAATGAAGCAAGCTCTCGGCCGTCCTCCTCTCCTTCTCCGCAATTTCCTGCTCAATTTCCCGTAGCCGTTGGGCTGCGCTGAGCATCTTATCCCCGTCATCTGTCTGGCCTTCGACGTCTTCTGTGAAATCCTGTTTGGCAAGATCTAGCGCCCCTTGAAACCATTTGTCCAGCCTACATCTTTCTATGTACGGCTTTAATGTCTCATCCTCAATCTGCATGTCCTTCATGATCTCGTCCCTCATACCCGCGTCCAGTCCATCGAACCGATGGTCCAGTTCCTCGGTACAGGCTCCAAGGACATCCAGCGGGCTCATAGGCTTCACACTCGAGTTCTTTTCGAAAAGGCCTATTGCTATTAGTGGTTTGCACAATGGATGGGATTTGGGTTCCAATTACCATTCTTGAAGCAAGCTCTGAAAGTCATATACAGAGCCGTCTTACTTAATTGCTCCGAGACCTGCTGGTCATATTTCAGATCCGTATTGTTGATCTCTGCCCAGTCATCTCTCAACATGCACCTTCGCCATATGACCCGTTGCATCAGTACTTGTTCGTCCTTGTCCACAAGTCCGTAGCGTGTAGCTTGGAGAGCGAGATAGAATTGGAGACCGCGGAAAGACTCTTGTTCTTCGGACTTCTCATTGCTGCCCATAAGGGTAAGAAGATCCACCAAGGTCAAAGCATCCATTGCCTCGTGCCTGATGAGATGACCCATGCTTTTATTTAAAAGCAATGAACTCCTCTTCTGCCCCATTAAACCTTTGTTGCCATAGGCTTCCAGAGCAAGCTGCACCTCTGCATTGTCGTCGATCGCATCTTCAATGGAAGGATAAACATGTTCGTAAACCTGGTCCTGGATCTGGATGAGACCGAGTTCCTTTCGAGCAGCAACAAGCTCTGTCTGCCCACCATCAGGAATGAGGATTCCATTGGTTTGACTATAGTTCCGACCTGCCACACGGGCCAATATACCCAAGCTGAGCTCAATCTTCTTGCTCCATACGTTTTGTTCGCGCTTCAGACCGAGGTCAAGAAGCGTCTCGGAGGCATGATCAACGTCTCCCTCTCGTGTGACTTCATGAATCCATGAGAGCTTCGAGTATTCTGGCTTGCTCCGCAAGAATGCTGTCAGATATTTTTGTTGCTCTGGATAGTTATCGAGCAGTTGTGCCATTGCTCCAATCTCAATTTCATGTTCGTAAAACGCACTGGCCCAACTGGTTCCAAACCTCGAGAAGTACCCCTTGATATTTTCCTGAAGAGACATCATCCGATTTCCCCATAATTCGAAGTCTTCCCTCGCGATTTCAGTATCCCTGATCCTATCTGCGCATTCATTCAGCTCCAGGATCACAACCGACGCAAGGGTTGGCATGATCTGATGCTTTTCTGCTAAAGCAATGGCCTCGTCCGGAAGCTCAAGTTCTGTAGCAAGCACAGTGATTTGTTCATCTTGAGCGGAAGTTTGCAATGCCCTGATCTCTTCTGCCTCTATCTGCTGCTGGGGGGAATCTTGGGCTAAGTCCCAACGCATCCGCTCGAGATTGGTCCGAATAGCCAGGTCGATAAGAGATGAGTTTTCGCGTCGAATCTTTTCGACTAGAACCGAATCAAGCTCGGCTTTCTCTTCGTTCCGCATATAATGTTTCACAAGAGCACCTGCCAGCTCTGCCTGCTTCCTAGCATTCGTTACAAGATATATTATCGAAGTCCAAAACTCCGGGAGTCCTTCGTAATTCGCTTTTAATATCCCGTGTTCAAGTTGCTCATCTTGGAGACCGTATAGGTCTAGATTGGCAGTTCGGAAACGGAAAGCTCCCTCCAACGCACTGATAACGAGGTCGTTGGCTTCACTAAGTATTGACATGACATAATTATGGTCATTCTGGCCATCTTGAAAAGTGTACTTGATCACTTGGTAAGCCCAAGGGATAGCTATCTCGAGGTTCCATATGTCGTTGATGAACCAATGACGAACACGGTCAAGCTCGCCTGCCTCAGCAACTGGTTGCGACTTGTAATTTTCGTGGATAGATTCAACAATATCTGTGAGGAGCCCACGCTTTTGTCCTTCTGGTTTCGTTTTAACGCTCTCATCGTAGTTCTTCCAGATGAGCAATGCAGCTTCCATCTTTTCGGCGTTCCAAAGTAGTCTCCATCTCGTTGCCCGGTCCAAAGCAACACCAGTCGCTTTTAAATGTTCGGCAAGATGTTGCAGCGCAGCCGCACGCTTCCGAAGATTCATGTCGATAGATGCGGGCATAGCAGGTATCAATTTGGTCTGAGACTTCAAGATTTCACCACTTAATTCCAGAGCTGCTGCACCAACTTCCTCCGCCGGAAACTGTAACTCGGACCGTACGGCAAAACTAAGGGGGTTTTGCTCCAGGGTTCCAAAAAACACTGCTTGTTCCAACTTGCTTTTAGCTGTAACCTGCTGCGCGTTGCTGGAGATAAGCTTGGGTATATCTGTTGCTGCGACCCGAACAACTCCTCCGCCTCGAACAATAAGCACGGCGGCTGGATGCTTGGCTTTATGACGGCGTGACTTCGACTCCTCAATTCCATTTGATGGTCCGTGGGGCTCTTCCATTCCAGACCCAACAATTTCTACATCCATATCCCCGCGGAAATCCACTACATCTTCGAACGCTTGTGGCTGGATATGACTCTCAGTTAGGAGCTGTGAATCTGGAGAGTCCTGTTGTTTCGCCATCGAGAGCACGACAACGGCTCGATCAAAGACGACATATGCTACAAGTGCTGGACTTGGTAGATAAAGTCGGGTTTTCGAGGTGGCATTCCGAGAAACCGGTGTTTTATATGAATTGATAGGGCGAATGTTTCCAATGGTGAGTCCCTCCTGCTTGAGCACAACCTCAACCAGAGAATAGTGTGCCATTTGATGGCCAGTCAACGAAACCAGGAGAAGAAGGTGCTTCCCATCGTTCTCTTGGTCACTGAGCTGGGTGTCCGCTAGCGATTTTGGAGTGTAGGTGAAGTCTAGGACTTCGAAAGACTCCAAAAGAAGGTCGGCCAAAGCTGGCTGTGCTTCCTTTATAGCCATGACTATTGCCTCCCGCCCTTCTGCCTCTGCTTGGAGCGAGTTGTGGCCTCCTCTCTGTATGTTCCAGGACTGTAGCTTTCCCTTCGTCGTCGCGACCACTATGTTTCTCTCACCAACCTTCTCAGGCCGTCCCGCTCGCACAGCTGCGATGTCCCCGCGCCATGCGGAGCTACTTAAAGCATTTCGGAGGCTGCCAAAAATACCACCGCTAATGGGTCCACTGCTGCTTCGAAGGAACTGTACAGAAATTGCTGGTCGGCCTTGTCCATCTCTTACACTCATGTATGCAAGTCTGCCACTGCTGAATGCCAGGATAAAACCCGCTGATTCGGCATTCAGTATCTGAATCACTGTTTCCCCTGACAACATGCCTGAGATGGATAACTCGACACCATTTCGCTGCTGCCGGATCAGATCTAGTGTAGCCGCACTAGCAATAGATTCCCAGTATGTGATTTTACCGGTGGTTGGAAAGACTACGACAAGTCCAGGTTCGGTAGAAGAGGCTGAAGCGGAGACCAAGGAACCAAGGGGCAGAGGGTCAGATTCATGCTTTGAGGGATAAGGCAGTGCGAATGTAAAAGTTTCGGGCGAGGGCACATTAACAGCGTACGGCCAGACAATGGCGTGAGAATGAGTGAGGGTAAGAGCGTAGCCACTGTCGGAATAGATGGCTCCATGTTGGCGACCTAACTATATTGTTAGATTTGTTATACAACGTGGAATGGCGGGTGTAGACCTCTGGTATCTGTTCGCAGACGATCTGGAAGGGCTGGCAGCTTGCTGACAGTATAGGTATCGTTCGTAGTCTGTAATTAGCTGTTATTAGCTGCCTTGGCCATGAATTGTGTATGCGACGTACCAAAATAACGCTCCCATCCCCTTTGCTGCCTCGATCTCCAGATTTCGGCTTCTTCCCCCGAACAGCAATTTCCCGCCGTGGACCTTGAATTTCTCGCGAAGCGTCGCGCCTGGTGATTGACGTTGCTTTATGGGTCTTGGCCTCCTCCTTTTCAGAGGTGCCATCGGGAGGCACGAAAGTATGATCGCTCAGGGCGCTCCGCTGTCGTTTCGCCTTGGGTTGTGATATAGAGCCCTCGTTCGAAAGGGGGCGTTGCCGTCGCCTGCTACTTCGCACGGAGGCAGAGGGAGCCTGAGTTGTTGATGGGGAGAACATCGTGCCAATGGGATCGCGAGGCGAGGTACGAGAGCTATCATTCAGTCAAAGGATAGGTGGCAGTTTGGATTTTGCATCGTATGGAGATGGTCGTGAGGCGTGGAATGGCTGCTGATGGTCATGAGGTTGCTGAGCTTGTTTATTATTTATTATTGTATAGAGGAAGGCAGTATTTTCGACCTCTCGCCTACCGCCTTTCCACGGGACCTGAGGCAGACACTTCATTTTTCGGGCAAGGCGCGCTTACCTATTAGGAAACCCAATGCTCAGTGCTCAGGTACCAACGAATATAGATATATAAATATAAATTAAGCTAGTAGCCTTTCAAAGTAAAACTAACTCGGCTTCAATTTTGCATTCGGATGCAGTAGCAAGTCAGCGCTGATTTCAAGACTATAAGAGCAGTTTCTAGAGCCTACTCAACCAACACAGTTACATTCTTCGAGTTCTCCTTTGCCAGGTGGAAGAGGCTGGAACAGGCCGTGGTTGATATGTTGATATGTCTCTTCTAGAACCCTTCGTACCTACCTAAGTGCCTTTGTTGTTCACCATTGTGATTGGCCTCTTCTCTGCAGGTCAGACATTCAGCACAAGCAACTACCCGTCGAGAGAGCGCTCCTAAGACGGGGCTACCACGAGGCTGAAAACTCGCTAATAGATGGCTTCGGATTGCTCGACTGACAGACGACTCTCGACCGCAACATGCGTGCCTCTGTGACCCTTCTTCTAAATGCCACCCCCAATATCGCCGCAAATTTCCACCGGATTGACTATCACGAATCCGCTGGTTTTGTACCGTGCTCTACTAGCTACCAAACGGATTGATCCTGATCCTGCACAGCATAGGCTAGCCTTAGAGCTCCAGAAGATCTATTATCGTCTCAAAGACTATTCTCCTCATGTTGACTATGGAGAGCGACTGCGGGCTATCAGTCGAGCTGTTAGCGAAGTCCCCGAAGATAAGGAGACAACGTCGGCAGCAGTGCCTGGGCATCCATTGAGGCGAAACCCTTTATTTGCACGCCTCTTCGAAAAGAAGCAAGAGAAAGATACACTCGCTTTGACGCGAGTCCTTACAAGTCATGAATCGGCTATGAGCCTTGATTCCCCCAGGGGTTTACTCCTCCATGGAGAGGTAGGCACAGGTAAAAGAATCTCCCAGAGGCTTTTATACTTAGAACATGCTTTGCAAATCAAGGATTATGCCTCGAGACGCTTCCCATTTGATTCCTCTTTCCCTCTCACGAGACCTCGTTGCTAACTTTGCAGATAAGGTAAATCGATGCTTATCGATCTCCTAGCAGACAGCCTCCCCAATCGAAAGAAGAGGCGGTGGCATTTCAATGCCTTTATGCTGGAAACTTTGGCACGTCTGGAACACCTTAGAAAGACCCGCTCAGACGGGAATTCTGAGCACAGCCTACTTTGGCTCGCCAAGGATATGATAGAAAAGTCACCAATCTTATTCTTAGATGAATTCCAGCTACCGGACAGAGCATCCAGCAAGATCCTGAGTAACCTTTTCACTGCTTTCTTTCAATTGGGTGGTGTGCTCATTGCATCTTCGAATCGGATGCCTGATGAACTGGCTAAAGCTAGTGGCGTGCATTTTGCCGTGCAACCAAGAGCAGGTTTTGCGAGAAATTGGTTGAGTTTGGGAGGCGGAAACACTCTCCCGGCGGACAACGAATACGCTGGCTTCGTCGATGTTTTGAAGGCAAGGTGTGATATAATCGATATTTTGAGTACTCGTGACTGGAGGCGGCGAGAGGCAGAAGAAACAGAGACTGAGATAGGAGAAACCGTCGAGACTATGAGAGAGGAAATGATAGAAGGCTTTTCTGGACCGGAGATATTAACACCGGGGAAGCTTGCGCTTGATCATGAGCCAAGTCAATTAAACAGAAGAGCAGAAGACCGAATCGACGAAACTACTAAAGATCAATCGAACCCTGTGAAAGCAAAGACTCCGAAGAAATACATTTTAGTATCCGCAGATAATGAAGAGGTTTGGAGCACAGTCGTCCTCTCGACACTCCCTCACGCACGAGGTACGATTCCATGGCAGACCACAACTCTTTCGGTATACGGAAGAGAAGTACCTGTTCCTCGACATCTTGCAGGGGTTAGCTTTTGGACGTTCGCCGAACTCTGCGGTGAAACCTTTGGTCCGGCGGACTACATTACATTGGCTTCCACGTTTCACACACTTATCCTTGATGAAGTTCCGGTACTTACACTCGCACAAAAGAATGAAGCAAGACGACTCATTAACCTACTTGATGCACTGTACGAGGCCCGCTGCAAGCTCGTAATACGTGCGGAGGCTGGTCCCGACGATCTTTTCTTCCCTGAGACGAAGACAGAGTCTAGATTACTGGGAGACAACGAGGCAGCGCGAAGTGAGGCCGAGGGCGGTGATTCAGTCTACTCTGAAACTATTTCTGAGATTTATCAAGACCAAACCTCCCCCTTCCGCCCCAACGTTGCATCATACGTCGATGATCCAAAGACTGGCTACAATCCTGCTGAAGACTCTGATTTCGGTTCGCTCCCTGGAGATGGAACTGAAAATGGGCGGCGGGTGGACTTTAGCAAGACAAGTAGCTTTACTGGAGAGGATGAAAGGTTTGCGTACAAGCGTGCAGCAAGCAGATTATGGGAAATGTGCGGGGCGCGATGGCACGCACGATCCGAGCCTGGATGGTGGAGACCTTTGCCGCTTCAGGTCAGGAGATGGGAGCGCTCATCATCTGCAGATCCAGCTACTACGAGATCCTCATCTTCTGCAGAGGGGACCGATGTGAAGTTAGGGGAGTCCATCAGCCTTGATGAGTTTGTGCGACTGCAGGGGAAATTAGAGAAGGAAGAGAGGGCAGCTTCCAATCCGTTTCGTAGAAGCAATGGACCACCTCCGAAGTTCAGTTGGACACATGCTTGGGGTATGATGAAATGGGGTAAGAAAGCAGGCCCATGGGGTCAGGGCCCTGAAGGTCTCAGCCAGAGGAAAGGGAAGACTGGAGATAAATAGTCCCAATAGAAAAAAGGGGTGTCAATTGGTCAATTGATCACAGCACTTAGATCTACCTAGGTATGCGTTTAATTTAAATGAGAGAAGATGGCGGATAGAATGGAGCGTATAGAATCTGTTGTAAGAAACCACTGGCCTATTACGTGAGGTTATTAGTCACGGGACTAGGACTCTAGTCTAACCTAATCGGGGTTAGCAACCCGCCAAAATTCCTAGTTGTTTACTATAGCTATAGAGGCACTTTGTATGATTACTTTACTTAGTTAATTTAATTCATTAGTTCCTACAATACGACAATAGATCGAATATCCCGTGTAACATAGTAGTAATACTATTTGATCTCCTCTATTAAACTCGAATCGATCTATCGTAAGATTCGTCGTAGTAAAGCCTGTTTTTAATTATAGTACATCTGTTAATCAAATAGAGCTCTAGACAGGATTATAGAGCCTAAGAGATAACAACTATATTATAGAACCCTAGACTAATCTATAATGTCTAACTTAACCGCGCTTACGAGTAGTAAGAGGCTATAAGGCAAGAGTAACTTCTATACTTAGAAGATAGATGTGTATAACATACTTAAAGCTAATAGGCTTAACAGGTTTATATCTAAGAAGTATCCCGTCCCTAAGTCTTATAAGTATAGTAATACTACTATAACAAAAGAAGAGCTAGATTAGTATAACAAATAAAGAGCTAGTAACGCTATAACGCGTTAGGTTATTAAAGAGAACATATTGTTAGTTCTAGTACTTAATCTTATAGCTAAAGTAGACTTAGTAGAGGCTATATAGACTAAGCTAGCTAATTACTATAAGGGCAAAGGGTTTACTTAGTAGTGTTAAGCAGCAGATAAGTTCTAGCTACTTAGATACAAGGACTATAATAATATAGAGAAGTTTATTAACGCCTTTATAACTTAACTTAAACGAGCTATATAACTAGATATAGCGCCTAAGAGCGACTACCTATACGCTATTATCTTTATTAATCGACTTATAAAAGCCTTTCCTTAATAGACTAAAAGACACTAATCCCTTTAAAACCTATAAAAGAACGGTAAGAAAAGTACCTTATTACTTAATACATTAGTTATAGAGATTAGGGACAAAGCTTAGGTAAAGGACAACAGATTAGTACCTTTATTAGTATTACTATATAGTAGTAAGCCGGATAATAAGGATAAGAGAAAGGGCAAGGGTAAGGATAAGGATAAGAAGAAGCTTAAGAAGAAGTAGTACTAACACTATAGTAAGCTTTACGTTATAAAAGATAAAGACGATTACTAGACTACGTTCCTAGAAAAGCGTCTAAAGAAGGACTAAAAAGAGTCTTTAAAGAGCGCTATATTACTTTATACAGTAAGTAATTAGTAGCCTTAGATTAATAGCGCGCTAGGCCTTAGGGCTTTAAAGGTAGCGCTTAGATTAGCTACTTAAAAGGAGTTCTAAAAGGGGAACTAGTACCTAGATATAAGGGTAACTTACTATATATATAACGATAAGTCGATCTTCTATAGCTTTAAGGTAACTAAGTAGTTATAACCTGTTCTAACAGGCACTAGATTAATCTAACTAGAGGGTTATAGTAATATCGTCCTAAAGGCTAAGGTAGAGGGCGATTAGTATTACAAACTATAGCTAAAGAGAGTTCTGTTTATTCTAACCTTCCTTATTAATCTCTTATTAGGTATTAAGCTACTATACTATAGTAGATCTATTATAAAGAGAGCCCTTCTAGACAGAAAAGAAAAGACGCTTATACTCTATAAGGTCGATAATACAAGAGTATATCTATAGTTAGACTCGCCTAGCTACTATATTATAGTACTACTAGCTACTCTTTAATAAGGCAAACTAGGAATTAAACTATAGTACAAGAGATTAGGGCACTTAGGCTTTAATAACGTCTAAAAGACTGTAGAAATCACTACTAGTATATAGATTACAGACAAGCCTATAGATACAGATCTTAGCGTTATAGTTCTCTATAAGCCCTATAAGCTATTAAAGCCACTACACTTAGTTAGACGCTCTATTAAACACCGGCCTACTATTATACTCTAAGAGGTAAGTATAGACGTAGTAGAGGTTACCTTAATTAGATTCTATAGTAAGTGCTACACTACTATTATAATAGATATAGTAACTTACGCTAGATAGGGCTACCCTTATAAGAAGAAAAGAGAGGCTTATAATAAGATCCTCGGCTTTATTAATATAACAGAGCGTTAGTTTACCCTCTTTAAGATCCTTATATTAATAGTTAATAGTAGTAACAAATATAGTAGTATTACGTTAACTAGCGTCTATAAGGTAAAGGGGATTTAAGTTAAAGAGACTATACTATATACCCTTAAGTAACTAGGCGTGTCTAAGATTATAAATAAGATTATAGCTAGACAGCTATAATCTACTATAATTAACTAGAACGTCCCTAAAGAGCTATAGCTAGAGTTACTAGAAGGGACAATTTATGTTATTAACAGAATAGCTACGTTAGCTATTAAGGGCAAAACCTTATATTAAGCCTTTATAGATTAGCTATACCTAAATTAAGACAACAAGCTATCTGTAGCCTACCTACAGGTACTTAGCTATAAGGTATATGTTTATATCCCGGATTAGAGACAGGTTAAGTTAGGAAAGTTTAATAAGCGCGCTAAAAAAGAGATCCTTCTTAGTTTTAAAGGCTACTAAATATACTGTTATTACGTGCCCTTAAGAGCTTATAAGATCGTTAGATTATTAAACGTAAGATTTAATAAAAGAGGTTTTGTATTAAAAGTATTAGATAATAAGATATAGTTACTACTAACTAAACCGCGCCTACTAACTAATCTACTTATAGATTTAACGAACGCTAAAGGTAAAGATAAAGCTAAAGATTAGAAGCTAGCTAAAGATTAAGATCTAGCTAAAGTAGCTAAAATAGCTAAGAAACCGCCCCTTACTACTACTAATGTTAATCTACTAGCTAATACTAACTCTACTATAGAATAGATCTAAGATTAGTTAACTACTACCTTACCTGATTTAGTAGCTGTTAAGCGCGGCTAAGGGCGCCTAAAAGGTTTAAAGAACAAGCTAAAGACGGCAGCTTAAGCTCTAGCTTAAGCTTAAGACTCTATACGTTCTATTAACCTTAAATCTACCTAAGTAACTTAATCCTAATCACGTTACATAACTAGAGAGGAGGATACAAGAGATAATACTAAATAAAGAGTATAGTAATTAGCTTATTTAGCTATAGCTATAGCGTTCTATACTACTTACTAGACTATAGTTAAAGACGATCTAGAGAACGTTCTAATTACATACAAAGAGGCCGTTAGTAGTACTAAATCTAAGTAGTAGAAGGAGGCTATTTAGAACGAGCTTAACTTACTTGTAAAGAACGATATATAGACTCTAGTTAAGAGATTAAGCCTTTAAAAGAGAACTAAGGTTCTAGGTAGTAAGTAGGTGTTTAAGAAGAAAACTAGCGTTAATAGCTCTATAATCTGTTATAAGGCACGCTAGGTAGTTAAGGGACACAAGTAGCGTTATAGACGCGATTATAATCAAACTTACGCTAGTATAGCTAAAAGCATAACTTAAAAGGTAATCCTAGCCTTAGTAGCTAAAGAGGATTAAGAAGTAGAACAAATAGACTACGTTATAGCGTTCTTAAACAAGAAAGCTAATAAGGATATATACGTTAAACTTTTAACTAGGTCTAGTAAAGGTAATACCTACGTCTACAAACTTAATAAGGCCTTATATAGTCTAAAGTAGGCTCTACGGTTATAGTAGCTAAAGCTACGACAAGTGCTTATTAAGCTAGGTTTTAAGCCCCTAATAGCTAACGATTATATATACTAATACCTTAAGAGCAGATTAATCGTTATAACCTATATAGACGACTTCCTACTAGTCGGCCTAAAGAGAAAGGAACTAGCTAATCTAAAAGTAGCCTTATAGAACGCTTTTAAGATAAAGGATCTAGGTCCTTATTACTACTTTATAGGCGTTAAGATCGTTAGAGACAGAGAAAACAGAACTATATCTCTTATACAAGACGCTTACGTTAATAAGGTACTTAAACGCTTTAAGATAAGTAATTATAAAGCCTTTAAGACGCTATTAGATCTAGCTTACGTAAAGCTTATAGTTTTAAACTTAGAACACACTATAACAGATTAGATTAAACTATATTAGTAGATCGTTAGCTCTCTTATGTACCTGTCGACGTAAACACGCCCGGATCTATACTATTTAATGTCTATATTATTACGCTACCTTACGAATCCTTTTACTAACTATATAAGCGCTATAAAACACGCTTTACGTTACCTATAAGGTATACCTAACTTAGGAATTATATACAGGATAAGTAAAGGAGTGTTAGAAGGGTTACATAGATATAGCGACTCAGATTACGCTAGTTGTATAGAAACACGAAGATTAACTATTAGATATCTATTTAACTACTATAGTAGCGCGATATCCTTTAGATTAAAGCGCTTACAAGTAGTAGTACTCTCCTCTATAGAAACAGAGTACTACAGGCTCTCTGTAACAGACTCAGGCTGTCTAAGGTGGTATCGGTTTTAAAGGATTTCTTATTCTTAAGGATCATTAAAGGACGGCTACTAACAGGAGCTGTATATAGGTTCGCTTTAGTAAGCGCTTAGTAATAGGTGCCCTAGGCATCTCCTAGGTACACCCTATAACAGTCGCCCCCCCTTTATAGCTATCGCCCTTAATAGCGTTAAACTATACTCCTTATCCTTTTATAGTAATATCTTCTTTAACCTACCCCTCTACTATTACCTCTTTATCCTCTACGACTATTAGCGGTTCCTCGTCCTCTATCTACTCTCTAATTTCCTCTATATTACTATGTTAATAGTAATAGTTTAATAGGTATAGCGGCTAGTAAGGAGTACTGTCTAGATCTATACCTTATAGGTATAGGTTTAGGGTATAGACGGCTATATTTACTACTACTAGCTATTTATGTACTAAACCCTAGCTAAACACCTAGGCTATAGTTTAGACTACCTATAGTAGTTTAAAGACCTTTTCCTTTAGGAGGATGTAGTACTTAGCGTACTCGTTCTA